AGTGAACTTTGAGGGAAGCGCGACTGATGTGGCTTATTTTATTTGCAGCGGGCCCTCGATTGTATTGTGTTTGTGTTCGCTTCATCGCTGCCACTCAACCAAGGGCTTGCCTTCGGTTGAGGTATCTACACACGACTATTTTTCCCCTTGCCGCTGTGATTGCTGCATCGCTCGTACGTACGAGTGCCTGGACAAGGTGTAGAGACCGGCACGTGTGAGCCCTGAGTCGGAGGGGGCCACATGGCATCCGCTAAATTCACTACCCCTGTTCTCACGTGCTGTCGCCGTCCCAGTGTATTGTTTAGGTTGTTGGGGTTGTCTGTCGCTGGCTCCGGTGGTGCTGCACTGTCGATCCCGTCTATTTTGGGCCCCGAAAGGCGGCGGTCTCTACGGCCCACTATACGTGACTTATAACATCACCCGCCCCCTGGACCGATTTTCAAAGCTTGCTTGAATGCTTGAATACTCCACCAGCGGAGAGGGTGTTGGTCCGCAATTATGCCGGCGTTAGAACCGCCTCGTCGAGATCCTTCCGATAACGAATCGTTTCATGCATCCATCCTCTTTCGTCGTGGAGTAACCGAGCTTTGGACTAGGGGGGGTGATATCTTACGTCAACCAGGTATTTATCTACTTCGGCCTCGCTCTCAGCATGGACTAACCCTGCCTCCGCTTCTCGCAACACGCAACAAACCCACAGTGCGCCGGTGAAGCGTTAAGCGCTAATTCCGCGAACACCATGGAGTCACCTCCCGTTGAAAACGAAGGCTGCCGGTTAGCGGGACATCTCGAGGTGCGGCCGGGTGTTGGTGTGAAGGACGACAAACAAGGGGCACCGCAGTGTGATTGGCGTAGTGTACCACCTTAACCCCTTGAAAGACAAGCTTTACAGAAACCACAGTGTATCACCCTACCCCCTTAGAAAGGACGAGCTCTACCGATACCTCACAGAAGGGGAGCATTCTCTTCAATGTGCCCAAGTTCTGCTGCATACATGTATGCGTATGTATCAATGGTGTTTTTTTTTCTTTTTTTGTCAGGTGTCCAGGACAGAAGGGAACTTCCACTTCGCTCCCGGGCACCGCTTGCACCGTCACGCCAATGAATTGTCGTTCGTGGACCGGATCCAGGTAACATCTAACAACGTACAGACCAAGATGCAGTGTAATGGTTGGATGCATAGACATTTCCGGTCCGGATTCAGCTAAGAAAAGTACTTGGATTCATAGACATGTCCGTGTGGATCGTCGGTACAGCATCCGGTGAAGAGCACTACTATGAGTTTGTTATTTGGACGATTCCGCCCATGGGTTTGGTGGACTAATTCCGACAGGAAATTTTGTGCGTTGAGCATGACGTTGCGAACATGCGGAGGGGTTGGCCATGTCCATGTGCTCATGTCCCGTTGTCAGCATTGAGTTCATCACATAGTGTGTGGCGAGTCATGTACAATCGTGTCAACCTATGCCTTCGTCGCCAATGCTCTGACTGCGACTCTGTGTGAGTGTAGTGTTGTGGGGCTAATTAATTCTGGCCATGCCGTTCGTAGGCCACTATCAGGGACACGATGTTAAAATGTGCACGACTCAGCGTTTTGCACACCTGTGCCTTGTCTAAGTTCACATGTAACGAAACCAGTTCGAAAGAAGTCGGAGAAACATCAATGACGGCTGTAACCACGGCGTGTCGAGATGGGGTGTGCGTTCTGTCTGTTACTACGTTTGTTTCTCGTGTCTTTTCAGTTGGGGATCCGGAATCATCAGTTTATTTTTTTGGTACGACAGGGGCAGCCTGCGTCAAAGCCGTCTGGAACCCAGGGTGTCCAAACGAAGAAGACAAACCCATAATTTTCTTGGAATTTTCGCGTCCATTCTGTTTGGTGGTGGTTGACAATAGGCGTTTTTCTTGTCTTTCCCTTCAGGTGGCGCTGGAGTCTTTCAACACAACCCACACCATCAACACGTTGACGTTCGGAGATCAACCCCCACCTGGACACGCCTCCCCTAAGCACGCGGTTGCCTCGACGGTGCTTGAGGGGCACCAGAAAACCGTTCAGGACACCCACGCCATGCACCAGGTTAGAAGAGACGGTCGCCGAGAAGAGGGGAAGAGTTAGGCAAACACGGAGAGAGAGAGGGAAAGGCGCACACACAGACAGACACACCGACAGATGTACCCAAGGGAGAGAAAGACTAAGACAGAGATAGATCGACAGAGAGAGAGAGAGAGAGATGTTGGAAACTGTTCGCGGTGCAAGGAGGTCGTGGAAACACACCGGAACCATGTCCATTGATGTTTTGTGCCATTTTATGATTTTGCTTTGGGTGGTGGGTGATTCCATTCTCATGGGTTGCATTGCATTGTGTTTCTCTCGGAGGTAGACCAGGGTACAGCATAGGAATGCGGCCAGGTGTCCGACTCAAGAAGTGCCTTGATTTTTTCCATCCTCGCCTAAGCCTCTTAGGGGCTGCTGTTGAAGTCGGCATTCAGAGGGCTAACAGCGATGTATTTTGCTTTTTGTGCTCAGCTGAATTGATCGTTGCCAATCTCCTGGTCGTGACAACGTGGTGAGAGCAGTAAGTATCATTGGGGCACCTCGCTCCCCGAACACACCTCTCTCCATCTCTCTCTGTACTGGCTGCCTTATCTAAAACTACTCCGCCGCGTCAGGTCTTTTTACTCGTGTGTATTCGGGTCGGTCTCGCACGTGGATTCCGAACGAGTTCCATGCCAGTGCCGTGCTCACCTTAAGCTGATTTTCTCGCTCTTCCCCATACGTTTCGGCGTTCTTCAGCTGCTTCAAATGTGATCTTGGGGCCCTGTTCGTCTGTTTGCATCACGATGTCTGGACCACACGCCCTGACTTTGCAAATATTGTTTTTGTTTTTTTTCGCTTTCGCGGAACGATTTGAAACGAATCGGCATTACAGTACTTCTTGCAGCTGGTGCCTACTGTTTACCGTCTGGACAACGGGGAAACCGTGCACAGCAACCAGTACTCCGCCACGGAACACCTCAAGCACGTGCACGACGGTAAGGGCGATCGGTGTTGTTGTTGCTACTTTGTCGTTGCCGTTGCTGTTCTTAATTGTTTCCCTTGTTTTCGTCGAAATCACGACTATTTGTGTGCCACCATGACCGCCTTCTCCTTCCCACGAGTACATTGTAAAACAAGAACATGAGGAAAAGTCCAAACACTCCAGAGGGGATTGGTCACTCAAGCCTGGTGCTCTGAGCACCTCTCGTCAGCGCAGGTGATCCATCGATGGGATCAACGCATCGGTTCACCCACCCACCCACCGTCCCACTCCTCGCACTTGTCATGGCCCGTCCTGACCTGAGGTCGCCCCACCTGCTACATATCTTGATACTTCTCACAGTGTCTTCTCTTCACCCGCATGTTTATTGATCAGGATGATGTCTTATTCTGCTCTCTTCTGTTGCTCGAACAGGAACTTCTCGAGGGCTGCCGGGGGTGTACTTCTACTACGAGGTTTCCCCTGTGCAGGCGTTAGTCGAGGAGAAGAGAAAAGGCTTCCTAGCATTTCTCACGGGGGCGTGCGGGGTAGTGGGTGGGGTTTACACCATCTTGGGGTTGGTGAACACGGGGATAGACGGCTTGCTGGGCATGGGGAAGGCGCACCGATCGAGATAGCATCAGCACCCGTTGTATGGAGGTAGCTCGGAGTAATTATTTGGGACAGCAAGGATGCAAGGTTGGTTGTTTCCGCTGGTTTTGTCGCCCCCAGTGGCGTCGACATCACAATCATCGTAATTATCTGTCTTTGATCCCAGAGCTTTTCCTTTTGCCTTGTTCAGGGGAACAACTTGACAAGGCAGCATCATTTTTTTTTCGTTTTTTCCGTGGTTTACTTCATACCCGTTGAGTGACGTATCATTCCACTACTGTATTTTTCAGTGTATCCGCGTGCTGGCGCTCCCTGGCCGTTTTTTCGTCTAGGCAGGGGGGAGGGGGTAACGCGCGGCGCATGGAGTTGGCATTACATGTAGTGGATGGATGTAAACACGGTCTACCACCACCACGCACGTCATCGGCGAAGATAACGCCTGGTGTAAACCCATTGTGTACGGTGAACGAGGCGCTGGTTCTGTTACTCATCGCGAAGTCTTACTACAGCATTTGTGTGGACCTGTTGCAGAGTTCCCATGCACGAATGCACGAAAGTTGAACGACCGTGCACGTACATACATCCAAGATTTACCCGCCGGCAATCACCGAATGCCATGCGTTCAAATGGAATTGACACGATGGGGGTATTCCCAGCGTGTTTCGGCACAAAATGGGGTATACTTTTTCTCGGTGTAGGGCGCAACGCCTGACGCCGGGTGGGCGCCCTGTGAACCGCCTTCTGGAGCTTCAGCCGCATGCGCCAGGGAGGACGTCCACATGTTTGTTCTTCATACACACAGGAACATGGGTAGGAAACTGTACCTTTCACGTGATTCCGAAGGTGGTCTCGACAACCCCGACGTCTGTCAGCACACTTGGACCGACCGATGGTGTTCGGACGGCGCCGTCATTTTCGGCTTGAACAAATCCTGGTCCGGTTGTGCCGTTCCCGTGCATCCGTCTACAGCAGTATAGCGTCTTGATACCCGGTGGGTCTGAGGCTCACGGTAGCCTGTCCTCGACAGACGACACCTACCTCTCGTTTGCTTGGCGGAAACGTTCAATGCCACTTGAACGGGGCTGCACACTTATTTTCGGTGCGGTGTGGGAACGCATTATCGCTATGACCGAGTTCCGTGGCTGCGAAAGCTCCAGGCGACACTATCCTGATCCATCGTCCGCCGACTACATACGTGGTGCTCGCTCTGACGGACGAACACGCATCGGCCGCACGCAATGTTTTGATGCTACAGTAAGTCGAGCTTGGCAACCCCGCTCGATAGCTGCCGACCATCGACATCAATGCCCAGGGCAACTAAAATAGTCGTACGCCAGTGCAAGCAGCCATGTATGCCGTTCCCTGACTGTTGATGTTGTCTTCAAATTGAAAGCCGCTCTGAACTCCGTCCATTTCCTCCCGTCCGATCCGTACTATTTGCTGAGAGAATGCACAAATTGCCGTGGTCACAGCCGTAAAACCCGATCCAAGTACAATTAAAAAAAAGGTTTCCGTGCGAGAAGCGCCAATGTTCAATGCACGGAACTACTGTACACACCCATTGTGGAAGGTGGGGCAAAAAATAGGCCAACCAACTGGACAAAGAGTTCATCGCTCAGACTCGAAAGCTGGGTCAAAACAAACCCGTGCGTCACAACTCTTGGCAGTATATTAGGCGCAAAGAGCAAGTACGCGACCCTCACACCCCTGCGAAACAAGTCGACGGTCTTTTCTGCCAACCTGACGATCAATCCCCTGTACACCCTGGATGTCTCAGAAGCTCTGTCCCTGTAGCAGACAGTACTGTATGCTCTATCCTAGCCAGCATCACCACCCAGTGGCCTCCTCACGAAAGACGATGTAACGTCTACGTGCATCTAGTACGAAGCGAGTCGGAGAGTCCTGTCTTCGACTTGACACCAAGCAGGCAAACACCCTCTCTCTCACATCACATCTAGGTTCGGCGAGACAACCGCTGCAGAGGGAGATCCTCCCACAATCGGGCAGTTGGAACGGTGGCTCTCCTAAACCAGCCCCCGCTATAAAAAAATTGGCCAATCAGAAAACTGCGGGGACCTTTTCTCTCTCTGCTGCGTTCCTAGCAAAACGCATGACCCCGAAAATTGCGACCATACCTGCAAATCGAAAACACAGTAATGGGGGAGCTGCTTTTTCGCCTCAAGTACGGTACATGTGTTATACCCCCCCACTACTAGCATTGTATTTATGGTTTCGATAGTATACATGTACCTAGTATACATGACATGTACCTAGTATACATGACATGTACCTAGTATACATGACATGTACCTAGTATACATGACATGTACCTAGTATACATGACATGTACCTAGTATACATGACATGTACCTAGTATACATGACATGTACCTAGTATACCTCTACAGCGTTGTTACGGTTACAGGAGATCGAACCAATACGGCATCCCCTGACCGAGCTCCCACAGGGCCAAGCCGACGCCGAGCTCCGACGCCAAATCGATCCGCTCCTGATGTGGGAGGTAGCAAATTGGCACCGGCGTTATGGGAAGGGCATCGTGGGAAAGGACCGAGCCGTCTCGTGTAGTAACCCGATGCCAACAAACGCAGTAAACATTTGGACGGGTCCTGACCAACACCGTAAGGAGGGCGAGCTGTAGAAGAGACACAGTGGGAGAGAGGCGGGCACACCTACTAGACTACACCACAGACCAGACAACAAGATGACAGAACCAGGGCCTAGCGTTGAATGTACAAAATATTCTTCCTACGTCAGGGCAACTCGCATCATACCCCACACACATGCCTCCGCCGAAAAGGAAAAGGGCTTCAGTTGAGACCGGGGCTACTCCCTCATTATCATGAAATTTGAAGATCCTCCGGTCGTCGTCGTTGCGGACAATACGGTCTGCACAGAACACAACCGTGTCTCCCCCCTCCGAAGCTTCAATACGACGGCGGACAGTCTCGTACACACGTGTCAATAACACCATTCACCACGCGTGACTCACACCCGAGCAATGCAATGCAATCATATCAGTGCCTACCGTCATTGGGATTTGGTCGACACGAGTGTTATGGAAGTACTAGCTAGGAGCCCGCGGTGTCAACGCTGTTGGTACGTATGAGCCCCGTACTGTTTGTTTCTCTGCAACGAAAAGCCGACATTCTACGTGGAAGCATCTCGAATCCATACACATTGTAGGCTGACCAGCAGATAAAGATAGCAGAGAACAAGGGGGCGTGGCCTTAGCCACGAGAGGCACTTCACGCGCAAAACTAGTCCGCCGAAGAATGAGGCTGAGCGGGTGAGCCATCGATCGGGGTTACATGTACACGTCCTTACTGAAGCTACGCACCTGTATGAAGGCCAGTGTAGGGAACGTCGCGACGTGCTCCTGGAAGCCCTCAGCACCCCTCTCTCTGTAAGAAAGGACGTGCTCCCTCCACTCCGAGTCCCACTCGAGACCAGCGGGGAGGACGTTGCCGCCTGTGAGTAACGAAACCACGTCCCCTGAGGTGATGGCCCGACCATTGTCGTACCCTGTGTGGACGGCCGGGGGCATGTGACGGCCGAGAATGCGGTGTCAAACGTATCACGCCGAACAAAATTTTGAAGGCACAGACGCTATTCAGAGTTGGGGCACTTCGAGAGACGCCCTGGGGCGGTATTGGTTTTATACCAGAAACGATTGTGGTTCGAGTCTCGCTGTTCAAACTACAGCATGGTGTGAGCCGAGACATTTGTGGGGTGAGGACAAAACCTTAACATGAACATGTGGTGAGGACACGAGAGAGGAAGGGGGGGAGAGAGCCAAGCCATCGTCACGAAAATGCTGACAAATACGGGCAGCTTGAATCACGCCGAATAATAAAAATGCGAAACGATTCAGCGGCGACGGGGATACCAGAATAAACAATTTCAGCATGCAATCATATTTTCAGCATGCAATCAAGCAATATCCCCCTTTTCGCTGAGCTAACACAGAACCCAAAGTGAGTCCTTGCCATCGCGGGCGAGTCCGAACCAATAAATAGGAAAAGTCCTTCATCCCAAGCACGAAGAGCTCCGTGACAGCAGCAATCAATGCAATGCTCGTCCCTTCACGCACCCAATGACGCGACCACCAACGCTTCGAACGCCTTCCATTTCAGATGTAGTCGAGCGTGAGAAGACGCGAAATGGGTGGACACAGGCATGGGTTTCTCTTCACGCGGGCGGTTTGTTTCCTACATCAACAGGAAACGAATGTTTCTCACCGTAGAACGGGAGGCCGATAAGAGTCTTCGCGCGCAGCTCGCTCCCCCGCCCACCAGGCGCGAAAGCCTCGACACACTCTCGCACCCATGAAAGTGGACTGTTGGGGACGCCACCGCCTTCCCTTCTGTGCCCGCGGGACGCACCTGTTTGAAACACGCAAACAGAAAGTGGCAACATGGGTGTAGCCGTTCTCCAAGGACTGTACTTGCATATTCCCCCACCTAAAGAAACGTGAACTTCGGAGAGTTCCATCTAAATCGTGGGCGTTCAAGAAACCAACTGAAAGCAGAAGCCAACTTTCCGCGAATGGGAAACAACGCGTATTGCTCAGCCGTTACAGCGTCGTTTCATACGTACACCCCAGCGGAACACGCACAGATCACAAGACGACTCAACTACAGCAGTTCTCAAGCCAAAGATGTTGGTGTCGACATCACCACGCCCTCCACCCAACATCGAAAACAGACCGCATGAACATATCAACATTTCACTAGGCTCATTGTCGTTTTCCTGGCCTTTAACAACCCAACGCAGCAAATCTGAAACCGCCGACTGCCGACCTGTGATATTTGGAAACTGAAACGGTCTTCCCGTAGAGCGATACTAATCCAAAGCCTGGGGGAAATTGTACATGGAATTTGGTCGTGCCCGGAAAAACTCGCGATGCCACATCAGTGCGGGCTGACCACCGTAGCACAAGAAAAGCTGATCCGATCTTGTAAATGAGATACCGGCGCTGCACACAGAACAAAAGGAAGGGTATTGAAGCTATTTGCATGAACCACATCTGCGTGACATGTACCATGTATGTTTTTTGGGTGCAGCAGGTTCGTCAAAGGCTGAAAGAGGAAGAACGTTGACTCAAGACCTTCATTGCTTACAGGCATGATGCAGGCAAGAGGGGTCCCACGCGTCATGTCCACCAACCCCACATCACGATCCACGTAACCCCCCGGAGGCCCCGCAGATCAGTACTCAGCCGAGCACCCCCAAACACTATGTACGTAAGTATGTACCTTGGGGATTGTCCGACGGCCGGTAGTCGTAGGTCATGAGCGAGAATCGGTGGATGAGAGGAACCAGCCGATCGGTCAGGTGTGCAGACAGAGAAACGCCCGGTCTCACGGACTGTTGATTGAAACGTCCAAGGAACGGTGGGCAGGGTGAGAGAAATTGTGAGCTGCAGGATACAAGGAAAGGGGCGGGAGCACCTACGGGGGGCAGTACATGTACAGTAGATACCCCCAACGCACGACGGAACGACAGCGAAAAAGTAGCTCTCGAAAGCGGGTACACCTACGACAGCACCACAAAAATGACGTCCAAACGTCCTAATGTGTGCCTTTCGCCAAGTTGAACCCCCTTCACGTTCGTCAGCAGCCGGCTACAACTGCTTGGCCGATCTACATTCTTCCAAATCCAGAGCACACAGTTCATGAGTGCTTGTCATACATGCAGGTCCCTGCGCTGTCATCTTTTCCACTGTTCTGTCGAATGCCGTGGTACAGCGTTGACCATGTCTAAGTCATCGTAATGCACGAGTATCTTCGAATGAGTTTTTCGCCACCCAGGTCTCATTGCGATCGCTAGTCTGCCGCCTTTTGGGTGCCGTGAAGGCAAGCTGTAGCACCTGTATGAGTATTAGGTCTTCACCCATCCTGGAGGCGGCTCTCTTTATTCCAGACACGAACTCCTCGATGCCGTCGGAAAGAGGGATGTCCAGCACGTACCCGTCGTACCTGTCAACAAGAAAAAAACAGTGGCGATTAGCGCGAAGTCTCCACCTAAGGAGCCGGCAGAGTGCACCCTATGCCGTAGGGGCTTTAGTGCGGGAAACAACCACGGAACCCAGCCCGCATGACTCGCCTGGGTGTCGGGGAGAGGGAAAACGTGACACGTACGAAATGTTTCCATCACACCAACACCAAGACAAAAATGATGTTGGGTCTGAGGTAGGCAGACACGACAGCGTGGCGAGAGCAAACAAAAAAGCAGCAGGGTAGCTCACCCTCTTTGCACAGCCTCCGCCACAAGCAGCTCTGCCATCTCCCGAAGATCCGCTTGGGAAAGAGCAGAGCCTTGCCGCAGCTCCAACACCACACGAGGAACGATCTGGCCAAGGCAACCATTGATAACAACCATTGAACGTCCACCACGAGGAACGGGTACAGACGTGAAAATACATAAATGTACGGCATACGGTCGCCTCGCGGTCGACAACGAGACAAAGACGCTTCTCGTCGAGCTCTAAAGGGCTACGGTATTATTCTACAACGAATCGCCCCGTGCTTAGCTTATCACGAACAACGCCCAACACGCAGACAAGTACAAGCAACCGATAGCTCAGTATCGATACTCAAAAGGCAGTGTCGCCTGCTATTCCTATTTGAGTCATTGAGAAAGTTGTGCTGTAGTTTCATTCTCACTTGTATTGTATTGTATTGTACTGTACATCCGCGAAGGTGCCGGTGAACGATACCATCACAGCAGTGTTCAGAAGGACCACCACCACAACTACAGTACTGTACGCCGGAGTGATACGAAACGAAATACATCATTCACATTTCGTTCCGTACTTGCCCCAGACTCCCACTCCCTCTCCGTCAACTAGGTTCTCGAACACCGATGCCCTACAACACCCACGGCGATATCACAACATCCCATCACCTCACCCCGACAACACCCACAAGAGCGAACCTTTGCGTAGAAAACAAAGCGCCGCCTACTGCCATGTTGCAGTTCTTAGTCCTTATCTTTGAGAACCCACCTTTGTCACTTCACCGTTCCTTCCGTCCCCTTGACCGACACCGTGCCGCACGTCCGAAACCCAAGCCTCGTCAAAGTCATGCCCGCCCGCCAGGTGAAAGAAGGGACTGTCATTTCCTCCTCCCTGGGAAGGGTCTCTTTCGCGACCGCCCCTAAGCTGGTACCACACCGGGCTGACGTACGTGAGCTTGGAGCGGAAAGTCCGGGCGAAGTCGTACCCTCCACCGTGCCAGGGAGTGACGTACCTTTACACGTGCATCAATGGTGCGGCGGATTGGTACAGCAGTAGTGGTTCAGAGTATATCGAATGGTCCGCTTGGGTGGCTTCGAGAAGTTGTGGGCCCGATCAACCGTAGCAGGCCAGCAGGCCACGCACGCTAGACAAGTGAGCAAGTATCAAACGGGAAGGGACGCCGTTGAAATAGATGAATCAGATATTCGGGGAATCTATCGGGCCCGATAGATAAAAAGACGTAATATTTTCCCAATGCCGGAGAGGGACCCAATTGTGGGCGTGCCAGGGATACATCGAAGTGTCCAACCCAACCACAAACCGAAACCAAACGTTCAAACAACAATTCGGCCGACACCAACAATAACTGTCTACTGTCTCATATAGTAACAGATTCGTGATGAGAAAAACACGGGATGCCTGTGCTAACTTGGACTTCACTGGAGCATCAATCAGCCGTCGCTGTTGCTGCTTTCGTCCTGTCTTCATGGTCGAGTCTACTTACATTGAACCACACTGTTAGCGGGTGCCTGCGCCGACGTCTGCGTACCACACATGCAATGCTTCCTCGCAGCATGGCGGTCAGTTTGCGACAGAGGAATAGGGGACTTCGATTCCAAGAAATATCGAAATTGACAACAGCGACAAGACAACACCAGCATCGACGACAGCGACCATTAGTCTATCACCTCACATCTCACCCTAGGGTTTCGCCTCCAAAATTGACCTTCTTCTCCTCCGAGTGCCAAGCTTGGTGCTCCTGGGTGAAGTTAAACCGTCCGTACCACGAAAAAAATGGAGCCAATCAATCGTCAGCAGTGAACTAATCCGAAGTAACGATGAGCACCACGTTGTGCAAGGTGACGGCAAACATGTTGGCTCTACGGCAGTTTGGTATGGTAAGCAGTGTCGTATTTGAAGGTATTGGAGAGCTAGACGTTCAGACAACAGGGGCATGACACCACCCTCGTCCGCGAACATTGAATAAAACTGGCGGACAAGACTCCACCAGTCGAACCGCCACGTGCGGCGTGTGCACCGAGAGCCACATGGAGCTACCCGAAGCCTAGAGACAGCGAGAGACGGCGAGGCCGACATTCCGACGAAAACCATCTAGCCAAAATACCGCCACACCAACGACTATACTCCACGAGTCACAATGACACCTATGTAGTCCCTTCTCTCGTAGTACCGGCGGCGTGCCTGTTAGTATCATGGGAGCGCTAACAGGAAACATACCAAAACCGAATATGGCGGTGCCCTTACCCGTAAAATGGAAGCTGGAGACACTTCCGTCGTCACCAAGCCCCGATCCCTCACAGACAGCGACACCGGTCCTTGCAAGACTGCACCGTCCAAAGCACCATCGGATAACCGCCCCGGATCTAGGGCTTCTTCTGCGGTACTCTCCCTCGGCGACACAACCTGTCGATTTAGAGCCGAAAGCAAGAGAGCATAGTAGGTGTTCTCAAGGGTGGAAACTGGTTCAAGACTTCTTGAGTCGACTGGACGGGTCGGCTGCCCACTTGGTCGACTGCTGGTGCCGATCATTTCCACTACGGAAGGGTTGTGTAGGCCACAGTAGTGCTCGATGGCGGAGGCGATCTCTGCCGACAACCACGCACTTTCTGGACGAAAACGTGGGCAACACCGCAGCATCAGTGTTCAACTGTCCGTATGGGGTTGGGCACACATACGGACGATGTCGTTAACCTGTCGCCTAGGGAAGTGTGCTGGAGCTCTGGAGAAGTTGAACCTTGCCTCGTCATTCAAAGGCTTGGCGTCGCTAATACTGCACACGTCATGATGCCAAAATTGGAAGTCAGCAGGAGCGTCCCGCTCGCTTCTCCATCCCCCCCATACACCATGTCCTTGTCCTTGTCCATGTTTACCGCTTAGGAAAGATCACCGCCCAGCAGTTGGTCAGCCCATACCATTGAGACCGTAACTACTCGTCAACTTCCCGATGAGAAAATGAGGTACAACGTGAACAAAGCGGCTGTAACACGGACATTGTTGATGTCGAGGCACCATACAAATACCACAAATACCACTGGGGCGGCAACATTCTACCTCGCAATCTTCGTCGTCATCACCCTCGCCCCATTCGTCCGTGTCCTGGCCGATGCATACAGTCCCGCCAACAGTCCCGCCAACATCGACGACGGCCTCAACCACCTCGACATCACCTCGTCTCCCAATCGCCCTTGCAAATGATTGGACATGCCGCGTGGACAGGAGATGTTTTGCAGAGAGAGCCAGAAGGTTTGTGAACCCGAAAAGCAGAGGATAGCGGACGCGAGTAACTACCTCATAGCTCAGAGATATAAGGGAGGCAGCCATATGGTATTTCAGCCGCATAGAGTGGCAGTAGCTTGTTTGGTCTGGATGGGCATCCTTCAAATTTTGCGAAAATCTATGCGTTTGTCTTAGCAGGTGCTAACATCGAAGCGGGCATTGTGTGACAAATCTTTTGGGAACCCAGGAAAACGTTCCAGTCGATGGGGCGCTCCTGGCAAGTTCACGCGTCCCCATGGACGGGTCGGAACTCTCATCCTACAGCAGCGCTACTGTAACCCTCCCGAAGAAGCGGGGCTTCGTTGGTGTACTGTAGCCTGTAGCCTGTCGACGGAAAGGCTCTACATGCTTGGTCAATTGGCTTCGAGTGGATGCATGCTCCACGTGACTCCTCCTTCTGCTAGACTATTTAACTATTTGACTAATACATGTACTTTGCTGTTCAAGTTGAAGTCTTCTTCCTTAACCCTTACGTGACTGGGTTAATTTGATTGCTTTAGTTTTTTCCCCGAAACTGGCTCTCTGCAGTCAAAGATCTTCCAAGCATGCGTGTACACCCACAAATCACGGCGGCAAGGATGGTGCAGCAGTGGGTCCCTGTGCGGGGCTCACAGGGATCGGGACGTGGTATATGTAAGGATGACGAACAGGAGTACGGTAGACGGTAGTACTACTGCCGTACAGCAGTAGCAGCTATGCGGAGAGAAATAGACTGTACGGCAGCAGTAGTTTCTGAGCAGGTGTGCATGCCTGTCTCGGACAGCAACCGTCCGCACAGAGGATGTACCTGTGCAAGTAATACCTGTTGGCACATCTTCTCCACCTCATCCTTGGACAGAGCATACGGCAAGCGCATATGCTAGCGGGGCTAGATGCGAAGACGCTGACGGGAAACTGCCTCACAGAAGCGCCAGATCGACGAAAAAAACGGCCCGCTCATCAGAGAATCGAGACCATCATCCACCATCGCACAAAATGCATCAAAATCGTGATAAATTTTACCATTCTGTACTACAAATAAAGGGCTGTGGTCGGAGCTGTGATCGGAGCTGTAGTCCCGAAAACCCTTGAGCGAAATTTTGCACACAGCAGACTAACCACCGTTCACTCCCAAAACTGGAAACCACACGCACCGCAATCACAAGAACATCAAGCATCGAGGCAGTACGTTAGCATCAGCTCCGGTGTGCGCTTTCTCTGCCCTCCTCCGCGGGTGCGGCACCGGGTTGATCACATGTTCAGGGTGCTGTATGTACCCTCCGGTGGTGTTTTGCGTTTGAATCTTTCAGTACCGGTAGGCAGTTGATTGGATCTGGAAAGGATATCTGCCCCACGTCAGAGAGATTAGGCCTGGGTGAATAGTATTGTACTATGTGAGTCCTGTGCGCATTGCTGATAAGCGTGCTTTTGGGGTGGGCTGCCTGTGTTTCCCTGCTGGTCTCTATGTATGTTCGCTCATAGCCGAGGCACAACGGCGATCTTTCGGCACGCAAATTGATCGGAGCCGAGAACGGAGCTGAATCGGCCTGTAAGGGTTAAGTCACCCCACCGGTACGATACGAACAAGGGTGGCAAAAGGGGTTCCCCCGACTGGTCTTGTGGGTCTCGTGTGCGTTCTCTGGTGCTCTTGCGGTTGTTTTCGAATCAGTCAACGTGTAATATCTGTTGTCTGCCGTGATTTTTAGCAGTACAGCAGTGAAATAAAAATTGCGGGGCAATGCCATGGAGGGCATCGACTGTTATTTTCTGCAAGCTACAGTAGACATTCAGGCTACACAATCCTTCAAAGCGATTTCATTTTAACGACGGTAACTGCTGTATTGCATGTTTGCATACACATGAATGCCACCATACATGAATGCCATACCTTCGAGCATGAAGGATGGGGATCCCATGCAGCAGAACGGCCGCGAAGAGAAGCAGCGGCGAGTTGCGTGGGAACATCACCGGCAGAGGAGAGATGAAAATAGCGTGTGACACAGGATCGAAAGAAGATCGCCGCACAGAAGTAGTCGAATGCTTCTCCAGGACGCCTAGTGTGCGCGTGCACAGGTAACCCACGCCAAACAAGACAGCAGAAAACGCAGCCTGAGCGATAGAATCGCCTCAACGGGCAACACGCAGCTCAATCAAGCAGTTTTTAGAGCGATATCGATACCGAGTCCGTTGCCCCAATCACATCAAGCGTAGGCTTTTTCGCCAGCGGCAGGAGATAAAACAAGGAGAAGCGTGGATTTCCTTGTCGTGCCCTTGACGACTGCTTGCCGCAAGAATGCCGATTGTCTACCCCGAGCGACAAGAGCGGAAGCACCGCTGTTGCAAGCCTGCAGGGTTGCCAAATCCGAGAAATTTCTGACAGTCCCGGAGGGGGTACAACTTTATACTCTCTTCCTTGCTCGGCGGAGCCCCTATGCCCGGCAAACACGCAAATGTGATCCAGTGGCAGAGTTGCAGCACAGCCGCACGGACGCGAGGAATAACACCGACAACGCTACCATGAACGACTCCTCCGGGCGAGAGATTATCACTCTCCAGGTGTGTACCCCCCTTCCTGCTGTCGTTGAGCGTGGCTGGCGCACCAAAGGGGCTCTTGAAGACTTCTGTACAGCAGCAGAACACGCCGTCCCGTCCAACAGACACGCGCACCTCCCACATTATGACACGCATGCCTAGGATACGGCTGAAAATTGGGTGGTGCAAGCACCACAGCTCAGACACTGGGGGGAGATAGGCCGCGTTCGCCTTGCTAATGCAATCTCTGACTGACCTGTGGGACCACCGTTGCCATTCAACCAATCAGAGACGGGGAGGTGAAATTTAAACTCTCTCTGTTCCAGCTACCGCGACTGGCAGCTACCCGGCGACTGGCAGCTACCCAGTCAGGGCTGCCCGCATACAGGACCCGGTCGAGGCACAGGCCGAACGCAGAGACCAACGTAGGAGGCGACGAAGGAGCCCAACATACGGAGGCTCGGGCAGTCGCTCGGAGGTAGCAAACAGGACATATTCTGCGTCCTCCTCCACCCCGCCCCCCGCCTCTCTCTCTCTCTCTCTCTCTCTCTCTCTCGCTCCCTCTCTCCCGCCCACCCCACACGTCTCCGCAATGCTGCTTCTACATTAGAGATACAGCAGTTGATAAGTCTGCTGCGCAGGGCTTGTGATGCCCTGGCAACAGAAGTGGACGATGTATGTAGATATAAGATGTCACTGACCCCTCCATACAACTCTGCCGGTGCCGCCCAGCTACCTACAATATGTACCCGCAATGCGTGCTCTTCCACCTCTTTCTGACTTCGATGCCCGTATGCGTACAACTGAAACTATCTCGCGCCGAAAAGACGAAAAGACGGAGGAGTCGAAACCTCTGCCGTTAGCACCTTTATTTTGCCGGCCGTACACGTGCGAACGTTTGGCGGGGAGGCGCTACTGCCGTACTAATTTATGTAGCATATCCACGTTTGGTGTGAGACGGTTGTGTCAAGTCTGCGGTATAATAGTACATAGCTCGACGAATATTGTTTTCGTTCTTCCTGTGTACGCCTGTATGTGCGGCGTGGAATAGTACACACCAGGCTTGATCTGATCTTTCTTGGGAGAGTGAGGAACGCCATTGGTTAGGGTAGAGGTAGAGGTAAAGGTAGAGCGTGTAGAGTGAGCGGAAGCTTCTGTGCTTGCACGCGGGTTCAGCATGCACCCCGAAGGTATATTCCGACAGACAGGTTCATCATCTGACACGTCGCTATCTACGAGACATTCAATGGTGACACTCACAAAGGGCCACATTAAAACATGGCAAACCTGACCGTGGACATGCACGTTTCACTAGAATCGGGGTTGAGTTCTCCGAGAAAAGGGTGCCTACAGGGCCTTTTTGTTACCAGTATGTGCCTTTCCACGTGCGGGCAAGACGGGGGCCGTTTTTTATGGCAGGCATCGAACGCGTTTGCCCCCCTGCCCGTTCCCGCGGGATATATTGGCCGAGGGTGATAAACCTAGTCCTCGAGAGGTGGAACCATGGTCGTTCTTGCAGGCCCAAATTTATCCGTTAACGTGCTGTCGAACGTGCCAGAATAATGATTGCATGCAATTGAACGGAAGAGACAGAGATAGATAGATGGAGAGAGGGAGAGAGAGAAAGAAAGAAAGAGAGAGAGATACAGCGCTCTGGCGCTGACGTTCGTACAAACCAACCTTCTTGCCATTAACACGTGCACGGAAGAATTGCAACTTTTGACAAGGCTAACGGCAACCCTTGTTTGGGGGGTGGCTCTACGGTACATCCCACACACCCATGGATGGTGATGGCCGTGTCGGGAAACAGGTTTCTATTTACCCTCTGGATGCGAACATTTGCCATAACCAGTCGTGATGATTGGCATTTTCTCTCCGAATGCTGGACGAGGCGGGCCCGATTTCAGGAATGTCACAGAGCAATGTGTTGTTCCTTGAAGGAACGGTCATGCTTTGTCGATAACCTCTATCTGTGAACTGTTTTCATTCTGCATGCCTACCTTTCATCGAATCCAACAGGTCGGGCGATACGCGAATTTCGTGGGGACACATTTCTGGAACTTCCAGGACGAGCTCTTGCTGCTGGCGAGCCGGGGGGGCGTAGTGGATACCCCGTACGAGCATGGCGTGTTGCACCGCCAGGCGGCCGAGCGGTCTCGCGGAGGAGGCGGCGGTGGAAGTGGGGAGCGGACGCCAAGGCTGGTGGCCTTCGACACGAGGTGTGGCGTGCTTCTTAGCAGTTTTCCCGTGCTTACCCTTGATGTGGTGAATAAAATGTGTTGTTCGGCTACATCTCGGTGAATGGTATGCATGGTTGCCCGACAATTTCACGTGTTTCTTGGCCGATTCTCTCTTTGCCTCAAAATATGCCTCAGCTAGGTTTCGCGCAACCGCCGCTCTTCTTTTGTGAGCTTACGCGCATGCCTTCGTTCGTACCGAATCCATCACCTCAGCGACAGACACAACCTGACAACCTCACAACCTGAAGACTGTGGCCTCGACCGATCATTCCCCCCCTGGTGTGGTCCGAGTGCGAAGACTGGGTTCATGTAGTTGGGAGGATATCCGTTTTACGAACACGAGAGAGAAATGCGTATGATTGAGCTGGGTAAAGTGGAAGAATTGGTTACGTGGCTGTAGAGGAAGGAGCTTTGAGACATGAGACATGGCATAGCCACGACAAGACGACCTAACACCTATGGACCTATGGCATACAAGACATTGGTACGCCACCCCTGGTGGCTCGATACCTCAACAGGTGATTCGCTCTCATTCTTGTCCATTGCCATCGTGCATTCGTCCCTTTGCAGTTTGAGATAAGCCACAGCAGCAGCATGAACGGCGACGATAATGAAAACAGCAGAAAATACACCACTTAATTGCATGATAATTGCTCCCTACCCCCCCCCCCCCCCCCGTTTCCCCGTTGTCTGCAGGGATGCCCTCGGGTCCTTGAATCCATTGGGTCTGGTGGGCGGGGGAGGGGCGCGCTCAACGGCGACAGCGGAGGTGGCGCAACCTTCATGGGCGGGTGGGGTGAGAAATCCATTCTTGGCACACGTCTTCCTTTCGTTCTCGGCCAATCGTGATGCCTTGCCCCTAGTGTTTTCCTTGTGGCAACATTTTGTGGCTCAAGCTAGGGCGAAGTTTGCAGATGGTAAGGAGAGTCACGGTGTGGTGCAGGTGGCGAGGTTTTGCGCGTGCTGATCGACGCGAAATTATATGGCGTCATGCCGGGCCACATTTGGTGGGGTTGATATTGATAGTTGATAAGCATACATAGCGGTGGTGGTGTTTGGAGGACAGGCGTTCTAGTGCTTTCGTGGGCGCGCGAAATACGGCGTGTCTCTTGAGGAGGTTCTTCAGGCCGCTGCCTCGCCCGCTGTGATTGTTGGCTTGCGCACGATTAGCTCGAAGTGCTCTCAGCGCTTCCTCGCTTCCTAACCACTCCATTCCTCGCTTCTTCATGGATGCCGCTGTTTTTTGCTGCTGCTGCTGCTGCTGCTGCTGCTATCCTCTGCCCCTTGTCACTCAGGTATCGGTGTTCCGACAGCCGTCCCTTGAAAGAAATGCCCTTCATGAGTACCTCGACAACGAAGATGCCGCTGCCAACGCCGTCGCCGCTGGAGGGGGCTCCGCAACAGAGGGGGGGTGGTGGGGTGGGGGTGTAAGCAGTGAAAAGGAGGAGGACGAGGACAAGGACGAGGAGATGGAGGTGAATGGGGCACGCAAAGACGGGCTCTCTGTGGAGAGTGGTTTTGACAATGTGTGACCGCTTTGTAGTTCGCCGGACGTCGCCGTTAGTATTTCAGGGTTACGGCGGTGAGGGTGAGGGCAATAACGGGAACGGCGACGACGGGGGGTTGGTGAGAAGTTGACGTCGAGATGGCGTGGCCCGCCCGCGTGTTCGTGGTTTGTTGGATACTTCCATGGGTAGTTGTTTTTGGTGCGCATGTCTTTGCTACGAAGCGATTCCTTGCAACCTACCTACAGACCACATGTTCGACTTGCTACTGACTCCACAACATGATTATGATGACTACAATGCTTGCCGTGTTGTGTCGGCTCAACACGAAAGCGACGTCCGTAGTTTTGGCGAAGTGGCCTTTAGAGACCTTAGACTAGCCGTGCAAAGCTTGGACGTGTTCTGAGAATGTACGGTACCATGTGGCTGCTGTTCGAGGGACCAATGGTTGATATGCTTGTGTTGTTTGGGCTGTTCGTTCTAGAGGGCCATCTAAGACGTGTGGTTGGGTACGGCTAGCTCTACCGACGAGTTCGCTACTCGTCTACAAAGCTTGGAACCCACGATTAGGCATGCTCCCTCTATTTAGCTTTCCAAATTTCGCCATACAATTGTTTGATTTCTTTTGTGCGTGATATCTGTCTGTGCACTTCTGTGACGCCTTCGGCATCTGCGTTTTGTTGTTGCAGGAGGCGAGGGCCACGGGTGACGTCACTCGGTTGACGAAGCACCCCTTCGGCCTTGACGACACGGTCACGTCATGGTGAGACCTGGCACTTTGACCAACACCCCCTAGGGTAGTAAGGTGAAGGCCAAGTGCTTGCCATACCACCGCCTTTTGAGAGGGACGAATGAATCGCACTGCTACCGTGTTTTTCCCGTCAGTGACATAGGAAAACTGCTTTATCTAACCTTTTGGGCGACAGTTTGTCGTCAGTGCGTCGTTTTGCATGTACGTTTTTTTGCTTTCGGTTTAGCAGTTTCTTCTTTCTCCGTGCGATGGCTTCATCACTGCGCAGTTCATCCCATGTAGGATGTTTTAGCTGCATTTGTAGCGCCTGCGAAACTCGTGCGAAGACTTTAGATTGCGATAGTTTGCGTTCAAGCCGATGACATGTGACCAATCGCCTTCGTGTTTTCGCATCTTGCCTAAGAGGATAGTCATCATCGGCGTACCCTATGCCACAAAGCAACCCAACAACAGCGATGATTGGTCGATTTCACAGCACGCTGCGAGGGACAAAGCCACAACGTGGCCCCTCTTACCCTTGGAAACCCGGTGATTTTGTTGCCCATGTTGGCGAATAGTTGGACCAGTACGGATATTAGAAGGTACTGAGCGGAGACAGGAACGGTTTTGGAATGTGCAGGCGACAGCAACAACACAACTGTTGGCGGAAAGGAATTCTTAGAAATCCCATCATCCACGTTCGACATGTCCAGGCCTGACTTTCTCAAGTCACGGCTGCATCCGAGGGCGTTGCAAGAGCTCCCCTTCCGAGATGAATCGAGCGATTTCGGTCTCTATGCCTCCGGAGGGGGGGGCGGGGGTGGCAGCAGAAGCAGCGCTCTGGGCGAAAGTGACCGGGAGCAATTCTCGGACGCCCTCAGGCAGCAGCTGGAGGAGTGTGACGCTGCCCAGGGCACGCAGGTGAAATTAGCTATGATTTGTCATGTGTTGGCATGGACCGCCGCATCTCAATAGAAAGCTGGGATTAGAATAAAGTCGGGGAAGGGGGAGATATTTCGTTACTTCTGATGATGCCGCGGGGGGACTCAAGCTTAAGGAGAGGGGTGGCACAACACAGGGAGGCATTCCTGTGATGGGAACTAGGTCACAGCGCTCCGCAAGGGTCTAGCACGGAGACACAGGCTCGGTGTTCGGTTCCTTGAAAGTGTTGAACTGCAAGGGGAAGTGGGAGATGGCAAGGCATGGAGGTTCTGTGGCTGGCGGTGGATGTTCAGGGCTTCCTCAAGTGTTCAAGCCTTATGGGCCCTTTTAGTGCACCCTCCTACCCTACCCAGAACGGCCAGGGTTTCTCTCATCTCTTCTCTCATCTCTTTTACGACCTCACTACTAAGCACCTTGCAACAATTTTGCCGTTTGCTCCACTATTCGCCATCGTCAAACATGAACAACCCTGCTGCCGCCCCTCCGACACGCTTCCACCCATTTTTAGCCGGGCCTTTCCCTTCTCTCCCTCTCCGACCCAGTATCATCTGCAGTACAGCCCTAGGTAGACTCCATAGCCCTGAGCTGCCTGCAGTACATTCCTCTAAACGGCCGCCAAATCGCTGCACGCTGAGCAGCCGAAGTACCCCCGCGCTCAATGTTGAACACTCGAAAAACAAACCTCTCACCCCCCCCCTGTATCGCCATCCGTCGTATCAAATGCCGCGAGTGCAGACTTTGGTGGACCTAGAGGGCGGCTGGTCCGGCCTAGGCTCGGCGCTGGCTCTTGAGCTCCAGGAGGAGTGTCGCAACCGCCCAAGGGTCTGCTACTCGCTTCTAAGACAAAAATATGCTCCTGCTGGACCCGGCTGCCACGCGCCTGGCGCGATGGTGACGGCGGCGGCGGTTGGGGCGGGGGGGGCGGCGCGATCGGCCGTCAACCTAGCGTTGGGTTTGCATGGTTTGAACGAGGCGTTCTCGTTATCCTTCGTGCTTGACGAGGAGGCGTGTAACGCAGAGGTGCGGTTTTGCGGTGATTTTGTCAGCGTTGTTCTTCGATGTTTTTTTTTTGCGGTGGAGAGTAACTCTCGCCTCCTGCTGGTGCTGTTTGTTGTGTTGTAGGCCTCATCGGGGTATCTGGTCCTGCTGTTTGCTGAGCTGTTGTCGGCGATGCTGCCTTTACCATTGGTAACGCCGTGGTTGTCCGTTAGTTTACGATTGGATTGTGGTCTCGAAAACGCCCCTACTATCATGGCAGCACCATGGCTTCGATTTCTTGTACAAACTCCGTGGTCATGCATGTACGTGGCGATCGCGGGACGTCCTCCCTTGCGAGTTTCCCACCAATCCGGGTCATGATCATTTTCGTACTTCACGCCCCCCCGCCGCTTGCCTTCCCCCAACCCCCCCCCCCCGCGCGCGCGCGCTTCTCCTCCTTACCTCCTTATTAGACTTCGCCACATATGGCCATCGATCCCAGTAACGCTTACCACACCAGCGCAGTCCTCGGAGCCGCGATAGACGTCGCCACATCCCCAATGCGTTTCTCCTCTACGGGTCTCGATGCTTGGGCTAGCGGCCGCGGCGGCGGTGTCGGAGGCGTCCCTATTGCGGGAGGCGGGGGTGCTTTCGGGGACGGGGGACGAGCTCCCCCCCCAGGTCTGTTCACGTGTAAACTTCGTTCGCAGTCGGTCGCGATGACGATTGGCCAATGGGTAGGCGTCTGTTTCGTGGTGGGACAACAGCAGTCACGATAAACGTTTTGATGTGGTACATTTACGGGAGCATTCTTCCTCCTGTGGTACCTGCTCCTACGCAAGCTCCTTCGCCTTGCATGGATTATCGTCTACAATATTCGACTCCTCTTTCGCTCATTGGGCTCGTGACGAAACTTGGGCATTTTTGTCCCCGCGATTCACTCTGGACCTCGTGTTTCTACTTGTAGCGTGGCTCGGAAACGTTATTCCTGGTTTTGCCGTCGTGGATGGTTGTAATAAAGCTCTTAGTTTCTTCCGCTGACATCGAGTGCGCCAACCAGGGCTTGCCAACGATATGAAAATAAGTCCTAAAACGGTAGAAAAAGGCGAGCAAGCCCTCTACTAGACTGTGTGTCTTGTGTGCTGTATGCCAACCTTCTGGTTGCAGCGCTTCGTTGCTCCGTTCTGGCTCTGAAGACTTGGACATGTCCATCGGATAGGTTGTGGCTGGTTTATTGTTTCGGGGTGCAGGATGGGAGAACCCTCCTTCGTCTACAGCAAGGCCGGGTGCCGCGTGCGTGTGTCGTTTTGTACGTGTGATATTCGGAGTGGCTGGTTTGGGATTTTCAGGAGAAGTCCATCAAGTGGTGGAAATCTTGGTTTGGTTTGGCACCGGTGATCGAGATGACCGCCCCGCACTCAGACAGGCATACATCGCTCTTTTTTATGTGGAGTGTTCCGTATCCGTTATCACGCATCGTCAGCTCAGCTCACGCAGGAAACCATCAATAAGTGCTTTCCCTCCCCCATTCTTGCGTTTATTTGCTTTTGGACTGACCTTTTCAGGCGCCGACATGACTCTCGCTACTCTTTCGGCGTGGCTCCCGCTACCCCACCCCGATGCCTCCGCCGAAACCCTGTCGCGGCTGCTCTCCGAGCACGCCGCTTCTTCTCGAGACGCTGGCAGCAGCGATGAACCTTCTGTGGCGCCGTCGGCTTCGAAGATGGTGTCCCTGGGTCCAGTCGCGAGAAGACATCGCGGAAACCTTCGCCGGGGAAGGGGGAAGTTGCTGGTGCCGCCGTCTGCCGCGGGGGGGGAGCGTGTTTCCAGGGTTTACTCCAGGAAGACCGTCTTGAGAGGGTGCACTGCCCCTCGAGATAAGCAGCTTCACGCCCTTGAAGAGGTAAGGTGCTCAATCCCCCCATGAAGAGGACTGGCAAGGTGCTTGATCCCCCACCGTTGCTGCAGCTACCCTTCTACCGTTGCTGCAGCTGCTCTCCCACCGTTGCTGCAGCTATTATTATTATTATTATTATTATCATTATTATTATCATTATCATTATCATTATTATTATTATCATTATCATTATCATTATTATTATTATTATCATTATCATTATTATTATTATTATTATCATTATCATTATTATTATTATTATCATTATCATTATTATTATCATTATCATTATCATTATCATTATTATTATTATCATTATCATTATTATTATTATTATTATCATTATCATTATTATTATTATTATTATCATTATCATTATCATTATCATTATCATTATTATTATCATTATCATTATTATTATCATTATCATTATTATTATCTCAACGCGCTGGTTGTTGTGGTTCTGTGAGTATTGCGTGCTGGTTCTAGGCCCGCCGTCTGACTGATGGCTGCCACGTCTGGGCCGCTGTATGCATTTCGCCGCCTAATGGCCATTTCCGAGAGCGCTGTGTTAAGAATTTTCAACGCTGCGGTGCTCCGATTTGTTGGCTTACCCCCCCCCCCCCCCCCCTTCCCAAATGGCCATGGCAGGTCCTTGGCCGCTCTACGGTGGGGTCCGGCTGTTGCTACTCGGTATCCACCCCCCTCCCGATCCCGATCACGTACCCCCTCATCTTCCGTGAGTCGTTGGGCCTTAGGGGCGAACTTATGCCGTCGGCAGGGGCATCACGAGCTGCTGAGTCGACTTCGGGTGGGGCCAGCGGTAAGGGAGGAGGCGGAAGAGGCGCGATCACTTCAGGAGAACTGCGGGTCATGTGCGACCAGATTTCTGGGGTAGCGTGTGCCGAGCGGGATTCTCGCATGGGGAGCTTCATCTCGCAGGCGAGCTGTTTGTGTTTGTGTTGTCAACTGCTGGTACCTTGTAAATGCTGCTAGTACAAGATGGCTTCATCTTGTGTCTTTACCCTTGGAGGCCGGTGTGAAGAAGTTGTTTCAGTTAACTGCCCGTGCTTCCCCGTTCTTAATTCATCAGGTAGAAGTGGGCGTTGATCTCCTGTACAATACAGACTACACACGAAAGAACCGAGGTCGCATTATGTTGTACCGAGTTGCATTTTGGCGGAAGGATTGAGATAACCTACAGCACCTACAACACGTTTTTTTGCTAGCGATCGCCAAGGCACAAGGGGTTGACCGCGCTCTGATTGGCCATCCATTGTTGATAATTATTGTCGCGCATGCGAGGAGAAAGGCGACCGGCTCTCGCATGTGTGTGCCTCGAGTATCCTTTTTTTCGGCATTCGTGCAACGCACAGGAACAGGCCAACCAGGTGAAACACAGCTTTCCCGAACTATTCTTCTTTTTATGCTCTATCGACTGGGACCGTTCATATTGACGCGATTGTGTCGCTGCCGAGGCGACATCGAAGCTAACACCAACGCGAGCTTTGATTTTTTTCCTCAATTTTTTTTTCGCACATCCTATTTGTGTGCCTCGAATATGTTTTGACAAACGGTACCCAAATTAAATCGATTCCGGGCCTCTATACACAAGAGACGTTCTCTTCGAGCTATAGAGGACGGCCTGCGGAACATAAACAACAGTGTCGCAGTCTTAGGGCGTCTTCATTCAAAGTTTGGGTATCGCGTCTGCAACGTTTGTCATCCCCTGGCGCAAAGATGCAATCTATGGTCAATGTCTTATCCCCTCAACTTCCATGTGTCCCCCCTCTCCCTACTGTAGGTTGCGGTAGGGTTGGACGTGAGGCGAGGGGGCGTACTGCTCGAGCTAGAGAAGAATGACATGCATAAGGACGACGCCATCGAAGTGTTGGAGAACCTGACTACTTTGGCGGAGAGCTACGGCTACTCCAAAGACGGAGACGAAGAGGAGGACACGCGTTAGAGTTGGTTATTACGTTGTAGGCGTGCTTTGTTGCCGATGATTACTTCCTGATAGGGCCGTCGCCAGGGAAGAGGGGGTGGAGAGAGGAGGAGAGTTATCCCAAACCACAGCGGCTCTCCGCTTGCCTTTTCCCGGCAGATGCATGAGAGCCGACCGTTGATCGTATCGAGGCTTGGTGCGGCAACCGTCGGGGGAAGGATACCTATTCCCTTACCTGCCGCTGGTGCTTAGTTTTACACCTTTTCGAGACCGGCGGGGCTCACTGCGGTTGTGGCGATGAAAGTATTGAAGCTTGCTGTTAGCGACTTAGCTGCCAGTCATCTACTGTAGATTCCCTGATGCACTGCTGCTGTTGTCGGAGTGGTATCGCGACGGGGTTGATTTCGAGGAAATCGTTTAGAAGAATGCACGACCGTCCGGGTTTCTGTTACGTATCGGATGCTGCGACAATGTCGTTTGCTCGGCGTGAAGACGTACGCATTCCCCATCCAAAAAAAAACTCGATTGGTGTAGCTCAGGAGTGTGAGGCAGAGGTGAGACGGAGGAGGATCTGACTCCCTGGCTCACAGCACACCGTACTTCCTGGAGGTGGAAAAGACGAGAACATGACCGGCTTGGCTTGGCGGGTAGTCCTTATGATGAAACGGCCGCGAGACTTGTAGAGATCCAGGTAATGATTTCCCTCCAACATCTGTGCTGCGGGGGATGGGCAGATCCATATGGCGTTGAGCTAATATATTGAGCCTAGGTGGACCATGTGTTTGATACCAGCCGTGGTTTCGTGGTCGTCTACCGGCCGGCTCATGACGTAATTTCAAATTTCAAATTTTAAACAGGCAGCAGTTCATCATATTGCAGTGGGGTTGGCACAATGTCATCAATGGAGCTCAGGCTGTGCTTCACCCTTAGGCTGGGATGTGGGTGGAGCTTGGTGATGAGGAGAGGGAGTCGTACTGCTGCTTGTGTCTCACGAAACTGCTGATGATGAAAGACCCTTGGTTGGATCCCTCATGCGTGGCCCCCGCCCAGAGCAGGTATAGGGTTTTTCAAATTTCCCCGCTGCGGCTACCCCCTGGTGCTGTGGGCTGTGGGTGGCCTCCGCGCTCTCTCTCACTTCACTTCGACGCCACTCACACAGGCCTCTCGTCCCGTCGCCGCTCACAGCACACCCACCCACACACGCACGCACGAGACAGAGAAGAGGGTGGCACTCAACGGCCTCTCCTATCTCTGGCCGTGCGTTCATGCTGACTATTTCCGGCAAGTAGCTTTGTGGAGGGCCATTGAAACATGCACCATCGAGAAAACGCCCACCGCACCATCGCGGAAGCGCTTGCCCGCGAGCTACCGGAAACGGCCCACCTCCAAGCCATCAGAGATGCCTGCTCAGCGATCTCACCTTCTTCCTCTGCGTACAGCCTGGAGAAGGTTCTGGAGACGTCTGCCTTCCTGCTGCTGTGCCCCGAGCAGACGGTGCAGGTGGCGCGGGCCATGGGCCCCTTTCTCCTCGAGTGCGTTGCACGAGCGCTCTCGGCCGCTCGCGCTGCTGCTCCTGGGTCGTTGCACCCCACCGTCGCCGCACCAGAATCCAACGCAACCGCCAAGGAGAACCCGATCGTGGCTGCCGTCTCCCCCGCGGAGCGCGCCGAGGACGTGCTGGTGGCCATGAGCCGGCTGTTGCCCGTGGCGCCGCACGCGCTGCCGCTGGCCCTGCAGCACTGGCGGTCCTCGCCTTGCCCTTTCGACTGCATCACGACGCTGACAGCAGCAGCAGCAGCAGCATCGTCGTCCCCCGGCATCAGCGGAGAAGAGGACGAGACGGCCGCGTCCGTGCTGCTGCAGAAGCGCGTCCACAAGGTCGCCGAGGCCGCGCACAAGCTCCTCTCGTGTGCTGCCTTGAGCCGGAGCATCGCCGCCCTGTGGAACTGGTCACCCTTCTTCGGTCTCTGTCGCCATCCAGACGCCCTGGTGCGGTGGCATGCCGTGGGTGTGTGCTCATCCTCCTCCCTCTTGGGCCTGGACGAGCAAGGTCGACGACGGCTACTGAAGGCGGCGAGAGCACTGGACGGCGGACCGCCTTCGTCCCAAGACTCGACACGGCCGTGCCAGAATCAAGAGCAGCAGATTAGAAAAACGCCTCAGGGGGGAGCAGCAGCAGCAGAATCCACCGCGACGACTGGGAGTGGGACCCCTGCTGCAGTAGTTCCCGACAGTAATGATGCCGAGGCGATATCGAAAGCCAGGCTCGATCTCTTGGACGATCTCCGTCGCGCGCCGTCTGCCCTGGTGCCGCCACCGCCGCCGCCGGTACGTGAACGGCAAGAAGAGCCTTCGAGATCGGCTGCTGCTGCGGCGAGGTTTACCTTTCGCCACCACCCGTCCGTAGCCGACATCGGCGGCATCTTGCACGCCAAAACCGCCCCCCCTTCCAGCAGTTACAGCAGCAGCAGGGAGCACGACCGTCGGCATGGCAAGGGTGGAGAAGTGCCCATGCTGGTGCCAACCGCTTCTGCCCGCCGAAATCTTTCCTCGCTGTCCCTCGCGCTAACCGTGGACCGACCGATCCTGCTGTACGGCCCCGCCGGATCGGGGAAGAGCCTGCTCGCGAGGGAGGCCGCCCGCCTCATCTCCAACTCGGGAGGTATGTGCGCTTAGAGTATCGTGTGTGTTGTGTGCGTTGTTGTCGTTGCGATCCATGTCTTTCGTTGTCTTGCCTTTGTGGTTGCCGAACACTTAAAACACCCCACCCTCTGAAGTTACGCGTATGCATAGGATTGATCGCCTGAAAGAACAGTGTTTTACCCGCAGGATAGTCACCCGCTGCTGCTGTCCATATGCATATGCTATGCCCCTTGTTTCGTCCCCTCGAATATTCTATTCAGCCGAAATATGAAGGTGCGGCCGCAGCTGAAAAAGTCTAACCCACAATGTTGGATCAACCGACGCAATCAACGCAAAACGACACACTAATCTAGCCTCTCGGCCCCACACCACACTAAACCTCCTCCCGCACAAAGCAGACGGCGTCGATCCCGAGCCCGGAGCATCATCGACACCCCTCCTCGAGCTGCACCTGGATGACCAGACGGACAGCAAGTCTCTCCTCGGCGCGCACGCTTGCACCGACGTGCCCGGCGAGTTCGCCTGGCGCCCGGGGGCCCTAACCCGCGCCGCCGCCGCGGGCACCTGGGTCCTCATCGAGGACCTCGACCGAGCCCCGTTCGAGGTGTTGGCGGCGATCGGCCCGCTGCTGGAGGGCAGGCCTCTGACCCTGCCGGGCAGGACGAGGCCCCTGATAGCGGCACCGGGGTTCCGGGTGTTCGGCACCGTGACCACCGTCGGGGCCGGGGGGGTTGTGTTGGGTGGGGCTGCGGATTTCGGGGCCCTCTGGACTCACGTGAGTCGTTCGTTTTTGTTTTTTTCTTGCTGTCTCGTCATGTTGAGTACTGTAGGGTTTTGTGGTAATTGCGGCTCTGGGGATGGGGAGGGAGACGGCAGAATTTCCAGCATTCGTTTTCGATTTGTTCTTGCAAGGGATCTTGATGAGCCCTGACCGAAAAGAATGTGCATGCACCACTGATTCAACGAAGAAATGTGTGTGTTTTTTTTGTTGACCAGTTGCAACCGAGGTTCGGTTGTCGCGCTCATCATACCCCGTCTCCCTCGACAACAACAACAACAACAAGGCAAAGTCACTCAACCCACGCCACTCCCCCGTGCTTGCACCACCCCGCTTTCGTCCTCAGGTCCCAGTCGAACCCCTCTCCGTCTCCGAAACCCTCCGCGTCGCCAAGGCCCGATATCCTGGGCTTCCGCCGCCGGCCCTCAAGCGCATGCTGAGCACCATGGTGGCCGCCAAGAGCGGCAACAGCGGCGGCGGAGGTTTCGGGTTGGCGTCTAGGTCTGCCGCGGGGCGAGAGCCTGGCGTCCGCGACTTCTTGAAGCTGTGCACCAGGGTCGACACTCTGGGCGTGTTCGACCGTCAGAATGAGGATGAGGTAAGTAGGAATTTGGTGTGGTGGATGGGGTACGTGAAAGAAGTAATGTGCAGTGAGTGGAGATCTTGTCATGTGTCCGGTTTTGTTCCAGCGTTGCATGCTTGCGCGGGGGAGATGGACAGCGAGTGGAGGTCATGACATCTGCCTTTGTTCCAGCGTTGCTTGTGAGTTTGTTCGAGCGTTGCTTGCGAGTGTTTTGCACTAATTTCGCGCCAACTGTCGGCCGAGGGTATCACAAAATGCAAAATAGTGAAGTTTGAACCAATAGTCGAGGTCGCACGCTGAAGGTAAAGGTTGAACCGGATGTACGCCATCAGCAGGTACTGTAGACCGGGTGAGGTTGAACTACCTGCTTTTGTTTTGTACAGCAATGGCAGCAGCAGCGGTGTCTGTGTTGGCTCTGCAAAAGCCGCACCGTACGCAGTACACCTCCTTTGAAAACGAACGCAATGCCTACATTAAATCAGCGGTGTCTTCGGCCACCGCTGTCCCCGAATGTTTGAGACCGTTGCCCGCACACCTCCGGGCGATCGTTATAGGAATTTCGGGAATATTTTGTATTTTTTGGTGTTTCCTTGTTTTCGTGTGGTAAAACATGCAGGTTTTTAGTGGCAGCGCTCGTGTACTGTTGGGAAATGCTAGTTGTTACGTTACCGCTCGTGCATGTGATCTAGAGTTTCTCCCGCCGTACGGTGTCATTTGTAATGGTCGAAGGCCCTTGATCGATGGCCGTGCGGTGCCTGTTGTCCAACGAGTTTTAGCATCGACCGCGCCCACCGCCTCACCAAGAAGAAAGTGTGTTTTTTCCCGCATGTTTTGTGGCGCCAGTCTAAGCGTATTCCTTCGGTTTCCATGGAATGCAGGAGGCAGTAGTGTATCCGTCATGTGTAACAGTCGTTTCCAATAATGTTCGGTGATGTCGACAGAATCTCAGTAAAAATGCAAGGAAGTTGGTTGTAGAACTCGTGACATCAAAGTTAGCAAGGAAAAAGAACTTCCAACATGTCTGTAATTGGTATGCTAGCAAGTTATTGACATTCCGTTCATCCTGCCTGTGTCTGTGTGGTGTTTTTATCCCATCTAATCGACAGGTTTCCATGTCGAACGAGTGTGGTCCACAAGAAAATGATCAGGAAGAAGATGATGATCACCTCAACGACGAGGACGGGTGGTTCTGCAGCGAGGCCCAGGCGCTCCCTGTTGTGGTGGAGTCTCTCGATGTCTTCGCCGGTCACCTTACCACCAAGGTTAGGGTTAAGGTTAAGGTTAAGGTTAAGGTTAAGGTTAAGGTTAGGGGAGCAATACAGAAGTAGTACCCGGTCGACACTCGCGTCTCGTCGTATCGGCACAAATCGGCGCAACCAAGAGGTGCGGCTTGCGATTATAAAGCAAGTTCTCATCAGCGGAAGCGTTTGGCCATTTATTCCTTCGTTTTTTTGTGTTTTTACAGCTTTTACGCCGACTGTCGGACTTGACGGAATCGGGGAAACAGGTCTTGCATGCTCCCTGCGTACTTGAATGGTGTGCCCGTGCGCCTAAACTACACGGTAACACGTAATCCACAAAACTCATGTCGGCGCCGTGGTTTCCAGTTTTCAATGCACGCGCTCCACGCTGCGCACGTCACCTGAGTATTTTTTTTGCAATCGAGATTCAAGGGGGTTGTACTCAGGCACTTTTGTGCGAGTGCCGAGTTTTGTCTGACAAAGGTGGTAGTATAATAGTACAACACACGTGTTGATGGCCTCATTTTCATAATATTAGACTCTTCGTCCCCGCACCTGTTTTGCCAATATCCAAACAGGAAGCTCGAGCACACGCGGCGGAGGTGGTCGCCGGTCTTTGGAACGTTCTCCCCTCTAGGGCAGTCGAGATCGCCACCACTTCCAGACCAGAGTTTGTTCAAGCGGGAGACTACCTCAAGATCGGCCGAGTTACGCTGCCGAAGTTGCCTCAGGTAACTTTTGTCGCATGTGTTTCGTTCTTTGATGACTGAGATAAGCTTGTAAATACCTAAATACCTTACCAACGGAAGAATGTAAACAAAAAGTGGCAAAGTGTTGATCATTCGTCAGAGAGGTTCGATATATCATCTCCTACAAACAAAAAAACAATGATTTCTTGACACACATCAAATAATGTTGCGTGCATGGTGTTGGTCGGTGTTCGGTATGAAAGGGACGTGCCATGTGCAGTCTATGGCGGTCGTGGCGGTGTTGGTGCGATGCGCAAGACCGCAGCATTTCACCCATCAACCTTTGCCACTATTTAGCGTGTCTTTTCGTGCAGACGCGGCTATCCCTTGACGTGAAATCTGTGTCCAAGTGGTTATAATTGATGGTGAATCAAGTTTTTGAGGACGTGCGAGGTATGCCCGCACCCCCTTTAGAACTATGTCGATTCATCTCGGTACATCTACCGCTGCTTTGTACATGCATCGATGAATGGCCGACTCTTCCTCCTTCCCGATGTTCTCCTATTCGTCCTTTTTTAAAAATGATGAACGCAGGCAAAAGGCGGCGTCACGGCATCCTCTTCCTTCGCCCCCACGTCACACGCCCTCCGTCTCATGGAAACCCTCGCCGCATCCGCGCAAGCCTGCGAACCTGTTCTGCTGGTGAGTTGTGCCTTGTCCGCTTTGTTTTTCTTGATTTGCTGTGGCGAAGCTCCCATTTAATTTTGGATGGTTCTTTTGAGTGGACAGCTAGCCGGAGGCTTCCACCGCAGCATCTTGGATGCGGTGTAGTTGCCAAGGTGCCAGTCACCCCATTCTTGTGGTATGTGAAAACATGTGTGTGGTGCCAGCGTTGTTGTGTTTCAATGGAAGTGTCGTCGGCAACTGCCCGTTTCCAGTCCTCCTGGGTGCCTTTGAAGTTTTTTGAGGGTTTTCTTCCAATCATACGATCAAATACTTCTGAAATACCCATTCGAAATTGTACATACCGCAGTCCTCTGGTCAGCATCGTTTGTAGTTCGCTGCTAGGCGGCGTCAGCATCGTTTGTAGTTCGCTGCTAGGCGGCGTCAGCATCGGTTGTGTTTCGGAGAAGCGCGTCGAATCACGGCGTTTGCAAAATTTCAAGCGTTCAGTTTTTAAGATAATCTCATGTTTGCGCGGGTAGGCGGCATGCGACCAGACGACACCCTTGGTTGAAGATTAAACAGAGTCGCGATGATGGAAACGAAACGGTTATGAGCCTGAAGACATGCCTGTCGACAACAAATTCGCGGAGTGACTCTTAGATGGTTGTGTGCTTGACTTGACGGGGTGCAAGTTGTTCGACGCCTAAAGTTTCACAAGGTTGCCCCTTTTCGGCAATGATTGATTTGAGATTTTCAGACGTTGGTGGACTTTTGACTTTTTTTCGTTGATGATATGCATACTGTAGCTGCGTTCGTGCCGTGAAATTGTTGGAGTGGAGTGGAGTGGAGTGGAGTGGAGTGGAGTGGTGTCTTGGCAGCAGTAGTTAGGGTTTCGAGTCGCGATGATGGTAACGAAACGGTTATGAGCCTGAAGACATTCCTGTCGACAACACTTTCGCGGAGCGACTCTTTCTTACTATTTACACTACCTTCGTCTGGACACCATGTTGTACGCTACAGTGTCCTACGATATCGCCAACGACAGGAAGTTGTTGTTGACATACTTTGGGCATACGGGTTGAAGGCAGATGGCGAAAAATCCCTTTGCTGAATAAAATGGAAGATGTTGCGTCGTGTACATGTATGGTAGTACCCTCAACGGTAGACCATCGTTTGAGAACATCCCCGCCGAAACTGACGTGGCTTTTCCGCTCGTACCAAAGAACCAACCGAGTGTAGTGAGTAACCTTAAATTCTGCAGTCGATTAAGGTTGCAATAACATTACAGCAGTATCACAGTAGACGAGCACCTCGTATTCTGAGGGCATGCCATGGCTGCGGGTTAGAACTTTTTATGCGAAAGTTCCGGGGCCTCATGGCATATCCCTTCGTTCCAAGAGGCACAGTAAACTCTGGTTGAGATGCTGGAGGGCCGCCGCCGTAGGCCCCCTATCGTGTTTGGGGGCCTAGGGCTGTGGCGGTCTTCATTATCCCACTCGACCAACAGTTTTTTCTGTTGCAACAGTTTTTTCTGTTGAGTTTTTTTTGTTTTATTGGTCGTATTCCCTGACGTTCGGGGCTGCGGCGGGCCAGAAAATAGAGGGTCTCATTCAATCATTTCGTAAGATCTGGACGTCTGGACGCCCCCCAAAAAATTGGGAGCATTGCAGTTGTGCCGCGTGCGGAACGCCTGGTTCTACCGTTGTCCGTGCTGTTCATGTAAAGTCCGATACTGTGGCTGTCCACAACTCCATGTATTACGTTCCGAATGTTTCACACCGTCCATCGCCGGATCAGAGATTTTTTGTTGGTCTTCGGCGGTGCTTCTGAATCTCGGCTGCAAAGGCCTCACTGTTCTTCAGACCGTTTGCGATATTTTTGGGCGAACGTCGTTGTTTTTTCCTGCCTTCTAGACCGAACCGATGTAACTTGACAAGTCTGACTCTTGGTTGCACAGGTCGGGGAAACGGGGTGCGGCAAGACCGCTCTCGTCCAGCGTCTCGCGGAAGGCACTGGCCGTGATCTGGTGGTGCAGAACCTCAGTCTGCAGACCGACGGGGCCGACCTGTTGGGAGGATTTCGACCCGTTGAACTGAGACAGCTGGCGGAGGTGAGAGAAAAAGATGCAACCCCCGGTCGTTTCGTGCTGTTTCTACTGCTGTAACGGGTCTTTCGAAATTGGCCGAAAAGGATTACACGCTGATATTTTTTTTGTGCATTGGGGGCGTCTTCGTGTCGCGTGCGGAAGTTCTTTTTTTCGGATGATGCATTTTGGGGTTGCGAAAATTGAAATGCTACTTACATTTGGGGTTTGTACCTCCGCAGTTTTTCTGGATTCGGCGAAATCGATGTACTTCGCAGCGTGTTAATTGTGTTGGTTCACCGTTGCGCTGGGTTTGTCCACCTGCAGACCACATATATACGTATCGATTTCGTCGGTAGCTTCTGAGTGTCGCACCCCAAGCCCTCTGGATAAGTCAACAACCGATGAACTCCACACACATGTCCTTCAACCACGCAGACTCATTTATGCCTGGGAGTGAAAGATAATCGAAAGTAATCTTTCAGACACGTGTTACTCAGGCAGCGTTGCATGTGTGGCGAAGAATGGAGCGTGGTTGGTTTCATTTGTTGGTGTTTTCCTGTGTAAAGTAGATCAGCGAAAAATAGGTGATGCCCTCATCGTATCACAAAACTTGGCGCCTTTACGGCGTACTCCCTCCTGGCGTTCAACTATTGTATGAGTGGGGATTGATTATATCCTTGGAGGTGCACTATTAATCTCTCGTCTCGACTTGATTTGACCCCCACGTCGGATGAGTTTCATGCCAGTGCGAGATTGAAGCCAAGGCCCTCTGTAGTGGAGGGCTCGGTACGACTCACTTTGTCCCCCAGTCACGGCCTACAGCCGTTAGGAGGATCATTAAGACGCACCATATTATGGTACACTACAATAATAGATAACGGCCATTCATTGGTAACAAGTCGTACTGTTGGCAGACAAGGGCCGGATAGTTACGAAGACTAGACCGTTGTCTCTGTATTGTCGTGAGCATTGCTTGCAACGGAAGAAGGCGTGAAAAATATTGTGCTCCGTCGTTTGTGCTCCGTTGTTTTCGAATAAAATACTACCACCTTCATCATTTTTCTCTACAATATTGCGTAAGTCCCTAAAGACTGTAAGAATAGGAGAGGATCCGTACACGAGCTTTACTGTTTTTGCAATGCTGATCCTCCCAAGACTTGCCTCTTGTCTCGAAATTAAAAGAGAGCAGATTTGTGAAGCGCTGCCAAGACGCCTCCAAAGCCGTGCCCAAAACCGTTTCAGGGAATTTTGCAACGGAGTTTTACGTTGCTGGAAAGTAGTTTTGGGAGGATATTTTCATTAACGCTTTTTAACACCCAATCGCGAAAGGTTTCACCAAAATTTCGCTCCGCAGGTTGCAGCGATGTCGGGAAAAACCAGCTTGGGCATATGTAGTTCGGTCTACTGTCTCTTGGAACAAGTTGGGCGGAGATAACCTTGGCGCGTGAGGCTTGCTATAATAGTTCGCCTGCTGTACCGCATGGCAATGAATGAACAGACAACGCAACCACAAGCAGTTGTTAATGTTGTAAGAACAGCGAGGCCGCCGCCTCGAACTTCCTTACACCGAACAGCGGGAATAATGGCAACAACGAGCTGCCCATGTGGTCTATCGCCAGGTGATTTCTGCGCGTGGTTATGCTACGTGTAGACGTCCCCTGGCGATGGACCGCGTGCGCAGATACGTGTTGCCATCGTCTCGGCCGTCCGGTGTAAGAAAGTTCGTGGCGTTGGCCTTGCGATTCGTTGGCAACTGATTCATTTTTTAAATAATCTTTAGCGATGCGTTCACAACTCTTCACCGCCGTTTTTGCGCTTGCCCTTTCATTCTAGCTGAACCATGATGTCGTGTAGAGCCCGGTAATGCCTTTCGGTCCGCGATGTCGATTTACGAACTGCCGGTGCTGGGTACGCAGCGAGCTTCATTTTATGTCTTGCCGACATGCCACGATCGGCAACACTGGAACAACCTGCGCGCCTGCACAACGTGAACGTCAGGAGGAACGGCTTCGGAGAAGATATGATACCCTCCCTTCGAAGGTAGCGCTCGCGCTTGGGAAACAATACAAAGGCCCACTTCCGAACGCCAATGCAATCGCGTCCATCGGTGTTTTGACGCTGGCCGCGGTGTTTTATCCAATCGCGAGCACTGGTCTTTTAAGAAGAAAATTAAATTGTCTCCGGAATGAAAATACTTGCAAAATTTCAGTGATCAGACAGAGTCGAAGCTTTCGTCTTACATTCCGGCTACTGCGTGAGGCTTGATCGCGCTCCTGCTGTACAGCAGTGCGATACCGTGACGAACGGACCTTGAGCAGGTATCAATATTGTCAACTATAGCAAGGCCGCTACCACCGACTAACCAAGAAACGAACCGCGTGGAAACGGACGATAAGAAAGAGCTGCCCAAGGGGACCATCGCCTAATGGCATGTACACGTGGACGGGCGACTCCCACCTAATGAGCCGCGTCGGAGTCGCCCTCCCAGGTGTAGATATGGCACCTGACGATGGTCTCCTTTGGCAGCTCTTTCTTATCCTCTGTTTTTCTGCGGTTCGTGTTTGTTGAGTCAGTGGCAGCGTCCTTGCCATCATCGCCAACATTTATTACTGCTTTTCGAGACGGACCATCGGATCATGTCCAAAGCGCGATTGCTACCCTTGAAGGGAGGGAAACGAGAACCGTTCCCAAAGTTTGATCTCTTCACGGTACGTGGACTGTGGGCCTGCACGTCAACGTGAGGGAGCGTGCCTTTGAAGATAGCCTGTTTCTTCCCCTTCGAAGGAAGCGCTCGCACTTGGGATACGATCCGATGGCCCATCCCAAACGCCAATAGGCGCGGGTCCTTACGCGTTCTTGTACGGGCCACCTGATCATGTCCCAAGCGCAATTGCTATACATCAAGGAAAGATAAAGAGTTATCGCCGAAGCTCGTCGTTCTGACGTTAAGCGGGTGCCGCAGTTTGAGTTCGATCAGCAGAAATGGCAAACGAGAGACGGCCATATTTTCTCCTCACACACCGGCTGCTGCTGCACAGGTTTGGCTAGGAGCTCGAGCGAGCATGTGCCTACGGTAGCGGAGGCCGGCTTAATTACCATGTGAGGTAGATGCTGGTGTCTATCCACCTGTGATACCTTGATCTACGTGGAAAAACGCGGGTAGCTTGGTCGCTGGATCGAGATGTCACGTTTGCCCCGAGGTGTTGCATGCGCTATGTGAACGTCGTGAAGTCAAGGTTTGGAGATAGTTTGGTTCCCTTCCTTGAAAGGTAGCGCTCGCGTTTGGGATATGATCCGGTGGCCCGCCCCGTACGCCAATGAACGCTTGGTCATCCGCGTTTCGGGACGTCCCACCTGGTCACTTCGAAAACGCGAGCACTCTCTTTTTGAGGGAGTGAATCGAACTGTTGCCGACGGTCGTACTTTTCACGCTATGCGGACATGGGGCCTGCGCAACGTCAGGTAACCGAGCTCGGGAGAACTTATTTCTTCTTTGAAGTGTAGGGACCCCCGGTTGGGATACGATTCGATGGCCCGCCCCAAACGCCAATGAACGCGCGTTCATGCACGTTTTGAAGCGGGCCAGCGGGTTATATCCCAACCGCGATTCCTATCCTTCAAGGAAAGGAAACGAAATATTTCCGAAGGTCGTCGTCCTGACGCTGCATGGGCGGCACAGTTGAGTTTCGGCGGTCGCACTTATATTGCAAGCCCACGACGGCCGTATAGTTCTGCTTACGCCGGCTACGCTGGACGCGTTTGCCTTGAGGCTCGAGCGTTCGCCTTCTGCAGCGCAGGGCGACTGTATTTCGGCCGGCGATCTAGCAGTCTTCGCCTTGACCACACGGGGAGCTTGATCGCCATCTCAGACGACACGTGGCTGCGAGATCCGCCTGAACAGAGTCATACTGGGCGCGTGGGGAATTTCAACGTTGTGAAGCCGAGGTCGGGAGCCATGGGTATCCCCCCCCTTCAAAAGTAGCGCTCGCGCTTGGAATACGATCCGATGGCCCGCCCCAAACGCCAATTAACGCGTGGTCATCGGCGTTTTAAGGCGGGCCACCTGAACATGTCCAAATCGCGAGTACTATCTTCAAGGAACGAAAATGATTCATGCCGAGACGCCACGTTGCTCTCAGGTCCGCCTTGACAAGTCCAAACTGAGCACATGCGCAAAGTCAACGTTGGGAAGACTGCCTTTCGAGATCATTATTTCTTTTCTCAACAGGTTGCGTTCGCGCTTGGGATATGATCCGGTGGCCTGCCCCGAACGCCAATAAACTCGTGTTCATCCGCGTTTTGGGGCGTGTCACTTGGTCACGTCGAAAAAGCGAGTCCTCTCTTTTGAAGGAGGCAGTCGAACTATGTCTGAAGGTAGTGCTTTTCAAGCTACGCGGACTGCGGGGCTGTACATCAACGCCAGGAGGACTGCCTTGGGAGATACCTGGTAGTTGTTTTCCCTCCCTTCAAAGGTAGCGCTCGCGCTTGAGATACGATCCGATGGCCCGCTCCATACGCGAAGAAACGCGTGGTCATCCGCGTTTGAGGCGGAGCACCTGAACATGTCCAAAGCGCAAGCACTGTCTTTTTGAGGGAGTGAATCGAACTGTTTCCAGAAGTGGTCAAACTGCGGGCCTGTGCGCAACGTCAACCTCAGGAAGACAGGGTCCAGAGATATTTTTTGCCTTCCTTAAACGACATCGACTGGACCTTGGGATACGAAGCAATACCTCGCCGAAACGCATATAAACGCGCGTCCATGCGCGTTTTGAGGCGGGACACCGGATCTTATCCCAATCGCAATTTTTATCTTTCAAGAAGAAAATAACGGTCGCCGAAGCGCGTCCGTGTGACATTGCGCGCGCGCCGCAGTAGGGTGTTGGCGGTTCGGCAGGAACGGCAACCGGAAGACGACTATATTTTTCCCCCACACGTCCGCTACTGCTGCCGGGGTTTGACTTCAAAAGCGAGCGTATGCCTAGTCTAGCGCAGGGCGACTGAATCACCGCATGATATGGAGACCTGCTCAGACTCGAACTGCGCACGAGTAGACCTCAACACGCGGGAGACTGCCTTCGGATAGTTTGTTTTCCTCCCTTAGGAGGTAGCGCACGCGCTTGGGATACGATACGATGTCCCGTCCCAAACGGTAATTGGATACGCGTTGATCGGCGTATTGGTGCGAGCCACTTGATCATGTGTATAGAGTGCAATTGCTATCCTTTTAAGGGCGGGAAAAGAGTTGGCACCAAAGCTTGTTCTTCAGCGTTACACGGGCGCTAACGTTGAATTTTGGTGGTGTAACACAAATGGCAAGCCGAAAACAGCCGGCCCACGTTCGCCTTACAATCCTGTTCGGCGTCACTACACGTGTCATCTTGTAGGCAGCGTTGCCACCAATACCTTCTGGAACCGAGCTTGATGGGCACGCACTTGTTTTCAAAGCAACAACGCGGATTATTCGGTGTTGTAAGGCTCAAACGCTTTGTCTTTTTTTTTCTCGGAAGATGTTGTCCGTTGCACCAGCTAGCGGTAATTGTGCCACTATGGTCTAAATCGAAAAGATGACGGGTCATGATGTTGGGAGTTCGGCCGGGGCGAACTGCTCAATAAACTAGCTGGCGTTCACCGGAACGCCCTTGCCGGCTGCTCGTGGAAAAGAAGAAAGCCCGATGTCCTTTACCCGTTTTGTTTCACACGTGTTGATGTGTCTTACAAGATGTACGATAAGGGTGGATCAATGCTATTTCGTGAGGCGTGTCCTTTTTGATTTGTAAACAACAGCCCACACTGGTGCTTTAGCACGCGATGTTGGTTCTTCCCTGCTCGTGAATACATCACTTGACGCTTGTATTTGACCCCGATTGCGTTGCTACACCATCCACCATATCACCACGTCATGTAAAGATCGTAGGAAGCTTGTTGCTGACCGACTAGCATTTATTGCGGCACCATACCACTGTTTTTTTTTGTCAAACTCGTCTTGTTTTCAGGAAGTGTTGCGAGAGTTTTTGCGGCTTTTTCCACTCCTGTTCAGCGCCACCCAGAACGCGAGATTTTGCCAGGCAATCACGTCCTCCTTCGAGCGAAGGCAGTGGAGCCGTCTTTCCAAGGGTCTGAGAAACGCAGCCAAGATGGCGATGGACAAGGTCAGTTTCTGTCCTAGAGATGTTACGGTCTGGGGTTCGTTGTCGTGACTAGATTGCAGAAGGTCTGCGAGAGTTGTTTAGAGCCAGCCAGCCTTGCCGTCGATATGAGGAGAGAACATCCTATCACAGACCTGTTCTGTAATCGGCGAGAGAGCGGGCTCGAGGGTATGGTTGCGCTGCAAAGCGTTTCCTGAGGTCGAGCTTTTCTCTCCGCCAGCTTTTGAAGATTCAACATGCACCACTATCTGATCGACACGTGGCAAGGCTGGCCCCGCAAACAGTAGCTGAATACAAGTATGAATGTTTTGTGGCATCCATTTACACCTCGTGCTTCGGAGTGGTTGTGATCAACAGATCAAACGCGTTTCGTTAAAAAAATTCCCCACAGCCAGCGGCGAGCTACATATGCGATTGAACGCTTCGCTTGTTTGTAGGTCAGCTTGCGTGCTCGAATATCCGAAACAGTACCAAGTTATCATGCATGGGTACTGTTGCTTTGTGTAGGTGCCGGCCACATCGACGGAGCCCTATGTGCCGATGCAGTTCCCTTCCTGTTTTCGAAACTTGCGTTCAAGATGACCGGCATTAACAGCAAGCCACTGGTGTGTAGCAGTGTTGGGTGAACACTGCTGCCGTTGCACCATCAGTTGCACTTCCCTCCATGAGCGTCTTTTCCTTTTTTCTGGACCGAGCCACGTTGCAAGGGAAGAACCAGAGAGGTTGCGGTCCAGGAAAAAGTGTACATGGTATTGGTTATGGAACGGTAGCGGTAATCACCCAACTCATGATGGAGGAAGGCCATTGAGTCCGCGGGTGCCGGCGGCACACCGGAATACGAGTTGTGTGGTCTGGCCGACCGTGAAGGTCACATGCAGGTGTTGGAAGCCCACCCGCCACCCCCATATGCATGAAAAATATGTTGAGGCAGATGCGCGGGGTTTCCGTGCCAATGAGCAGTTTGATTCAGTCTCGAGACAGCATAGGGTGGAGCAGAGATAGTGATGGGTGCGGCAAATGCTGTGATGAAGATGCCCTATGATGTGTGCATGTACCTGGCCATATGTTCACCCGTCGAGGAGAGGGTTGATGACGTTGCTCTCCCCTTGTTTTCAGGGCAGTATCAGGCGTCTGGGTTGATTTACAGCAGTGGCCATGCAGCCGAGGAGCCTGGTGGCTGTTGTGTATTTGAGTTGTTGCCTGTTTTGTTAAAATGATAGGCAATCTGATATTTCCGGGACGCGCCTGCCGCGGCCCAAAGCACAAAAAGGCGAGATATATGCCCGGACGTGTTGCCCCCCCCAACCCCCCCCCCCCATCCCCCTTGCTTAGATATATTGTGACGAGGGGGTATGCTGGTGTTTCGCCAAGGCATGCATTGGGCGTGACCTCATGTCTCTGCTGTACAGCGGAATACATGTACAGATCTACACGCAGCAGAAGATACAAAGAACTCGGTGATTTACGAACCGGCAGCAGTAGCTAGGAGTGTGTGTGACTATGAGGCGTGGTTGTAGGTGCTTTTCATTTAAGTTCATGTGTACAAGAAGCAGCGGGAATCACTTTACCCTTGTCACCAGGTGCTCCTTCTACTGGTCAACGAGCAACAAAACCGGACTTGACATGTGTCCTATCTGCGACAACACGTCGATGACGCATGCCCCAAAATTTTTTGCGGCGTGACACTGCCGCCTTGGTTGTACTGTTTATACACGAGCGGGATCTCCTGGTTTAGGGGAAATGCCGCGGGTGGTGCGCTCGTCCACCTTGGCGTTCTCACCCTGTTTCTATCGCTCTTGGCCCTTGTTGTGATTGCAGCTTGACCGATCAAGATCCGAAGCCCTCGTCGAAGCAACTGGTTCGGATGCCCGCAATCAGCAGCACAAAAGCATCAAGGTCCCTCGGGCTGGTTCTGCCGGGGGATCGACGAGCCCTTCGGGGCAGCGGCGCGACTGGGAACGGTTCCACAGTAACGCGGAGCGGTTCGAGCGTCAACGGTGAGTAACGCTTAGTGAACATTGGACGCGTGATTGCTGACCCTCTCGCTGGAATGTGTGCATTCGGCGCAAGGCCTCAGAATGATGAAAGGCAGTGTGCGGGTCATGCCCACTTGCGACGCGAGGGTTTATGCGATCATTTTTCCTGCCGAAAGCGGTGCAAGTGGGTCCGATAGTTCAACCTCGTCGTTATTTTTAGCATCGTGTTTTAAAACGAAATGCAGCTCTTGTTGGTATTCGTAGCGTGTTACCGCCGCTGTGACATAGTCAACTGTAGAGGTGTTTCCGATCGTGCAAGCTTTCGCAAATGTTCAGCTTTTGTTTCGAAGGCTGTATGAGGGCATTTATATCCGCATTTTTTTTTATCGTATGGTTTAAAAGCAGGCACTGCAGAAGAAGGGCTGATGATCCAATTAAAGTTTGAGAACTGAATTCCTTCGCTTTGCAAAGGATGGAAGAAAGCATACCCTATTGAAGCCCTGTTTTTTTTCAGCGCCGTTTGTGAAGTCGTCAGAGTCGCGTTTAACCACACCGAATGGAAATAGCGAACGAGTTTGCGGGCGTCCTCTTGAACAACATACAGCAGGGCGCCCGATTTGAACCGTTCATGCATCGACTCTGGTTTCGACGCATCAAGACGGTGTCGGGGCGCTACGTGATCGTTGTTGGCCTCGACACCCTCCCTGATCTTCTCTCATCACGCCGCCCCTCTCATGACGTTGCTTGTGGCGGCCACCAGGGCAGCAGTCGAAGGCTCGTTTGCCTTTTCCTTCGTGGAAGGTGTCCTTGTGAAGGCCATCCGGGAAGGAAAATGGGTGCTGCTAGATGAGATCAACCTCGCGTCTGCCGAGACCCTTCAGAGACTATCGGGGCTGCTTGAGGTATGTCTGTGCAACATGCAATCCACGGTACCCCTTGTGTTTGGGGAAGTTGTTGTTCACGAGATTATTTGGACTTGTTCACACGGCGGTGTGGGAGAAAAATGACTGGGAGTGGAGGCACCCCTCTGTGTGGTTCTAGTGGTTGCATCAAGTAGGTCGTGTTCATGGTGGAATAAAAGCGGAGATGATGCCAATAACCAGCTACTCTGAACAATGGCGCTTAGTCTCGTCGCAAGCCGGGCATCCATCTCCGGGGTGACTTGGTTCATGTCGAAGCCTTTTACTAGATTTGGACTGATCCGCTTTCCACCAATGTTGATTTTTTTGACTTTTTTTTTTGTGTCGTCGCCCATGCGCGAAGACTTGTCGTTGCGTCGAGCTCAACATGTCTCTTCGTGCCATGCGTACATTCTTCTTATCGCTGTTCTCCTGCCGAGGAATCGGTGGTTGTCACCATGTTATATCATGGTTGCTGCTAAGATTGTGACGCTTTTTCCGGAATGCAAGCCAAATAGATGACGTTGCTCGAATGCGTCGAATGACAAAACTTTCATGTTTGGCATGACTCGCGCGAAAAGGACAGACTTGCAACTGTTTTACGATTATCGATGCGTTTAACAGGCGGGGTCCCACCAAATACGTGCTGGATCGTGCTTTTAGGACGTGACCATCCTTGTCTTCCAGGGTCAGTAGCTTACCGACCCGAATACATCAAAACCAGTACGTGAAACCCGTGTAGGGCATGGATCGGGGAATGCCTGCCTTTGCTGAATAACAATCTTCGGGAGTTGACTCAAAGGACATCGTTAATCGAGAAATTCATCGCTACTGTTTGGAACTTTTTGTGACGATTGGTACCGGACTCCGCCATCTTCGACACACCATATCGCCACTTTTTTTGCTGTGGGAAAATCATTCTTGAAATACCAATTGCTGCTAGATAGGTGTGGGATATCTCATGTCACCTATATATGTTCGGTTTCATGTTGCTATTGTGCTGGGCGTGACACTACACCATCCATACAATGCTAACGTACGCGTTTCGGTAGGGTGCGGAAGGCAGTCTTTGCTTGACGGAAAGAGGTGACATGAATCCAGTGGTGCGGCACAAGGACTTCAGGCTTTTCGCGGCCATGAACCCGCCAACTGATGCGTCTAAGAAAGACCTTCCTCCAGCCCTCCGCCGCAGGTACGTAGCTAGTCAATTTTACCCAGAGATCTAGCTTTGTCTAATGAATCTTGCAAGGGGCTTAGGACGTTAACGGTTGTGTGTGGGATCTTGTAATTACCTGACACCAGTTCTGCTGGCTTCGGGATCGGAAATATCGTCCAGACGTTGAACGTTGAGCAGCACGAGTTAGAGCTGGGAGTTGTCTGAGCAACGTACATCATGCGGACTCGAGCGACTGCCACCAGTGTGCCGTTGTCCAAGTCTTTCAACACGCCTCGGGATCTCATTCCAAAACGTGGTGAGCCAACAAAGTCATATTTTTTGGCGCAGCACGTTCCTAATGAGATCCTGCCGCGTGTTGAGTTGTTTGGAGAACCTTCACTGGGTTGTATTCGTTACGGGGGGCGATGATCGACGTGGTTCGAGCAACCCCTAAGCTTGACGTGTACGAGTGAACATTGAGGATTTAGCAGTTGTTTCCACAGCTGGTTGAGGCGGCGAAGTTTCAATTCCTGATTCAACTCCTGCTTCCTGCAGAGTTGCCTTGGTGAGTTGCCAAGATTGGCGAACTGTTTTGTTTACGAACGCCAGCGGCGTGTTCGTTTCTTGGTTGGCAAGTGTATTGGGGTGTGCGTGCCAGAACTTGAAGCCAAGCCCGTCTTGACCTCGAGGAGGTCTCCACATTCGCATTCGCCATTCGTTTTGGGTTTGTCAACGATAGTGGCATCTCAAGGTGATAAACTTGGGCTTGGTGGGAATTCCGATGACGTTCCGGCCCGGCCCTGAATTTGGTCGCTGACTTGTGTTTTTCCAGGGTTTTTCAACAACAGTTGTTGTTGTTGTTGTTGTTGTTGTTGTTGTTGTCTTCACATTAAAAACCGTTCCGATCTCTCTCTACCCAGTACCTTCGTATGTCCGTACTGATCCAACACTCGACGCGGTCGATTCCCGTGGTCACAGGTTAACTTACCCTAAAAAGGTACACTCAAATAAACTGGCCCCGAGGGGTCCGCAAGTCAATAGAAATCAACGACAGATATTCTGGGATCCTCCGCTCCCTCTTCACGCTATGCGGGGTATCAACTGAGATTATTAGCAGTCACTATCTATCATGGGCCGGAGAGAAAGAGGTACACTCCCTTGGCTCAATCTTGGTACTTCACAACGCAAGCAGAGACAAGTCCATCTGGCACAGAAAAAGAGAGAAAAAAGAGAGAAACAGTGGCGTGTTTTTGATATTTTTCATTGTTTGTGACGACTTCTGCATGGTACATATTACATATGATTAGGTTTTCTGAGGTGTACGTGCCCGAGCTCGACGACCGTGTGGACCTCAAGCAGGTCGTTGACGGTTACATCTCGGACGGCGTGTCTGTGGACCACGACGGGCTGGCCTTCACGGCAGTGGATCTGTACCTCTGGGCGAGAGGCTTGTCCACGGAGAGCTTGAGCGATGGAGCTGGACAACGGCCTCGTTACTCTCTCAGGTACAGCACCACAGCCATACGCCATGGACTTGTTGTATCATATCAAAGAGGTTGATCAATAAATACCAAATTCTTCTCGACACGAGTGGAAATGTCGGATGAACGTAACGGAATGTTTTACTTTTGCCGTGTGCCTTGGAAATAGCCGGCCAAGATCCACGGCACCTCACTCTTTTGAAGGAATTGCTTTGCTGCGGCTTGCATCCCACATGAACGCCGGATGCACTCGGAAGACAATACTCTTTCTGTTAACCGGACATCTGATTTTGTAAAACGATGCAATGATTGGTTTCATGTTTTGCTTCACGTCGGTAGCATGGCTCGCGGTTGATGATACTTAACTCTTTTTCTTGTGGTTGTTCAACAGGACCCTGGTCGGGGCTGTCTCATGTGCCCGTCGTCTGGTGGACCGTGGCTTCAGCGCGAAGAGAGCGATGGTGGAGGGCTACAGATCCCTTTTTGAGACACAGTTGGACGGGTGAGAGACACGCTCTTTTTCGCTGATGTTTTATTGAGGTGGTGATTACGAACCCAACAGGAGAATAGACGTTGCTCCTGCTTCCTTTAGCCGAATCTCGGTACTTGAGGCACGGAAACACTACCGCCGAAACCAATACGATCACAATCTCAATTCGGCACCGAACATCTGCCGCGATGGTCTGAAAGGGATGGACGTGCGAAGATTCTGAAGGGAATCCTCCGAGCGTTCGGCAAGGGCATGAGTGCCAAGGACCTGGAGAAGCCGCCACGTCGTCCAGGCGGAAGGGCGTCTAGCAGTGCTCCGTGGGTCAGGATTGGACCCTTTTGGCTGGAGGGAGGGCCGCATGACCCTGTCGACGCCGCGGAGCTGGACCCCACCACCAACCAGCGCAGGTGAGCTGGTGAAGTGACCGTATTCCTCACGATGTCATGGTGATCACTTGGTTTATCTTTGGAATATCTCTGTTTTCTGCTTAAGGAGGTACTGGGAAAAGGAATGCGCTGCTTTTTTAGCTCCGCCTTACGACCTTATGGTGATCACTTGGTTCATCTTCGGTCAGTTGGAAATCGCAAAATATGTTTTCTAGCGGTAATGACCTAATGGATGTGTATGGATCGGGCCTTCACAATGGGAATCTTTACCATGTCCATGCGTAGTGATTGCCTTGTTTGTATCATGATTTCGTGAGACAGTCGACAAATTACCCTAAAATCAATCTTTTCATGTGGTAATCATATAACATGGAACCGCCGAACTCGAGATTACATTATATACAGTGGTGCAGCTGTGTATTAATTTGTGTCTCACGGCCCGTCTCGCAATTCACGGTCCTCAGGTTTGTCCTGACAGCTTCTGTGGGAGGTACCCTTCGGTGCTTGGCCAGGGCGGTGGCTTCTTCTGACTCTCCCGTGCTGCTGCAAGGTCCCACCAGGTGCGCTTGAAAAGTGCCAATGGCTGCTCATGGTGGCAGTATTCTGGCCTGGTTTATACCAGTACTCCGGTAGGCCCCATTGACATGATGGAATTAATATGGTCGCGTTCGGTAATACAGTAGCCCCCCTTGAAGAAAGAACTCGCGCGAGCAAGTTGATATTTTGCCCCTTGTTCTTTTTATTGTTGATGGTTGGACAAGACAGCAGTGATGAAACACGTTATGTCGCTGTTCCTCTGTGAGCGAGAATAACGAACATGCCAGTTATCCCTCTGAGCTGTCTGCAGTGTTTGTTTTCAATGAGTAGTTCCCATGTTTGTTAAAGTTCGCTTTGTTTATTCGCCGATGCAAACAATATTGATCGATGGTATTTAGCCTTTTTTCGGAATGTCGTCTTTGCTATTGAACGGACCAGACGGCAGTGATGAAACACGTTATGTCGCTGTTCCTTTGTGAGCGAGAATAACGAACATGCCAGTTATCCCTCTGAGCTGTCTGCAGTTGAGTTTCGCAGGAAACGGGTAGATTGTGATTTCGGTGCGCAAGGTCTATGATCGAAGATGTGAAAGAACCTGAATGGTTACCAACTACTTATGTCGACCATCGTTTTACCACACACCCATTGACTGAGACCACTGGTACATCGTTAGAAAGATATTGGGCGCGCTCTGACTAGGTTGTGCTAGACCGTGTTGTAGTTGTTGTGCTAAATAGGTTAACATGGACGAGAGGATGAGGTCTATGATCGAGAATGTGAAAGAACCTGAATGGTTACCAACTACTTGTGTGGACCATCGTTTTACCACACACCCATTGACTGAGACCACTTCTCTCGTGCATGATCTGGCGCGCTTAAAGAGACATGGCCATGTTTCATGAGATGTTTTCGTGCTCATCCGTTATATCCCTTCGACGTTTATGTTTCTGCGCGTGCTTGGCTGGATGGATTGGAGTCCCACATAGGTCGATCAGCAATACCTTTACTGTGTTGTATGATGACCATCTCGTAATTCTACGGGTCCCAGAGCAGCATTTAACGATATCGCCCTTGTGGGTAACATGCTCGACAGGACATTTTTTCTGTCGTGTTGAAGCGAGGTTCCCACCATCAACGCGCTTGGTGGTGTCAGACTTGAGATAGATCTCAAGCGCACCGTCTTTTCCCCCCTTGGTCCCACCTTGTTCTTGGCTATGTACGTTGCAGCGCCGGCAAGACGAGCATAGTGGAGTACCTGGCTGCACGACTAGGCCACCGCTGCGTTCGCATCAACAACCACGAACACACGGACATACAAGAGTACACCGGGAGCTACGCGGCGGACGGCAACGGCAAGCTGGCCTTCCAAGAGGTGTGTAGCAGGCGCAGCAAAACGTTTGGAGTGGATGCTCCGTGGTTTGGAAGTTGTGTGTGTGTGTCCCTCTGCATCGGTGTTAACATTTATTGCCTCAGGGTTGCATGGATGTGTATCGGAAGAGAGGAAACTACAGCGATGGGGTTTCTGTTTTTTGTGGTTTGTGTCTTGACAAAGGCCCGGCAGGTTTCTTTCTTGAATGCTTCAGTTGTTTTCAGGCGCCATTCCTTACGTCGATGTGAGGAGAGAACATCCTATCACAGACCTGTTCTGTAATCGGCAAAATAACTGGCCCGTGGGGATGGTTGCGCTGCGAAGCGTTTCCGGATCCCAAGGTTGGTTTTTGGCCGTTTTTTGAAGATTCAACATGCACCACTATCTGATCGACAATTGGCGGGCGCCTGTAGGATAAGTGTACATATCAATTTTTACTTCGCCTTGGGACAGATATCCGAGAAGTAGTGCAAATGGCCAAGACCTTGTCGTCGTCGATATGAGGAGAGAACATCCTATCACAGACCTGTTCTGTAATCGGCGAGGGAGCGCGCCCGGGAGTATGGTTGCGCTGTAAAGCGTTTCCTGATCCCGAGCTTTTCTCTCCGCCATCTTTTGAAGAATCAACATGCACCACTATCCGATCGACAAACGACGAGGTCTTGCTTAGATTTGTTTGCTTTTGTTTTCGTGATAGCTCTATTCGTCAAACTGGGTGGTCATAGCTAATACCGTGCCGTCGTGTCTGAAATGTGAAGATCAACAGCTCGCAAATTTTGGCGTGGGTCTGAAGGTAACCTCGCGGGTCATCAAGTTGCTAGGGTCTTGGGGGTTGTTTGGTTTTTTCTGACATGTAATGGTTCCTGTTTTCGACGGGTTCACCTTGGTCCTCGGGTGTTTTCGATCAATTGTACGAATGAACTGTATCTGTCTTTTAGAGGAATTTCTGTCGTTGTGTTAACGTCTGATCGAAGTGATGAGAAAACGTCTTGGAGACCTGTTCTGCAATCGCGAGGGCACCCGTGGGACTGCGCTTGACACCGTACCTCGCGCCTGCCCACGCACTCTTGAAGATGACCAAGCATATTTCTTTCTGATCGATGTGGCAGACGTAAAGTAGTGTAACGTCGAACAAATAAAATTTCGTGCAAACGTGGCTTAGCATCGATGAACTGGACGTTGCGAGCGCTTGACCATCTGGACAGAATGATCTTGGAAATATGCGTACGACGTATGGTCTAGTTCACCCCCGTTTAGTATCGTAGTGCAGGAGGCGATGTATAAACTTTTGCGTTGAGCCTATAAAGATGGTCCGATGACGCGCAGCTTAAACGGTACGCCATTGTTCGTAGGCCCAAACCGGTCCCCTTGACCGCACCCGGGTCTGCTCGCAACGCTTCAGCGTTTTTACGCAAGGGGACGCTTCAAAGCGTTAACCATGTGCGATTAAACTTTTTCTTTTACGGCGTAAGGCGTACGCACTTTTTGGGAGGTTGGCTTGTCACCTCAAAAAACGTCGGCGTCAGTCGGACTAATTTGATTACAACAACTTTAGCGTAGTTGTATGTCGAGGCGGCTGGACTTTCACGTGTTGATTGTTCGAGCGAAAGTTGTTTTGTGTTGTGTCGTGTCAAGTGTCAAGTGTCAATCGGTTCGGGTGCCGAGATGAAGAATAAGATTTTGCGGAACGTTGCTTGTCTTGTCAATCAGCCACTCGGCTGCAAGCAAGCGCACGTTGAAGATTACAGAATGCATTCACTTTTCCGATCCACGGCACGCCGATTGCCACACCCTCTCTGCCTTGACGTTGAACCCAACAGCGTGTCTGAGTGTAGGATTGTTTGGGTGTAGAGATTGTCGTTTGAAAAATGTTGAAAAATTGCTTCCCCGCGCCTAGGTGCGTTGTAACGTTTGTAGGAACTACTAATATTCGTGGCTCGAGGTGATGAGAAATCTTCTTTCCCCAAACAGGACCGACCATGTCTTGAACCTGAAAGAGCCGACCCCGCCAAGCCAGAGGGTGTTCGGTTGATTCTGATCGAGCGAAAGCCTAGCGCGATTAGGAGTTGTATCATACGGTTGTGACGATCGACGAGGGTTTGTTGGCACGGTGCTACACGCTGTGGTCGCTAGTATTTTTTTAGGTACTGATTCATATCTCTTACAACAGACGATTTTTTTCGAAAGAGCCCTAGCGTCTTTTGTTCGTGAAAGCCTCATCTCTGAGAACGGTTATTGTAACGTTTTACTAGGGAGCAAGACGTGTTGAGAGCGAAGGATTATGATAGCGTCAGGAACTCATGGTCTCTGCTTTTGATGGAAGTAGGCTTCTTTAACGAGAAGGGCTGACATGATGGTGAACTGCGGAGCAGGACTTACGAGATTTGTTCATAGCCTTTTCGGGTCTACTGGACTGTAACAAGTGCCCTCATGTTCCGTTTTTGTCTTGTTTTCTTTCGCTGTTTTAATGCATTGCACGAGGTGATGAGAAATCTTCTTTCCCCAAACAGGACCGACCATGTCTTGAGCCTGAAAGAGCCGACCCCGCCAAGCCAGAGGGTGTTCGGTTGATTCTGATCGAGCAAAAAAGTTGGGCTATCACGTACTGTTTCTGTTGTTGAAGTGATTCATAAGGTAATCATGCCAAATTTTTTGCTGAAAATTGGACATGAACTCCGCCTTGCATCTTCTAGGCTGTAGCGCGAGAACGTTGTTTTTGGACATCGGTACCGCTGTGATGTGTTTCTGGGTTATATCTTAGTTTCAATGCCCCTCTCGAGGTGATGAACAATCTTCTTTCCCCAAACAGGACCGACCATGTCTTGAACCTGAAAGAGCCGACCCCGCCAAGCCAGAGGGTGATCGGTTGATTCTGATCGAACGGTAACAGTGTTTTTTTATTCTGTTTGCAGAGCAACCAGTTTGTTCCCCACAACATACCAACGTGTGATAACCATACCTAAAATGTGATGTGTGCATGTCTTTTTCCTTGCAGGGCGTCCTTGTTGAATCCCTCCGGAAGGGCTACTGGATCATCTTGGATGAGCTCAACCTGGCTCCTTCCGAGGTAAGTATTATACGTAGTTGTTTTACCCTGTAATGGCAAACATTGACAATCCCGTTGACGCTGAGAAAAGTCGAAGTTTGTTTGAGACATTTTTTATCAGTGGACGTGCATGGAGCCTTTGGTAGAAACGCTGTCGCTTGGCTGGAACGGGTTGACTAAAAGTTGCCCCTGGTGTTTACGGATATGACTTTCCCCTCAGGTCCTGGAGGCCCTGAACCGACTTCTTGACCACAACCGCGAGCTGTACCTGTCGGAGACCCAGGAGACAATCAAGCCCCACCCCAACTTTCGCCTGTTTGCCACACAAAACCCTCCCGGCGCTTACGGTGGCCGCAAGCCGCTTTCCCGCGCCTTCAGGAATCGTTTCATGGAGGTACTTAAAATCAATTGGTGTTTTCCTGCAGCACTCCCGTTATCGCGTTATTAATAGTACCCAACGGTGCGAAATTTTTTGGTCTGGTTCGGATTATGTGGTGTGTAAAAGACTACGCCATCGTGTTAGCATTTCGAGTAGTTTCAACGATAAAAGTATCGAATTGTTTTCTTGTGTGGTTCTTTTAGGTCCAAAATATTGCCTTCCTTGGAGTCCATGTAGTTGCACATTTTTTTTTGGGGGGGTTTGAACGTTGTGTTGCTTAGAACATGACATCTGTTGAATCTTGACGGAGCTCGCTCTTTTACCGATGCGTGACGTGCGTTTTGTTTTCAGGTGCATGTTGATGATATTCCGGGCGCAGAGTGGGAAATCATCCTTGCCGAACGCTGTGGCCTCCCGCCGAGTCATTGCAAGCTGCTCGTCAAGGTGCTTCACGAGCTTCAGGTGAACGGATGTGCGACTCGCCTTGCACTCTTGTACGTTAGGTACCCTAAGGGTGAACAGTTGTTTTCGGAAAAAGCACGGTTTTGGTCACTTTGTAGGTCATGTAACATATCACGTTTGGTAGTGGTGCAAATTGATCGTTGATGTTGATCGTGTCTAGGATGTTACTGATCATTCGCCTCTCTTGTGACGCTAAATTTTGTCCGTGAGCAGGCTCAACGTCAAAGCAGCCGGCTTTTCTTGGGAAAACACGGCGCGATTTCTCCGCGCGACCTCCTCCGGTGGGCCGGCCGGAAACCACAGGGGAAGCAGCAGCTGGCGGAGGAAGGGTAAGGTCGCCGAATCCTGTCAGATGATGTCGAAGGTACTAGGCGGTGTTCTCATCGTGCCGTACAGTTACCTTCGGGCCTCGATGTTGGCGTCATTTCAAAGTTGGAAATTTGATGGGTGGATTCCCCACCGTTGGTTGTCTGGTGACAGGTACATGCTGCTGGCCGAGCGGCTGCGAAGCGCGGAAGAGAAGGCCGCCATGAGAGCCGTACTCGAAGAGCAGGTACGCGACAACGTATATCTGCATCATTTCTTTCACGCCTGAACAACACGTGCCGGTGATTTCTCACCGGGGCAGGTTCTCACATTTCCGCAGCAAGGGCGGGAGAGTAGGGTGGCTGGGGGGATGGTGGGCATACGGGTGGGGGGGGGGGCGTTCGCCCCGCTTGTGATCGATATACATTTGTTGCACAATATCTGTTGTTATTCTTGTGAAACGACATCCGCAGCTTGTCCAACATCGCGTTCCTCGTTGTTCCCCTCCTCGTGGCATACGCTGCCAGAAAGCCTTGTGTCAAGTGTGTGAGGTGCCTTGTTGTTGGGGAAAATATCGGATACTGTTGGACCAATACAAGGAACACGGGATGTTGCGTACGAATGCTGATGGCTTCGATCAAATGGTTTCATCAATATCGTGCACCGTTTCATATAGTTTAAATGCTGATGGCGTCGGTCAAATGTTTTCAGCAACATGGTGTATCGTTTTACCCACCGACGATTTTTTTTGATGAGACGACGTCGCTTCAAACGACACAGCCGCACTGCTGCCCTCGTCAAACAATTTTTGCCGTTGTTCTGGGAGCACGTCGCTCTGCTTACGATTCAGAGTGCTAGAACACACGGTGCTTGCGCACCATGTGCAATGGCATCCTGTGTCAGAGCCGAACGTCGCGTTTTTTTGGGCAAGTTTCAAAAACTGTCTGATGAAATCAAGTGAAACGGGGTGTTGCGTATGACCGCCGACCGTTTTGGTCGGATGCTCTCAGCAAGATACACTGTAAGATGACGTTCGACGGCGCCTCAAACGAAGAAGCCGTGCTGTTGCCCTCCTCAAATGATTTTTGTACTTGCTCTGGGAGTTCGTGATTCTGCTTTGGTTTCTTCATGGCGCTAGCAGGCGCGGTGCTCCAGCTCTTGAGGAAGGGCGTGTTCTTGTGGAAAGTTTCGCAGACGGTCGGACGAATTCATGCAGCGCGAGTTGTTTCGTGTGAATACGGACCGCTTTTGATGACTGTTTTGATCAATTTTTTGCACCGCTGAATGCGCCGATGCACAGGAAAGATTCAGTTGCGTACCACATCGCTTTAAACGACATAGCGGCGTTGTTTTCCTCGTCAAACAATTTCCGCAACGGCTTGGGGAACACGTTCTGCTGTTGACAAAACTCAATAGTCGGTCATCCGGTGGTGCTTCGACCACTGACCTCGCATCCCCTCCAAGCCGCGATGTAGCACGCTGATTTTTCGCCGGGCACGCGTTCGCCCCGCCTATGATCGATACATGTATATATATATGTTCCACTAGATGGCTTCACAGGTTACCGCCGTGTTGCTGTTCTCGTGAAGCGTTATCTCCAGCTTGTCCAACAGCACGTTCCTCGTTGATTCCCTCCTCATGTACTGGCATACGGTGCCAGAGCACCTTGTGTCAGTGTGTGAGGCGCACAAGAACGAGGATACCGTAAGGTTGGGAGTCAGCGCACACGGGTGCGATCGAGTTTCAAAGCGTAATATATCGCTAACCCCAAGCGTGCGAGCGCCCACCAATACTTCTCAGGAAAGCTCTCGACGAGATTCTTCCAAAACTGCCCTATTCGACAGTGGTAACCTCCTCTGGTTGTAGAGAAATTACGCTTTGAAAATAGCTCGCACCCCTGTGCGCTGACTCGTAACCTTTGGGTACGTTGTTGGGGAAACTGTCGGAAACTGTTGAACAACAATACAATAAACACAGATTGATTCGTATGAACCCCGACCGCTTTGGTCAAGTAGTCGTGCTGTTGTCCACGCCAAACGATGTTTCTACTTGCTCTGGGAGCACGTCCGATTGCTCGAGATGGATGGTGGTGGAACACACGGTGCTGGAGCACCTTGTGTACTTTCATCCTGTGTCAGAGCCGAAGGGCGTATTCTTGGGGAAAAAGTTTCGGAAACTGTCGGACGAATGCAAGAAACACGGGTTGTGTCGTATGAATGGCCACCGCTTTGGTCAATCGTTCTCAACATGGTGCACCGTTGAATGCATCGCTGTAATGAAAATTCAGTGACGTGCGACGTCGATATAAACGACGTAGTCGTGCTGTTGCCCACGTGGAACAATGTCGGCACTTGCTCTTAAGGGAGCACGTGGTTTTGCTTTTGAAATATGTGTGTTGAAACTCACGGTGCTAGAGCACCTGGTGTACTGACCTCCTTTGTTGGAGATCCGAAGCGCATGCTCTTGGGGATAGTTTTGAAAACGGTCGGAGGAATGCCAGCCAAACGGGTTGTTCCTCGGTACCGTGCATTATCAACCCTTGTTCCGGCGCAGACAACGAAATCAACCGCCACCCGGTCCGATTCGTTGGGAACGTAAAGCAGGGAAAGCCGTATCGAGAACACACACAACGCACACAGCGGCAGCTGCGCTTGGTAAACAGGATTCTCACACTATCCACAATGTTACTACATCGAATGGTCTGAATTCACCCATGCGTTGCCACCCAAAAGTTTCGACGACCTAGGATATACCCGCGTGGACGGCTTGGTCAACTCACCCTGGTTGTCAGCAGTGCCGCAAGGTCGCAACCCTCAACCGGGTGATCCCGAAACGTGATCATTCATTGCCGAACAAGGAATAGTCAAGTTTCGAGATGATCCCGTTGAGTGTTACGATCTTAAGGTATTCTGACAAACATGATGAGTTGGGCCAGCGGCCCTGGACATCATGTAAGGCCGTCGAAACTTGCGCCTGACGGAGTATGAGTGACACCGATGGCCATTTTCTTGAGTTTTACTGCTTGCACAACGTCGCGCCACGGGAAGCTAGGTTTTTGGTTCCTCCCAGACACACGCATACAGACAAGTTTGAAGCTCGATACATCGGTAGGCGGCGTAAGAACCGGCTGAGATCTGTCATGTGTTATCTGTAAGTAGCCGCACGTGGTGCCTGAACAAGATTCTAATGTCAGTAGCATGAGGGTCGGGTACGTTAAAGGGGACATGGTTACCAAACTGTGTCATGAGTCAGGAACTGACTGCTTTTTCAAGTTGGCATTTTTTTTGTCGTAACGATTCGATGCAATCTGCGTTTTGCTTTGCGCAGATCGGCGTGCCGTTAGATCCTGACTGCCTCTACGGCACGTCTCCGCCTCCCAGCCAGAAACACGCGGGAGAGGCCATCGCCGTAAACGCAATGGAGACCGGTGAAGATTTTTCGTTAGTGGACGAGTCTGATCTTGGAGGATTCTCGCAGTTGGCTGTTATCGAGCCGATGCTGGACAGGGGCGAGGGTCTCGAGGCTGGTCTTCAACGAGTGGCGATGACCAGGTTGGTGGCCTTGCGATATTGTGACGTTGCTATGACCGAACAACACCCAACACAACAGCGGATGACATCCTACCGTCTTTTTTGATGGTTGGTCGCCGCTTTCACTGCCCTATCCAGCGATAGGGATATTCATTTGTACCATTGAGGGAGTCGAAGCAATTCCAGTCAATGACGTCAGGCTTGTGACGGTGGGCCGCTAGAAATTTTACCTCCTCTATAACCGGCACCTGCACCAATCAGAAGAGGTCCTCAATATTACATGTCCTGCACTGTTGAGTAGAGGCTTGAGTTCATGGTTTGACGCTCACGGTTCGCGGAGCTATCAGAGTATGAAATTGGTTGAAGGGGTAGCGTGGGCGCGAGCAGTCTTCCTCGCGACACGTGTGGTTTCCCCCTGTGGCATGTTGTGTCTGTATTTGATCATGCCTCTGCACGCGTACTCTACAAGTACTGCACATCCTGAATTGTCGCACGAACCAAACCCTTGCAATGCGGAGAGTGCTTGTTGTCTGCAGCAGCACGTGTACCCTCGGTTCTGCGTTGCAACTGTCAGGTGTCTTTGTCCGGGTTGGTTTGTCTTCATGATTAGCATCGACCGCGCTAACCTTCTCACGAATACACACACCACAGTCTCCGGGCGGTTAAGAACGGAACACTCTTTTAAACGCCATTACCTGGGGCCCCGTGAGCGGGCGGCATGGGGGAGGCTTAGTTTTTCTCGGCGGATGGAGAACGTAAACTGTAGCAACAGAAGAAGACTGCAAATGTCTAACCCGGGCTAATACCTTGCACTCGAGTTCGTTTTGCAGTGCTTGTTCCGTCTTATCGTCATTTTTCCCTCTGTTCTGGCCCTCGCCGTTCGTTGCGGGGAAGGTCACCCGATGAGCTTTCCCACAACAAACGACGCAGAGCTAAAATAGCTGTGAAAATGATGATGGGATTGGGCGCGATGAGAGGAAGGAGAGTGATGGTGAAATGAAAGCATTTAAAAAATAACCCTCGGTGTGTGTGTCCAACCTGATCTATAACGGGTCCATCCTCAATAGGGCAGGTTCCTGCACTATAGAGGGCGCTGTCTGCGCCCAGAGTTTTTTCCTGCACTATTGAAGGTGAACGATCACGGCTCTGATCTACCGACCTGTGGTTTGCGACTACCCTCAGTTGTGCCTCATTTCGATTGCCGCGCGGGTTGCAATGGAAATTGAGGAAGACCACAAGGTTGTGGCAAGCCACCGTTCTGTAAGTGAGTGCCGCGATTGTTGACCTTTTTTAGGCTTGCGGACATGGCCGTAACCATGGAACTGCGGAGGTGACAGTGGCTGCCAAAGGTGGCACGAAATATTACGTGTATGTACCGACACGGAAGTTGACGGAGATAACTGTAATCTGGACGCCGTCAACATTTGGCCGGGAGATTGGAACACTCAATATTTCAAGGGTATGTTCTGTAGGGTCTGTAACTTTCTGTAGGGTATCCGAAGTTGTCACAGAACTCACAGAACTATCGGGTAGGTATTGGAAGTGTCACAGAACTCCACAGATATAATCGGGTTTGTGAGAAGGTCGTACAGAACCCACAGAACATTTCGGGTAGGTTCACAAATCTCTACAGACGTTTTCTGTACTGTACTGTCGTGTCACAGAACTCGCAGAAGTTTTCTGTAGGGTATTGAAAGTGCAACAGATCCCACCGAAATATCCGGTATTGTAACGCAAGTGCCACAGAACTCAACAGAAAAAATCGGGTTTGTGCCAAGGTCGTACAGAACTCACAGAACCTCGCGGGTAGGTTATCAAATGCTCACAGAAGTTTTCTGTAGGGTATTGGAGCGTCGCCGAAGTCACATTTTCTGTAGGGTATTGTAGCATCACAGACGTCACAGAAGTGTCCGTAGGGTTTTCAAGTGTGACAGAACTCACAGCCGCTTTCTGTAGGGTATTGCAAGTGTGACATAACTCGTCTGTAACGTTCTGTAGGGTATTGCAAGTGTCACAGAACAGAAAATAGGGGGGCATTTAAGCATGTTGCTCAAATGAATACCCCAGGTATATACCACCCCCCCCCGCTCTCTCTGCATCCGGTTGTTCGCCCTGGTAACTCCACAAGGATGTGCTTGACGCGCCGAGACGAGAGCGCCGGAAAAGGTGTGTCTTGGGCAATGAACAACCCCGTGAGATCCCGCCAAGTTGTGCCAGATGAGAAAAACAGAAGGGCAAAAACTTTTCCACGACCATCTTCACAGCCAGGAGCTGACGGACTCTGCCAAAGGGAACGAATAGAAACAGAAATACAATACAATGTACCGTATCGGCACAGCATTGCAAAGGGGAGAACGGGACAAGCGTGAGATACCAACATCAGTCAGTTGGTTACGTGGTTCGCGCAGGTAAGGTTTCCTCACGGAGTACTACTGCAGTACAGCAGTCACACATACATGCATACATGTACACACACAACAAGCAGAGAAACCTGACGCACACACCTGTCCGTCCCGACACCCGAGTTCTTGCTCGCCGCGAAGTTTGCCGTGATGCTCTTGCTTCGGCCCCTTTCTCTTCCCTTCCTTCACGACGCCACCCATCCCCTGCACTCCGTGCCCATTCTTGAGGTGCGAGTTGACGTTGCTGTGGTCGCCGCCTTTGCAGGGGATCATCTTGTTCTTGCGGCGGCACAAGGAGTCGGCCATGCAGAAAAACTGGTGCTTGTCGCTGCTCGACGCCTCGATGTACACTCGAAGCGAATACATGTACGACTTCTCGCGGGACCCTTTCCTCACAAAGCCTGCTGGCACCGTGAAGTCATCGACTGCCTTCACCACAGCCGCGTCCACGGCATGCGGCTCCCCGTTCTTGTTGTAGACGGCTGCGGGTGCGATTACGGGCACGCCTGCATCACCGCCTCCCGCGTCAACTGTCTCTACCGCTCCCTCGCGTTCTGGTGGTGGTGGTGTTGCTGCTGCTGCTGCTGCTGCTGCTGCTGCTGCCTTTGCCCGCGCTTTGACTCCTCTCGCAGCGATCGATGATCCGCTCGGAGGGTCCGCGGTGGTAGAGGTAGAGCTCATGTCCCTCTCCTCCACAGCGATACAGATGCGTCGTGGTTGTTCACAATGATGTGTATGTGTGTGGTGTATGTATGTGTGCGGTGCATTCTCACCATGATGTTGGTGGGCCTGACTCAGAACATAGAGCGTACAGGCGTAGCCCGGTAGGTAGGGTATTGACAGCGTCACAGATCGAACAGAAGTTTCCGGTAGGGTATTGGAAGTGTCACAGATCTCACAGAAGCGTCCGGTACGGTATTTGAAGTGTGACAGAACTCACAGAAGAATTATGTAGGGTATCGAAAGGGTTACAGAACCTCACAGAACGTTTCTGTAGGGTATCGGAAGTGCCACAGAACTTACAGAAATATCCGGTGTTGTATCGCCAGTGCCACAGAACTCAACAGAAAAAATCGGGTTTGTGCGAAGGTCGTACAGATCTCACAGAACATAGCGGGTAGGTTAACAAATGTGTACAGAGGTTTTCTGTAGGGTATTGGAGCGTCACAGAACTCATAGGCGTTTTCTGTAGGGTATTGGAAGTGCCACAGATCTCACAGAAGTATCCAGTAGGGTAGCGGAAGTACCACAGAACTCGTCTGTAACGTTCTGTAGGCTAAATACCCGGAAAAATACCGCCGGTACCTTCTGTGGGTACCCTACAGAACACACCCTTGCAATATTTCACTTACACGTACCGTGCCGCAAAGGAGGATATAGCACAGTTGTATTAAGTGGTAATGATTCTGTCCCATGGTTGATTTTGGACGGCTGGCCGAACTGGCCCTTTATCATTGTCACTTGTGGAATAAGATACTGTTTGGACGGAGGCCGTTCGAACGTTCACGTTGCCTTTTCTTGTTTGGCTTGTTGGCTGAATGTTAAGTGTGTATTGTAGTGATGATGGAGGCGTGACGTTCCGGTTGTTGATTTGGCTGCCTACAGCCTGTCGCGAGCGGCCGAACGCTACTGCTGCTTTGCTTAATTTCGTTGTCGACATTTTGGGAGAAAGGAACGTCGCTGACATTCGAATGTTGAGACCACTGCCCGTTGGCAACACCGTGGGGGGTAACCCTAAGATAATGTCGCTTATTTCTCTCAATCGAAATATCTGTACGATGCGGCCTGCAGTGTTTCCGTGTCTCACGTTTCCTAGTCAATATAACAGGGATTTCCAAAACAAGGTTGTTCGCTTTTTTCGCTGTGTATGTGGATCCTATCCGAGCTGTGACGTTAAAGATAAGGACTCCGATTGGTGGCGTGTAGTGCGTCGCCGTTGTGGACAACTTACACGGAATCTCATACCATTTACTGAGCTCTCTTGATCCACCGTCTTCAGTCTTGATGATCGTTCGCGCTGCCTGCAACAAACAGCTTGTTTTTCCGCGATTTCCAAGCTTTGTATACTTTTGCAATAGAGGCTATCTTGAGCCAAAGCTGCTGCGTAGTCCTGTTCATACTGGGTTTGTGGTGTGGCAGTGATGCGAAAAGTTAGGGACATCCGTACGCTGTGCCTGTAGTGGGCTCGGCGGTGGGGATAAAACCGCAACGGAATCTTACTTAACTGAGCCACCCACGTCTCCCGCCGTCTTTTTTTGTTCGAACCAAGAGTTGTAGGGAGGGCAGTCGTGCCCGAGTGCTATCGGATTAGGCTGCTAATCTCGGAGGCGTATCGTGCGTATCGTATCGTGCTAAACGATATTTCCCCTTTGTAAACATTCTTTTGGGGTTGAGAACGAGGAACATGGTGACCATTGATCAAGAGTGCTTTGTCTGAGTTTTGTTTGGAGGACTTGAAGTTGGTGTCATTCAAACAAGGCGTCTGGGCCGTGATGTAAAAAGCGAGTATCCTATGGCCCTTGTAGTGAGGTGCCGCACGTGAGGATTTACCGTGTGGAATCTCATTAACTGAGCCCTGCCGTCAAGCTTCGTTGATGTAGAGTTGGGATAGCTGTTACAACGTCATTTCGTCGTCGTATCGCTTCATCAGTGTTTCGACCGTTTCAACCATCTCTCTCTAACGCCGTATTGTTTTCAATTCTTTGCGCCCCCCCCCCCTCCCCCCCCCTCCTTCCCCGCCTACGCCATCGCGCTGCAGGCATATGCGACGATTGTTCCGCCTTTCCGGGCGATGTCTGAGCCATATCGAGCCGCTGCTTCTCGTTGGGGCTACTGGGTGTGGCAAGACGACCGTGTGCCAGCTGTACTCGATGCTGCTCCAGCGTAGGTGCGTTGTGCTAGGTTGGACACCCTTATCTTTCAGCAAGTCTCTCTGTGACCGCCATAGGTTGTTTTTAAGGAGGCTGGCCATTTTTCTATTAGTACCAGGTGTGGTCGTATTTCGTACTAGACCCTGTTAGGAAGCCTTGATTCGAGAACCAGAAAGCCTCCGGTGCGATTTCAACGTCGTTCATACGAGGTCCCAAGGATTCTAACGCTCCATTGTCGCCGCGGCACGTGCGTTGCTTGCTTGCATGTTGTCGATCGCAGGATGCACGTCGTCAACTGCCACCAGAACACTGAGGCCGCTGACCTTCTTGGCGGCCTGAGGCCGCTGAGGGGTCGAGACGTCCTAGTCGAGGAGCTCCGAGATAGGGCCAAAGTGTTCGTTGAACGTTGTACCAAGGCAGGGCACGAAGGCGGAGATGGTATGGAGTGGACTGGGGACAACCTCGACGTGGTCGGCTTGATGGCGGCTGTGCAGGTGAAACTTTCGGTTGATTTTCCGTGTGTCGAGGTGGGGCGAAATACAAGTACAGGATCCGACGTCTCGATCCGATGTATGAAGCTCTTCGCTCAACATGTGAAAAAACATTACTCTCGTGTTTGCGAATCTTCAGCCTGATTGTTGATCGTTTCGCATTTTTTATACGTTTTTTTTCAATCAGTAAATGTCGTGACAGCGAAGCATATCGGTATCTCCCTCTTGATCTCACGCCATGATCTTGAGCGGTCAACACTTTATGTGACGGATGCAAGATTGAATTCGGAGCGAGCGTATAGTTAGGCTCTCGCCCTGCGCCTGCCTCCCGCGGCGTCGTTAGGAAACCCTTTTTGGGAGGAATTTCTGAAGCTGCGGTCGACGGCGACGCAACTCATGGGTAAAGCCTTGGACGAACGCCCCACACTTTCATTTCTGGCACGAACACTACACCTTGTAGGCAAGAAAGGAGCACGTGTTGTTGGGTTGAGACTACATCGAAATAATACCGCTTGTGCATTTTTTGACGCGAAAATATTAACCCTGGACGCACAGCGATTCCTGTGTCCGGGGATGGGATGTTTGCGAACGAAACACGAATCCTGGGTTGTGGCCTTATCTTGTATCTTGTATCGTGTGACGTTGTACCGTAAATAGCCTTTGCCCCGCCGGACGTTCAGTCACGCGATCACGATTTCAAAACACGTCTCAAGCAGCTGCCGCTACATTGTCTGTACTGTTTGTGGTTCTCATTTTCACCCGTCCACCTAGCAACGAAACCTTAGCCTTTTAACATGATTCCGGGTGTAAACCCAATCAAAAGTTTCATGATAACCGTGTGTAGCCGTCTGGATTCATGCCGACCGTGGTTGATATTGTCCAAGACGTCGTCATCGGGTCGCGAGTGGCTCTGTAGTATAGTACAGCGTTACTTGAGACACGATTCGATTTTTTGGAACATATCGATACGCGGTCGGTGATTTTGGTTTAACCCGAATGCAGACGATTAGGCACGACCTTCATGGCTTGTCGTCGCTTTTGGGCGGGAAAACAGGCCACCGCAGGAGACGGCGCAACCTTTGCCATCGTGTACCAGGTAGTGTGGTTTTACACTGTTCACGTTCGCGTCAACGGATGGGGGTGTTTGGCCTTGCGAACAACTATCGTCCCCCATTTCTCTTGCACCAGGCCGCGTGGGCCAAACTGCGACAAAAACAGTCTTCCCGGGGCGTGGGAGGTGACGGAGACGTGAACGGAGCTAAGGTTTCAGCAGAAGCTTATCGGCGGAAGCAGAAACGCGCTTATCCTGAACCTGATTCCCCCGAGTGTGCGGTGAGCGGCAAGCACGGCTTCGTCGGTGCCTCCAACGAAAATGACCATCGACCTGACGTCGTTTCGGTAAAGGCGAGAGCGGTCGCAGAGCCGTCCACCGGCGGCCGGAGGCGGAAGAGTGGAGGGGCAAAACGGAGGAAGGCAGCGGCTGATGAGTCGTCCAGACTACAAGGTGCCTCGGACGACCATGAGCGTCCGCCTCCTCCCGCAGCGGCAGACAGGAAGGACACGGTTGTTGGTCCTAACCCGACCCCTGGAGAGAGTACCGGGTTGGAAGAACAATACGCCCTCGAGAGGGAGTTTGTGTCGCTCAAGGCATTGGCGGTGCGTACGAAGGGGCTGTTCGAGTGGGTGGACGGGCCTCTCGTGACCGCCATGCGGAAGGGTGAACTGATTCTTCTGGACGAGCTTTCCTTGGCTGAAGATGCCGTCCTTGAGAGACTGAACTCTGTACTTGAACCCGGCCGGTCCATCACGTTGGCGGAGAAGGGGGGGAAGGGTGCCGTCGGCGGCGAGGGCGCGGCGGAGGCAGTAGTAGCCGCTCCGGGATTTAGGTGCGTTGTGTTATTGACTGGGGATTACTACGTCAGGTTGGTGGGTCGAAGATGCGTTGTGTGCGTATTGAACAGTTGCACATTTTAAACGCAAATTGGCATCAACATGGTTTGTAAGCCGTTGTAAGTGTTTTGGTCCTCCCTTGACACTCCTTTCCATGTTTTTAAATATTCTCAGGGTGATGGCGACGATGAATCCAGGCGGGGACTTCGGTAAGCGGGAGCTGTCTCCAGCGCTCCGATCTCGGTTTACAGAGGTGTGTCTTGATGTCTTGGTCTGCTTGCAGTCATTACTTCGGTCGATTATTTTGATGATTTTTTTCATAGTACGCACCGGATCTCAAAATGTGAACACGTCGGCCCCTGCTGGTCGGTTACACGGTGTTGGGGGCTACCGGCTGCACTGAGCATTTGTTTTTCCGTTGGGTGTTTGAACTGCTGTGGTCAGGGTCCGAACGAACCTGGGTTCGTGCCTGTTCCTAGTAGAGCTGGTACTCCAGTACTGTTCCAGCCTGTTGCGTAAATGCGGTCTTCCATCGTATTGTTGTAAGGCTCACCTCGAGAAGAGATGCATTACATGTGCCACATCAAGTCAACCATGATGTATGTTGTGCATAGCGCTGATCTTGAAACGCGCTTGATTGGTCGTGATGCGGTGAAGGTCTGGGTGCCCGCACTGTCAGATCGAGAGGACATGGAAGGCGTGGTGCAAAAGGCATTTCGTTTCGGGAACAACAATTCGATGGCAAGCACGGACCTCACCAGAATGGCCGGCCCGATGCTTGACTTTGCCTGGTGGTTCAACAGTACGGTGAGACGCCCGCGATCGCGTCGATCTTTTTCTGGTCTTTCTCCTGGAGTGGAACGGAAGGGATAGCTTGCAGCCGTCAGCAAACATCCGAGCTTGCGCCGCTGTAAACCACCGTTCCCCCCTCCTATACAGTATAATTCCCTTGTGGTTATGTTTCACGAGGCCCACCTCTTTGCTATTCATGCATCCTCTGCCCGTTGGCCTACCAGGCGTCGTCATCGCTGGGCGGGGGTCATGGTTTATCGTTGTCGGTCAGGGACCTGCTGTCATGGGCAGGTTTCATCACCTCGTCGGTGACAAGCTCGTCTCCGGATAGCCGATCATCTGAACCGGGGCTGCGGCCTTGGGAGGCGTATGTGCATGGGTCTGCCTTGATCTTGTTGGACGGAATGGGACTCGGTGCGGGGCTCTCGCCTTCTTCGGTTGTTCGTCTTCGACAGGCCTGCGTCAAGTTCCTCAAGGGGCAGGTAAGGGCAGGGTTAGGGTTAGAGTCGTGAGCGATGACGATAGTGCGTTCCAAAAGTGAATGAACGAAACCTACTTAGCCTCTATCGATGTGCTATTATACTGGTCCAAAAGCATATCGACCCATCAAAATTCGAGAGATGATTGCGTGAAAGGAGAGCAGTCGCCCGAAATTCGAGGGAAGGAGCGAGGCGCCGCTCTAATTACCGCTCTGGCCTCTAGTCGCCCTTGGTTCCTTCCTGGCATTTTAGACTACTCCTGCGGTTCCTGTAAACCGTTGTCTTTTATGAGCCTTGGTTTTTCCGCTCGCCAGAGCGTGCTCTCACGACTGCCGCCGATAGGACCGACGATGTGATGAAGCTATTAAATAGGATCCAATCGAAGATTGTTGGTTGGCCAGCATGTGACCTAATTCCCTAGCGTGTGCCACATGGCCTCCCCAGATGTGAACGAAAAATATATAAAAAAACACCCAACCTCCAGTCGCAATTGATGTTTGATCGAAAAAAACTACATCGACCCGTTAGAGTTCGAGATGAACTGTCCTTTATCATGTGGAAAAGGAGGAATTGCTTGGAATGCTAATGAAGAACTGGAATATTTTCGAGATCGGACAGCTTCAGTGAGCGGCATTCGCTCCATGAAGCTCAGGGAGCGACATTTCCTTTCTGAAGCTGTCGGATCTCAATGATATCCCCGCCTCTCTCTGGCTTTCCAGGCAACTCCTCTCGTTGCTGAAACCGTCGTGCTTGAGGCTGTTACGACCCTTGGTTCTTACGCTTGACAAAGCGTTCTCTCACGTTGGCCGCCGACATGGCTGTCATGTAGGGATCACGCTAAGATCAATTGGAGCAGGGTACGGGCTACAGCCATGAGAGCTCAAGATAGGCTATTTTTTATTGCGGGAAATGAGAGCAGTCGCCTGAAATGGCAGGGAAGAACCGAGGCCTACAAGAGGTTGGAGAGCTTCAGTCGGCGTCGCCGCTTCCTGAAGCCGCCGTCTTACGCTAAACCTCTAGTATCCCTCGTTTCTTTCCTGGCATTCCAGGCAACTCCTCTGATTGCTGTAAACCGTTGCGCTCGAGTCTCTTATGAGCTTTTGGTCTTGACGCTTGCCAGAGGGCGCCCTCATGTTGGCAGGCGAAGTAATGAAGCTACCGACGATTCGGAGGTTGATGGGTGTTTGTGCTGACCTACAAGCCTGATGGTCGTCCGTCGTTGGAAATGCGTCCAGCTTGCGCTTACTCACGTTGACTGTGGACATGACTGATTTAAGGCGAATCGTACGGACGGGTTTGAGTCCGAGTGGGACGTTTTTTTTTGTAGGATTGACATTGCTGCTGATATTGTGTTTGGTCTTTCGGGGACTGGCGTGAAAGAGTGGGGGGATCCGCAGCCTAGCGACCCCCCAGGGACGTTACACGCCACGAGCAAGATTCGACGGTTTCGCGTACCCTTGATACGGTGACGCGAGACTGTCATTCATAATCCGTCTGCCTTCAAGATGCCGCCCGCTTGCCCGACGCTGCAAAGCGCCATTGGCCGGTGCGGCATAATCGGCTAGATACATACGTTTTGCCCGTTTATTTGACGATGGTAGAAGTTGGTCTGATTGGATAGCTGTATTTTCTTTGTGATCATCGCGTACCGCGTTCTACATTCATGTGCGAAATGTGTTTGTTTCCCGTGCTGCCGGGTGACCGCACTACCGTTAATAGCACAACATAGTGCCCTGAATGGTGGCGGGCGTTGATCGAGGGCCTCTTTTTTGGTTCCCCCTCGGGAGGTGCTGGCCGACAATCTTGTCACGGTACGGGGGATGCACCCCCGCATGTTCTCGATTGCGTGAGGAGGTACCCTCCGACGTTGATAGGCATGCCATGCTAACGGCCATTCCGCCGCGGTCGAGGTCAAACGAGGGTGCATCCCCGGTAGCGTTAAAATATGGTCGACCGATCGCCCAGGGGTGATAGGGGAAGGGAAAGGTGCTCGACCTACGTCCGCCGATTGCATTTTTGGGACCCTTGGGTAGGACAAGCGCGAGGCCGGTCAAGGAGGCCACGGGATATTGCCCTTATCCTTATCGTCTTGATTTATCGGATGAAAGCCAATCGCACCTCTGATCAAGGACAAAAGCCAAGACCATGGTCAAGATTGTCTGGAGCGGACTTAGTCACTCTTCCCTTTTGTGGAACTCGGCCTTTGAGAACCGCACAGTGGGGGTCCGATGGAATATCACGACGGGATGTGGGCGTTTTCAGGGCAGGTAGCTTATCCCAACCTTCAATTTCACAGAAGTAGCAGGTATATTACAGGCGCGCAGCGGTACGATGTGCTTTTGTGGTCAATAAGCAGGGGGTCTAAATACTGTTGAACATAGGATAGGATCGGGCGGTGCAGGCGAAATGCCAGGAACCAAGTACCCAGGTAAGGTACTTGGAAAGCAAACGTGTTCACCTGTCCGATCGTTGGGTAACAGCGGGCGCGTAGTAAGTAACCAGGCCCTGTCGTGGCTGACCTACACGACTCAACTGGCTCACGGTACCCTGGTGGTATGACTCGTTGAACGTGATCTTTCTTCCTTCTGAGCTGGGGCAAGAAGGAGAGAGCAATTGGTTACCTCATTGTACTATTTCCGGCCCCTGCGACACGACCGGTGGAATGTGTGAAGAACCAGCTGTTGTTGATCATAGAATGGATGGACTCCACCATCGACTAGCCAACGCTTGTGATGTCTCGCCTCGACTGAGCTTGTATGTTTCTGCTCCATGCGTTGTGCTGGACGTCGTCGTACGTAAACGTCGCCATGTGGTTGGCTCATTTTGTTGTGTGATCATTCCCTCCCAAGACCAAGACTTAAGAGTTACATGGATACTTACCATGTGTACATTTGTTGTGTACATTCCGGACCAGATACCATCGTGTCCCGAGCAAACCTCGGCGCTAGGTCAGCTGGACAGGGATGGAGGAGAACGTCCGGACAAGCTTACGTCACTGGCGTTTGAAGTCCGCGAATTGACGTCCGTGAAAATGGAAGACGCGGCTGAAGAGACCACCGGCACGCCTCGTTTCGTTTTTGGTGTGGAACCGTTCTTCACCCCCTGCGGACCTGCTAAGGTGTTGGGGTCTGAGAGCGCGAACCTGGACTTTTCCGTTGAGGCGCCGACTACTTCCAAGAATCTTCGACGGGTTCTTCGAGCGCTTCAGGTAGGGTTGAGTGGAGGTGAAATATGTAGTAGGCATGGTTTTGCTTCACGAACTGTTCCTTTTTTTCCCACTGTACCAGCACAGGATGGGGTGCTCATATCTAAGTACAACGCTCTTTGAAAGGCTAATTCCCACTCGATGTACGTTAGGGGCTTGATTGAAAGGTGGCTGTGCACGATTTGTACCTTGGAATCTACCGGTCAAACTCCCCAATTAGGAAGATCATGAACAGTCCCATTGTCGAATGAAACCGTGAGGTCTGATTCCGACCTATGCCTCCGTGTGGTGGGTTGGTTGCGCAGTGGAGCCCCCATCTTTTTCTGGACCAGACAATAGACCAATTTCTGGCCGAATAGAGTTGTGATTTATTCTTAACCTTTCTCGTCGCACTCTATCAATTACTCCGTCAGATACGAAAGGCAGTCCTCCTGGAGGGCAGCCCTGGTGTAGGGAAGACTAGCCTCATCTCCGCACTGGCAGCGGCAACGGGACACGAGGTAAGCTCTCGAGTATATTTTGGTGTATTGCATGAATGTCTGAAATAGAACGACAGCGGTTTTTGGAGCATTTTTTACCCCACGACAGACAGGTCGTGAACAAACCGACCCTTACCATGCACATCCATCGAATTTTTTGCGCCTTGGGTTCCGCAAAACCTGCGCGGATGTACTCGGTGAGAAGTCTCCCTGGGTCGCAAGACTTTCGGTTTGTTTCGGTGCGCTGGTCCGTCGCAATGTAATCAGTTCCTTAATTTGCCTGTTCTCGGGTCAATCTATTCATTTCCTCTCCAGCTTGTGCGGATCAATCTTTCGGAGCAAACGGACGTGTCCGATCTCTTCGGCTCGGACCTTCCCGTTCCCGATACGGACTCAGGCGAACAGACTGGCCAACCGACCGAAGGCAGCGCCGGAAACAACGCTCGGTTTTCGTGGTGCGACGGGGTTTTTCTGAGCGCGCTGAAGGCTGGCAGATGGGTTCTGCTCGACGAGCTGAACTTGGCTACTCAGGTACGCTTTTCTTTTTGCGTAATGTTGTTCAAAGGATCCGTGTATATTGTTTGTGTTCCAGAACCGTCCCATTCCAACCCGCCCTCGTATGTACAAGAGTCGTCTCATATTTTTGTATGTAGAGAAATCTTCGTAGATATGGAAACGTTCAGAAGAGGTTGGATCAACAGTGGGTAGCTCTCCTGTCAACAAGGCGGCCGCAGCGCTTGCTTGGTGTAAGGTTCAGTGATTGACCCACGGCCGTTGATGATCCGCATGGTTTCCTGAGTTACTCATTTGTTGCCTGTATCATGTTGTGTTCCGATTTCCGCAGAGTGTGCTCGAGGGCCTTAATGCTTGCCTGGATCACCGTGCCGAGGTGTACATCCCGGAGCTCGGGCGTTCGTTTAAATGCCCTCCGACGTTCAAGGTCTTCGCGGCGCAGAATCCTCTGGGACAAGGTGGTGGCAGGAAGGGTCTTCCTAGATCTTTCCTCAGTCGCTTCACCAAGGTATGTTTGATGGGTCGATCTTTGTTAAGAGTACAGTTTGTTAAGAGTACAAAGTGCACTGGGGTCATCAGTGCGTGGTCCGTCTCCATCTCGCCCTTTGATGTTTAGATGGGCTTGCCTCCACGTTTTGACGCACGAAAGGTTATATGTTTTTTTCGCACAGCCGCGGCAGCACCTTTCTCCTTGCTTTTTGTGGTTTTCCGATGCCCAACTAGTACGGTCTCTTGATTCTTACTTTGTCTTCGGGCGACGCTCAATTTTATTGTGTCGACAGGTATATGTGGATCCACTCACCCCGGACGATCTGCTGTACATCGCGGTCAACAAGTTTCCTTCCCTCGCAGCACCGCCATCGCCATCATCATCACCTGTGTCATCCGACGCTGCTCTGATTGCGGCCACGGACGGCAACAGCCAGGATAACGAGAAATCGTCATGTATTCCTTGCGATGCGGCGTCCATGCTCTCACGCATGATTGCGTTCAACAGGCGAGTTGAACTCAGCTTTGGTTGTCTACCTATAATAGATGCTGCTGTTGGATTCCTTCCGCAGCTTTTCGATGCCAGCCGCTTTGATGTACCCCGAAAACTTTTTCGGTCCACAAGTTTTTGGCACAACGTGCTCATTGTCGCCCTTGGGTTGTGCGCTAGAGGTGTGCCGTCTTGGCAAGTATTATGGGATTCGACTAGTGTCGAGGTTCAGCAGCAAAGAATGGCTCAACAGCAGCGGATGAATCCAAATCGTCGATGAGACGGCAGTGAGCCTGAGAAACGCGTGGGCTGATTTACTATCAGCATGACCGAGGACAACACATTCGTCTTCCGCTTCTGGCCATACCCCATGGCTCTGATGCATCCAAGTCCTCGAATATCAACACCTCCACTTTTGCTCTCTCTATCTGTGCAGTCGGTGATGAGCGACGGTTGCGTAGGGCTGGAGTCGCTGAATTGACTGGGAGTTCCCGTCTTTTTTTTCCGAACCATGCCCCGTTAAATTCCAAGTTTTTCGTCTGGGCGTAGGCTGTGATCTCCGATATCTCCGTTTTGAGTTTTTGTCGCTGGTCCTTTCAAGCGGACTCGTTTCGTTCTGTGGTTCTTGTTGCATGTACGGTACGTTACGACGACAGCATTCACCATGTTCTTGCCCCTTCCGTTTTCCGTAGGTGGCTCTGGGCCCCCCTCTATGTGACGCGCCCCTCGATGATGTCCGTCACGCATACTGTAGTGTCGAAAAGAGTCTTTTTCGTCCAAAGTGAATCCTCTCTCACTCAGGACACCCCTTTGCGGTGACCACGTGGTCATTTTTGGTGACTCCTGACACCAAAATAGTGTTGTCTCCTTCAACAGGCCTTTGGATGTTAATGATCGTTCCATCGTCGCCGTGATGATCTGCCGCTGCTGGGTTTTTAATACTTGGAAAGCAGGGAGGTAGCGGCGTTAGATTAACTACAATCAAACGACCTCCTCTACACGTGAACAAGCCACGTTGTCTACCTCTGAATGTTTACTAAGTTCTTGCTCGACTACCCGTGAGAACAACTGTTGTAGACTTGCCTCTGACTTTGGCCGCCCGTCCCATTCTGGCCCCTATGGGGGGTGGGAATCGATCCTAACCCATGTGCATGGATGGGGTTAAACCATGTGCATGGATGGGGTTAAACCCTAAACCTTGCCGAGAGCCGGGTCGAACCCTACGTCGGTCGTCCTCTGTACACACCCACCCCCCGAACGTGAAATCCCATCCGACGGCTCTCCAACCGCTTCGTAATAATGCAAGAAGGAGGTATTTGATGGCGGACGTGAATGAAGAACAGTTTTCCTTGTGGTGTGCGCATGTACGTCTCTTTCAGGCTGTCAGAAGTCGGAGGCTAAGGCCATAACCCAATACTACCGATACTTGCCCAGAACAACGTGCTCACTGCCAGGGCATTCACAGATTGTGTTGGTACAAACGTTGAATTGATCAACCTGCTTAACTTGACAAGATGATCACTAGTGTTTTGTTTTTGTGTTCTTTATTTCGTGTTAAGACAGTATGGTTACAGTGCAATTTTAACCATAGCGCCCTTGGAATGTAACAAGGTTGCAACACAATGTTAAACCTACTCAGGGTAACAGAATGAATTTGACGCTGACCAACATGTTGAGACTTAGGCTGTCCTGGTCGAGCAAAAAATTACGCCTCGACATAGATCTGTCGTCTCCTCTTCTACGCTCACACGATTAGCCTGTCGGGCTGAGGATGTTGCGTTCGCGATCCGGTAGCGGTCTTGCTGATACCTTAAAATAGTAAGGCACCGGACCCCTTGTCGATCAGGATGAACCAACTATACACCTTTGCAATCTATCGACGACTTAGGCAAGAGCTTTCGGAACACCTTTGCAATCTATCGACGACTTCGGCAAAAGCTTTCGGAACATGCCGCCATCGCTCTGGTACGTGAGGTCAATATACATACCCCTATTACCGCCGGTGGTGTGTGATGTTCTGGATTAAATATAAAGGAGTGAGTCTCTTTAGCCTGGCCTCTCCGGTTGACTCCAAATTTTAACCACTTTGATCGTCTTGGATGAAAGGGGGTGTTTTCTCGCGCTTACCTTTGCATGTGAACTTCGTTTGCCGTGGCGTGCAGCTTGGTGCAAGAGGATACGATGGCGGCTGGGCGCTACGGGCGAAGAGGCTCTCCCTGGGAGTTCAACCTCCGTGACGTCTTCCGGTGGTGCGAGCTTATGCTTCGAGAGCAGCAGCACAGTGGCAGCGAATCCGACGCGGGTGGTGGCTGGGAGCCCTGGCTAGTGGTCGATACCCTCTACATACAGCGATTGCGCACCCGGTCGGACAGAGCCGCTGTCCTCGACCGGTTCAGGGAAACGTTCCCCGAATCGTTCCTCGAAAATTCTTCGCCCTCCTCTGCGGTTGGTACTGAGAGTTGTTCCGGCTGGCGCGAAGGAGGGATTGGGACGCACCCGGTGCTGAAGGTGACTCCGGAGTGGATGCAGGTTGGGCAGACCGTGCTTCCACGCGGGTGTTGGGGAAACGGGACCTCGGCATCGGATGGTGACGCGGATGGCCTAAGGGCGGGCATAACGATCCCTCTTGCGTTGAGGAGACCGTTGCAGGCTCTGGCGAGGTGAGGACATGGGTGGCACCCTGGACAATGTTGTTGTCATTGGTGTTGTCTCGTGTGTGCGTGCGGTCTTGGAGTACCAACGGAGTCCTGGGGTTGATGTTGCTGGAGGCAGCCAATCTTGATGTTTGCCCTCCGAACGTGATGATTTCCCCTAATGATAGGTGTGTGGCGATGGGCTGGCCGGCCTTGGTGATTGGGCATCGCGGGTCTGGGAAGTCAGGCATTATCAAGGGCTTGGCCGCTGGCGTGGGGGCTCGTCTTACGGAGGTTGCCATGACACCGTCTGTTGACGTCACAGAACTGCTCGGATGCTTCGAACAGGTACGTTTGGGCTACGTAAGGTTGACGGAGCCCATTGTTGTTACCTTATCGAAGAAGAAATCTAGCAAGTGTCCGTATCTTGGTAGCTTGATGAGTTAGCCCTTAGCAATAGCGTACAGGTTTGCGAGCAGTTATATCGTTTGAGTAGTGGTAAGCGCATCGCTTGGAAGCGAACGCGGGCCTATGATTAAAACACGGTTGACCGGTAGTAGAGTCTAACCGCACTCTCAGGAGGCGCTGTTTTCTCTCGATGTGGATTGAACCAACCTTCCTGTGTCACTGAGGCTTTAGCGAAGTAAATACATCGTTTTCGTTTTTCGTTTTGAAAAGGTTGAGTATTGTAATAATGATTGACTGGCGTCAAGGTGGTCGAAGTGCTGGTCATTCCGCTTGGTATTACCTGGTTGGGCCTCAGGGCGCCAACAACCTCCCCGGTAGTGTTATCCGCCGTGGTCTTACTTTCACGTAAATTTCACGTGGCCTGGTGGTTGTCAAATTCGGGGAGACATTAAACCAACTCCCCGGCAGCGTTACGCCTGCGAAGGCGCGATGTTTATCTTTATGTCGCGGGGGGCATCGATTACGCGGCGCTCTATCTCGTTGGTGGCTGAGAAGCCTCTGTGGTACGGGTTGCTGAAGTCGACGCGAACATTTGTGTAGAGGATGTGTGGAATTTTTTGTGAGCCACGAGCCACCCTAGGGCTGTCGTTGGATCGTAGCTCGGAATTGCCTGGTCATTGGAATACCCGCAAAAGTGCTGGTGGAAACCTATGGTCATTCTGTCGCCTTGGTAACTTCGATGGGTCGCCCTCGGCTGCTGAGAGAGTTTGTCACTCTTTACTTGCGTTGCAGTATTGAGGTGGGCGTTGGTACGAGAATGATTTTCTTCAGACGCCGACAGTCGATCCTAATTTCGCGTTCTGTGTACGTGGACACCAACTGGGGTATTAATACATGTTTGTCCTGACCACCGATTCTGACCAGTTGTTTCTTACGCTTGGCGTTTGATGGACCGTAAATAGACCGATGCGAGGGCGGTGCAAGAATCTCTTGTCGAAACGCTGGAAGAGTTGGCGGACAGGACATGTCGCTTGTTGCTCGAGGTCTCGGGCGATATCCTGCCGGAGGCTGCCGTTACTGCGGGCGCGGTGTGGGATGCTCTGCACGCAGTGCGTCGCTCGTACCGCAACGCAATGGCTCCGGGTCTTGATGGAGGGCCTCAAGGCAACATCCTGGGCTTCACTTCTCAGGTACAGGAATGTAGGGCAGAGCAGTGTTGCGACAGGTGTTTTCTAGGTGACGTGAAGTTTCGATTATTGTGGTTGTTGAACGAAGTGTTGACAGCAATGGCAGCAGCAGCGGTGTCTGTGTTGGCTTTGCAAAAGCCGCACCGTACGCAGATCACCTCCTTTTGAAAACGAACGCAATGCCTACATTGAATCAGCGGTGTCCGTAGACACCGCTGTCCCCGAATGTTTGAGACCGTCGCCCGCACACCTCCGGGCGATCGTTATAGGAATTTTGGGGAAATTTTTGTATTTTTGCTTTAGCAAAAATGGAGAGTCAAGAGGCACGTTACCTCTCAGTCTTTTGTGTGTTTTATGTGGACACAGTTGTTGGTGCATGTGATAAAAAAAACACACGGACGGTGGTTGCCTGTTTGATCTGCTTTTCCGGGTTTTAAGAGAGTCTTGTCCTACGGTCGGTGTTGAGACTAGCATGCGAACAATTTTATCGAAGAGGAATCTGGATCTTTCCGTTCGCCCCAGTGCATGTTTTTCGTTCTCGTTATCTCTCCTGTTAGCTGGTATGGAATGGCTGTTCGCGATATGGCTTATTTGGGTGTGGAGTTCCTCGCGTTTATTTCGGTGCACGCATCGTTTACATGGACTCTTTTATATTGTTGAGGCATGTTGAATATCCCATGGCGAAGACGTGTAGCTGGGGATGTCTTGACCAGGGCGACGTTGCTCTGAAGCACTGAAAAACTAGTGTTGATCCTTCACGCCGGACCCCTGTGCCCGGTATTGCACGTCACAGGGAATGGGTGCAGTCGACCATCTCTTCTTGCTGCTCAAGGCAGCCAAGGAACGCATCCGAGCTGACCCGAACATGACCGGCACGGAAACAGCGCGCATGAGCGAGACAAACTCCCTGGAACGGTGGGTAGAAAGGGCGGTAGCCCTCGCTACGACTGTGCGGCAGCAAGCGGCGACCGACGCCGCTATTTCGGCCACTTCGGACGGCAGCGCGGACGGTTCCGGCGGCGGTGCTCGGGGCAGAAAGTCGTCTTCTGCATCTTGCTTCTGCTGGAGCGATGGCGTGCTGGTTCAGGCTCTGGAAAGGGGAGACTGGGTTGTGTTGGACGGCGCCAACCTGTGCTCTTCCAGGTGACTTGTAGTGTAGCGTCAACAGGGTCTTTTGTGGCTGCTGTGATAGTCTTCATTGTTCACAGTTTGATGAAAAAATACTGTAACGGATTGCTGCTCGCGATATTCCTCCCGGCAGTGAAAATATCGTCCTGGCTGCAATCATGCGTGATGTTGGCTTGCACAAGCTCGTGGCCACGTTCGCCGCAGGTACCATTTTTGAAGAACGCTTTGCCGCCCTCATTTGAGCGATGCTGGAGTTGAGGTAAAGCAGTTATCGAAACCTAGTACACGGTGATGACGTTATTTTACTTGGAAGCCGGTACATTTGGAAGCGGAGTGATGCAGAGACAGCGTGTTGAGGATGGCAAAGATGCTCGTTCTTAAATGGTCCTTGCCTTTCTCCCTGCCCATTCGCCTGGTGCGGCACTGTATGCGAATGTGTTGGTTGGCAGTGTTCTGGACCGGTTAAACCCCCTTCTGGAGCCTGGAGGTGTCCTACCCCTCACGGAATGCGGCACTTCAAGCGGCAATGGACAAGAAGGCGCCAACGGGGCGTCTTCCACCAGCCACCGGACGATCCGACCGCACCCCAACTTTCGGCTGTTCTTGACGGCGGACCCGTCCTGCGGTGAAGTCTCCCGCGCAATGCGGAACCGTTGCGTGGAGGTGTCTCTGGTTGACGCGCTGCCGGCAGTTGCCGTTGTCCCCGCTCAACCGGCAACGGCTGACGTCGGCGCTGGGGCTGACGAGGATGCTTTACCGGCCAAGGCCGTCACCGAGCATGCCGCAGACTTTCTGTCGATGGTGCGTGCGGCTGGGATGACGGAACCGCGGGAGGCAACTGCGGCGATTGCCGTTCACTCTGCGTTGGTGGCGAGGAGGTGTACTGGGAGCGGGAATGATTCTGCGGGGAGTGGACCCTCGCCTCGTGCACTGCTTCTCTGGGCTGAGCTGGTCGCGGCGAGTCGTTGTCGGCGTGTGACTTCCGAGGGAGACGATGATTATGTTGACGCGTGGCTGCGGTGTCTCCCGCTGGCGTATCCGAGGTCGAGCCCAGGAGGTGGATCGTCAGCCGAGATGAAACTGGCCAGAACTGTTGTGTCGGTCTGCATGGCCGGGCCTCTGGCTTCGGGGTCGGAGGAGTCGTTTTCTTCTGCCGATGTGATCGATTCCGTTGTGCCTTGCGGCTGGAGGGAGACCGTGAAGGACAGCGTCGTAAGGCAGGTCTTGCAGGACGTGAAGCTGGTCGAGATCGTCCTCGCAGCGAGCAGCACCGAAGCCTCTGCGGGAGGCGATCGTTGCCTCTTGCCGCTGGTCGTTGACGCTGTTGGCGGTGGGCAATCGCCGCCCTTCACGGACTTAAGACTGGAGCCGGACGATGCGGCTCTACTGCTCACGGCTGGAGAGGCCGCGTCTACTTCGAGTGTAAGCCGTACGCTTCTCGCCCATGCCGCCGTTCTGGTTGCCCGGAAAGCTTCGTCGGCAGACCGTCATCTGCGGGTTATATCCTCCCATAGGGTGACAGGGTCTACAGCGCGCGGTTCGTCAGGGTTTGGACGGGGAGCTTTGGCGGGTAGCGTGGGAGAGGCGGTGTCCGCGATGATGGCTGCTCTCTTCGACTCGCGCGCGCGGTGTGAAGTTTCGGCGATGCTCGCGGAGATGGAGTCGGAGGCCGATGTTGGGGGTGGCGGCAGTGGTGCACAGGGCAACAAGACATCGTCGCTGCGGCAAGCCGCGGCGCTCGCGGGTAACCGTTGGTCGCCCTCGGACCCGCGAGAAAACCCGGACCTCTTCGGTTCTCTCCGGCGGTTGTTTCATGGATCACGCACGTGGGGGCCTTGCATGCTTCTGCTTGGGATCGTTGACGTGTTCCTAGTCCGAAGGCTTCCGCTTGTGCTTGCGGAGCGCGCCGAGGTATCCGAAGCGCAAAGCCGGGTATCTTCCGGTCGTGGTGGGGAGGCTGGCTTGGGGTGGCTCGGTCTTTCGTGGCTTATATGCGAAGGGGGTCGGGATGCTTCGATGGTGGGAGGTGGAGGCCGGGGCGGCGCCAGCTCCACGGATACCCGTCTTGCACGATATTCGTTAGGTCCGTACCTGTGGCCCCTTCTGCGTGCGATTGATGTGCTTGTTGAGCGGTTGGCCTGCAGGGAGGTGGCGGAGCTGGCGACTTCCGGGCAGGATGGCCAAGAGTTTCCTAACAGGTTGCTTGGAGGAGTGCGGTCGGTGATGGAAGCACGTGATACCTTGTCGGGGTTGCTGGTCGTGGCGTCCGCCTCGAAGGACGAAGGGGCTTGCGCTGATGCTGCTTCCACAAGAGGGCCTCGGGGGGAGCTGCTGTTCGCGTGGGATCCGTTCTTAGTGTCGTGGCGGTGGCTGCAGCAGGGATTGGAGGCCCTCCGCACGACATTGGGTGCTTCTCCTACCGTCATTAGCCTTGCCAACGTGTCCTCAGCGTTTGCCACTCTTGACGCTGTGGGGGCCCGCGTGAACGCCGCCGTATTGCAGCACGCGGGGGGTGCCGCACCGACCAGGGACACGCTTTGGAAGCACGGGCCTAGGGCGGCCGCTCCTTCCTCTGCTGCTGGGGCGATTGCTCTCGCGCGGCTCGGCCGTCTCGCGGATGAGTTCCGGATATTGCCGTCCACTTGTTCGGTATCTGCGGATTCTGGTGTGGTGTCCCTCGGAAGCCTAATGCGGAAGGCGCATCCCTCCCTCTCTGTGTCGCGTGACATGCGCGGGGAGCTTTTGCACGCGCTTTGCACTCTCCAGTGGGTGTTCTCCAAAGAGCAGGTCGAGGATGGTACTGGTGTTTCGTCGCACCCGGTCGCTTTGCCCAACAACGAGGGAGATGGCGGCGGCGTTTCTCTTGCTGCGCGTTTGCCGGAGTTGCTCGAGGACACCCTCAAGTCTTCCCGCGCCCGCTTCGAGGCTGCGCACAAGGGTACTCGGCTCGGTGGTGCCGATCGGCGGGATGACGGCCTCGAGCATCACCAGGATGACTTGGAGTTCGGAGAGAGGTTTGACGACTTCGACACCGAGGCGACAGAGGCGGTGGCTAACGCTACGCTCCTTGTGGTGGCCGGAGATTCTGGTTCTGCCGGTCGTGATGAAGAAGTTTCTCATGGCGGCGGAGGCGTGATGCAGGACTGGGCGGCCGTTCAGCTCTCCCCGTTGATGGAGCACTGGATCGCTGTGGAGGAGTGCGAAATTCTGGCTGCCCTCGCCGGGCTCGACGTCGCCGCTGCTCTTGGAGGTCGAGAGAATGTGGTGGGAGTCAGCTCGGAGCCGCGCCTCATGGCGCGCTTGTCCAGGCTGCGTTCGGCGATTTTGGCGACGCCTTCGCTCTCGCCTGCCGCGGCGCGTCCACACCAGACCTTGCTGTGGGCTTTGGACGATTCGAGTTCCTGGCCCGATGTTTTGGCACCCCTGCTGAAGCGGCTGCTTCCGGTGGCCATGGCATCCTTTGGTCGTCGCCTCTGGGATAATGTCGTGGGTGCTCCCGAGGCGTTGTCGCTCCAGCTTGCTCCACCCGAGATGGTTGACGGCGGCGGCGAGGGACACCAGGACTACACGCCGACAGGCTCGCCCGACACATGGTTAGCAGGTCCGGCACAGCTCCTAACTCTTGCCCGGTCTTCATTCTTGTTGCGGTTGTTGTCGACGGCTGTCTTCTGTGGCGGTGTTGTGCCAGGAGGCAAGCGGCACGTGGTGGACTTGACCCTCATGAACGCCTCTGCGCGACTCGGGCAGTTTAGGACGGCCATGCGCCGCGTGCGGGACCTGACGTACGGTGGCGGCGGCGGTTGGGGGGGTGAGCCAGGCGGTGCGCTCAAACCATTGGTGCAGCTGGCGTGGGCCAGGTTCTGCCGCACGCTGGGCGCGTTCGATGACGTGCAGGCCACGGGAGTCGAAGCGCCGGCCACCTTCGCAGCTGCTCTGTTTGCTGCCGGCGGAGAAAGTAGTGTTCCGTTATCTACTTCGTGGGGGACGGTTGAGGGACCGCTCCGCCAAGCCCTTAAATCCTGCCCAGACCAGCGGCTTGCCGCTCAAACAGATTTGCTGGTTTTACCTGCGGCTCGGCACCTCCTTGTTGCCAAGGAAGAGCTGGTGGGTCAAAGGGCGGAAGGGCCGACGGCACGTGTTGAGGCCTCTGCGGGGCTTGGGATGGCGCTTCTCGGGTGCCTGAAGCTCGTCCTGCTTCTGCCTTCCTCTCCTGTGGATCCGGGTCTGAAGCCTGCTCTCAAGAGGGAGCTCTTGGGGGAGAGGCTGGGCGGATACCGAGGGGAGCTCACGGTTAGGCGGTGGTCTATGAGACTCGAGGGAGGCGGGGACGTGTCTCCCGAGGTGGGTACTTTCTATTTTGAAGATGGGGGATCCTTGGATGGAACTGGGGGCATTTATGACCCCGTTGCTCTAGTGTTGCTCTCTCAGGTGGGATTTTAGGCAGGGATTGATTTGGTCAATCGACAACAGACGCGTCATACGTTTCCAGAGCTTGTGGAATGATTTTACCGTCAGCCTCGCTTTACATGACATGCAAAACAACTGGTTATCTGAAGGTACTCTGACTAACCGCCGTGGGCGCTCTCGTTATCGGCTCTTTTCTAAGCGGTCTGTCCTCGTGGCCTTCCGATGCCGACGGTGATACACAACTTCCTCACGACACATCATGAAACGCAAACACGTCACCACTTTGGAGCCCCTGTGTAACCTCCGGGTCGACGCGGGTTGGAGCTATCTCCTTTGTCGGTTCGCAGCTTTGCAACAGTACTCGAAAACGGCTTTACGCCGTTGAGATTAACCCGGATTGTGCCCTCACTACTTTGGTTCGCCGCGCATTTTTGATGCGGCGTGACCGCTAGGGTGCATCCTGGAACATTTGACGCGCCAACGACATGTGTGGTGTGTGGGCCTCGTTGTATTTCGGTTCGCTGTCGAAGTGATTGTTATATTTGCATTTGCTACCTTGTACTTATCCTCTCACTGAGTTTTTCATTGCTGGTACGTCTTTTTCTACAGGACACTACATTTTGTCAAGCGTATTTACGTGCTTCTTTGTTTCGCGACAAGGCATTTTGATCGGTGTTGCTTCGTCTTCCCATCGGGCGTTACGCGCGTTCTTGCAGATGTTACCCCTGCTGCAACAAGCTCGGAGCCTTCGCGACGAGTGTACCCGGCTTGGGCTCGAGGCCATCGAGCGTCCTGACGGCCGCCCGACTTTCCATTCGCTCTTCCGTGACGTCCACGCCTTCGCGAGAGGCCTCGCCGACCCCGGCCGCGTCACGGCTCTGGCACATTCTCTCGCGCGATTCGTAGGGGGCGTGGCTGGGCTGGAGGAGGATTGGGGCGCAGGAAAGGGCAAGGCTCTGGATCGAGCGGCTTCGCTTCAGGAAGAGATGGTGTGGCAGGACGCCGCCGGTGCTTTCGTGAGTCGTTTTCGTACGGAGTACGGGGATGCCTATGCGGACGTCGTGACTGGTATCTGCGACGCTGTGGAGGTGACGAGGCTCGGGCTTCGGGTGCTTGCGGCTGCTTGCTCGTCCGCTGCCTATTTCAGCCCAACAGACGCCACGCCGCTGGGGAAGGTGGCACCGAGACCCTTGGCCAAGCTCCAGGGTACGCTTCTTAGCTTCCCGTACCCTTGCTGTGAGGGACTGACTCGTGCTGGGGACGGGTCCGGGGAAGGTCTCGGCGAAGCGTTGCGGTCGACGCTAGGCTCTGGTGCTGACGGGGGTGGTGGCGCTGGTGGCGGGGCTTTCGGGGCTCAGCATATGATGCTGTTGCAGGTGGGTTTTTGGTTGACAGCGGTCGTCGCGATTTTGTTGAGCTCTTCTCTTCGTCGAATTTTTTTTTGGTTCGTGTGATGCTCGAATGGCCCCCAGCCGGGACCCAGGCGTCTCCGGACTGTGCCTGGTGATCCCACTATACTCGAGCTAAATTAACTGCGACCTTTACGGTTGCTGCGATTCCTCTCAATCCCTCGCTTGAAAGCCCGTGCCGTTTTTCGGTTGCTGGTCACTCTCGCCGCGGGTCGTTTGGGACGCACATAATGTATTTCCGATACAAGACGTATGGTATTATGGAGCTTCAGGTGCATGCCTGAGGGCCTACGTCAGCTTTGTTCTCATCTCACAAGTAAATATGTAGCAGACTCATGAATCGATGCAGATAGGTTGGGTGGTTTTGCATGGACAGTCGCAGTGTCGTACGCACATGCAAGTCGCAAATGATTTGTAAATGACGTGGAATCTTTCACAATTCCCTCACGGCTCGCTGACCTTAGGTTGTCGTCATACCTGCAGTATTGTAGCTCGAATTCCATGTTTATTCCCGCCACATTTTCCCATGGCTTTACTTCTCGATTTTACAGGCGGTGCTGTCTCGTGCGGAGTTGTTGCTGTCGTCCGAGTGCTCGGCCCAGCCGGCCGTCGATGCCGCCGTGTCTGCTATGGAAGGAGCAGTCGACGCTTGGTCTCGGGTGGAGGCGGAAGAGGCAGAGAAGCGCCGCAAGGAGGCTGAGATCCTCAAGTACAAGATGCAAGAGCACGTGGTGCGTTTTCGTGTGTAGTGCTGTATTGTTCTTGGATACCTGAGATATGCGCTACCTTTTTTTATTTTATGGTTTGGTGGGGTTTGCGTCGTTTTTTGTTTGTTTACCCAGCCGTGTTGTATATCGGTGTGAAGCGTCTATTTTATTTTGCTTCAATGTTGCATGCGATAGCATGATCGGTTAGTGTGCATTGTGCGGGGCATTCCGAATGAAGAAGAAAAGCATGTCCTATCTCAGTGAGGACCATTTAAAGCTTCAAACACTCTAATTTTTTCCTGACGGAATGCCCTTTTAGCTATAGAGCGTTTTGAGATTGGCTCTCGTGTGTGTTTTCTCACATGTTTTGCATCAACTACTTTTGAATCGAAGTGATGAGAAAACGTCTTGGAGACCTGTTCTGCAATCGCGAGGGTACCCGTGGGACTACACTTGACACCGTACCTCACGCCTACCCACGCACTCTTGAAGATGACCAAGCATATTTCTTTCTGATCGATCCACCCTCGGTTGCGTGACTTTTACAGCGTGACTTGGGTTTGGCAGTGTTTAGTTTGTGCTGCCTGTGTTGTGTTCTGTTTCGATTTCGAGTCTGTGTTCTGGCCAGTTGATGAAAGCAAGCTATCCTACGTTCGTGAGGACCTTTAGCTTACAAACACTCTAATTTTTTCACTGATGGCTCACCATGCGACTCGACTGAATACGTGCATTTTGCGTTCTACTGCTACGGTTTTGAATGGTTTGTTGAGGTGAATCGTGGTGATTTGGATCCGTTTCTCCAATGCATTCAATTCTGTGTTCCCTCTTGGTTGGCTTGGTCCGGCCTTGTAAAATCTCATGCTCTATGCACCTCGTAACGGCGGTATCGTGCCCAACATTGCCGGAATCCCCCTGACTCAGGTGGAGTCAGAGGAAGCGATAAACCTCGCCAAACTTCGGGCTCTATTCCCGGACTACCACAGCGGTTTTAAGGACATAATGGCCGAGAACGCGCCCGCCGACAGCGGCGAGCAGGACGAAGCTGCCGATGGGGCTGGGACCAGCGAGGGCGCTCTCGACGCGCGCGCCAAAGCTCTCGGCCACATGTCGGACAAGCACCTCTCATCCCTCGTTGCTCGGCATTGCCGCATCTTCTTGTCGCTGTCGGCAAGAAGACGCCGCTTGTTGCGCGGTCTGTTTGCATCTCGGGGAGGCACATCCCCTGAAACGGCTGGTTTCGTTGGCGGAAGGTCCTGTAGCGACGCCGAGAGGCTGGTCGCGTTTAGAGACTCGTACCGGTCTTCTGTGCTTCTGGCCGCCCCCACGTCGAAGCTCTCTTCCTGTGTTGTACTCGCTTCGCCCACCTTGGCCGACGCGGCTTGCCCGGTTTTGCACATGGAAGGCGCGTTTGCGGGGTCACACCTGCTGGCCCTCGCGGATGCGGCGAGATTGTGCAAGACCGGTAGGAGCTTGCTGGAGGATGCCGCCGCGGGCGGCGAACCCACCGCGTCGAAAAAGGCTTCGAAAAAGGGCAGGGGAGACGGTGTTGTTGGAGTTGGAGTTGCTGGGTGGCTCGGCGAGGGCGCGGTCAGGAGAAATCTTCTCTTGGTAGACCCTCTGGTGAACTTCCACTTGGACGGCAACGTTGCCGAGACGAGGCTTGCGGACGGCCCTTTGGCGTCGGTGCTGCGGAGAGTTGCGGGTTTGCTGGAAGATTTCCCTGGTCACGGCGTTCTCATACAGGTATGTTGTGCTAAAGTCAAGTTTTTGGAAGTACAAAATTTCAGGTTTGCATGATGTCACGATTTTTTAAGGTAAACCCTTGACTGCTTCGTCCCGTCGCTCTTGCCGTGCCTGTTGTCCCCCGTTGCCAGCTTGCGAGGGTCGCCGACCGTGTACGCCGCATGCCGTTGCATTCACCCCTGGCTGCGGTACTCGCCGGTGTCGAGCTCACGCTTCGGAAGGCTCAAGACTGGGAGCAGCACGCACACCGCGGGGTTAGTCTCAAGGACGAGCTGCGGTCCCTGAGCTCTCTGGTGGTGAGGTGGAGGGCCATCGAGCTCAAGAGCTGGCCGCAGCTGCTTGATGCCCGGGAAGGCGCTTTCGTGCTGAAGGTAAGGGTGGGAGAAAGGCTGGGTACAGTTTGGGTCATCGGCGAGGGATGATTGATTGTCTTGAGATGAATATCACGGATGCTTGTACTCCGGGAGTAAACGATTTTGCCGCCAACGACGGTTTCAGGATACAATGTTAATATGCATAGTGCCGTGTACTTCATGCTGTGCATTTTAGTTGACACCTGACCGGTCTTCTTTACATTTGTTTTCGCAACAGGCAAACCGCTGGTGGCTGCATCTCCACCGCCTTCTGACGGGAGAGTGGAACAAGGACCTGCAAGCCTCCAACCCTTTGCAACTCCAGCGTGACCCCGCAGCTGCACCGGGAGGGGTGCCTGTTTCCGATGGCCCAGCAGCTGTACAGCAAGTTCCTGGCGGTAAGGTTTTCAAGGCCCCTGATTGGCCCAGTGCCAGCGGGTACTTCCCCGATTGGCTCTGGTCTGGGCTGGTATCGAAGAAGGGCGCGGGTGTCGCAGAGGAGTCATCAGGAGGCCTCGATGCGGCATCGCTCGACCACGCGCGAGGTAACGTTTTACGGGAGAGGGTTTAGGGTTAGGGTTGTTTTGTGCACGTCCTCACCCATACACAGAGGACGACCAGCTCGTGTTTGATTTTTTCGATCTGTTTGTCATGGCAGTTGGTGTCCGACTACGAATAGGATTCACTGGGGACGTGAGTTTTGTCGCTGGCGTCATGCGCATGCTTGTCGCAGTTTGCACTACCGCCTTTCGGTGTTTGTTCTGTGTCTGGTATGCTTCGGTCCGTTTCACACGGCACCAATCTCCCCTCTCGCTATCGATCCCTTGACATTGGCTACAAGCGTATTCGACTTGAGTTACTTTTGATACAGACCAACTGTCGAAATTTCAACATTATGTTTGGGCTAGAGCTGAATCTAATTTCGGCACGAAAGGTTGAGGCAGGCGTGGGCCATGGTATCATGTTAATAAATGCATACAGGCGATCACTATTTTTCTTCCCTCTTTGAATACGACAAAGCACCGAGTAGGGCAGAAACGTTTATTAATCCCAACTGTTGAATTTTCCGCGGTGGCGTTACATGACGTCCAATCACAGAGGGGTGCGAACGGAAGTGCGATGAGGAAAATCTGGAGTACTTGTTATTTCCTGGATGAGGGCACTTTGTGCTCTCACCTGTGAAGAAGAAACCCTCACACCGAGCACCGCTGTTTGCACGCAGCCTCTGTTGTAGTCCTTTCCACCTGGATGTGCTGTGTTACGCTCATGTTGGAGGCATGTCCAGGGCGCCTTGAACCTTGAGTCTCGCACGTCCTTATGGAGGTGACGTCGCAATAAAGCTTGCGGAATCCCTGCAAGTCTTGAAAAGGGTTTCGGTCAGGGCTGTGACACCCTCTACTTTCATAGGAATACTATTTCTTCCATTACTCGAGAGGTAGATGGAAAGGCTGCCGATGGTTGTATCAGTTGGAGTGCTAGTGCTAGGAGGCGTTTTAGTGAAGGGGAATTGACGACAAACAAACCAAACGGCGATTAAGTCGCCCCTGACCTTGCTTCGTGGTTTGGTGATTTGCTTCTGAAGACCAAAACGGTTTGACGCTGTTTCTCACTGCGCGTTGTCTCTGTGATGGTTTATTCTGCGACTCCGATCTCTTTTGCTGATTCGTTTTGTATCTCTGTCTCCCGGTCACGCAACCTGTGTGGTATTTTTAGTGTAATCTTTACGAGGCGGTCGCACCGCATGCATGGCAAAGAATACCATTCTATCTACGCATGACGACAGTAGGGGAACGAACAGGACTTCGGAGTGATGGAGCTGTCTCTCGGGGCTACTTTCGATTTCAACCAAAGGCTTTGGACTTTGCGCCTTTATCGTCGTCGGTAGGCTATTCAATGGGTTTGTGCAGTTTTCTTTTATGGTGAGGTTTGGACGCAGGGTGCAATGACGATCAAACCGTATTTCATCGTCACTGACAGGACATCCCGCGAGGGCTGTTCCTGATGTCAAACCAAAAGCTTTGGACTGAGCGCCTTTGTTGTGGTCAGTAGACGTTTGTCTCGTTGTTGTATTGCTCTCTTTGTGTGTTTGACTTCGAACGCTGGGTGCGATGGCGATCAAACCGTATTTCATCGTCACTGACAGGACATCTCGCAAGGGCTGTTCCTGATGTCAACTAAAAGCATTTTGACCGAGCACCCCTCTGTCTACATGTGTCTCTAGCACCCGCGCGGGTCGCATTGTCCTTGTTTGGTGTCGTGTCGTGTCGTTGTGATTTGGTCGTTGATCGAAATGGTGCGGTATTGCGTTATTCAGGCAGCTGGATTTGACGTTGACGATCACCACAAACGCATCAAACTGCTTTGGTTGGGGTCGACTGTAGGTCGTTTTTTCTCCACAACCGTGTGTGTTTGCTGCACTAACTATAATAGGGTTAGGGTTAGGGTTAGGTTTGTGTGATGTTGCGACGGACCCCCTCTGAAACTCTGTTTTCGGCGATGGAACAGCAAATTGTATGTGGTGGCAACATCGATGTCGCGTGTTCCTGCGCGGTTGTGAACGTCCGCTCTGGTGTCTTGTTGATCGATCGATCCCTTTTCGCTTTACGGCACACCCCGCAGGTCTATTTCAGCCTCTCGACGACTTCCTGCGCACGTCCAACATCGGAGAGTTTTTCGCCAGGTTGCAGATGCTGAGAGCCTTCGCCGCACAGCTGTGTTCCTCCTCGAACGGTGCCACCACTGCTTTCCGTGATGATCCGAATGATTCGAAGACTTGTACGAGGCGAGCACAGGCGTTGGGTATCGTGGTGCAGGGCCTGTGGCAGTACTACTCGCAGGTATGCAGGGGTTTGGGGTCATGCGGATGCATTGAAGGACAGACACTCACTTTGGAAACTACAGTTTGTTTCGTGCTCGACCAAGTTGTACGCAGTTCTAGCACGACGATAACGAATTGCGCATTGTTTTTGTGTGGATGGGACTGCGATCGAGAGGGTTGCTCACAAGCTATTGAGGTTGGCAGATTGGGTTGTCGAATTATTTTTGAAGCAGAATGAGCCGCCTACAGCGGCTCATACATGTCGAGCACCGCGCCCTCTGTTTCTCTAACTGCACTTTCTTTTCGCGTGGCGCCTGTGTTGTGTTGGTGCTTGATCGAACAGTTTTCCGAGGAAGTGGAGAACGCGAGATCGCTCGTCCGCAAGAGCATCGAGAAGAAGCTGAAGGAGGAAGCTAAGCTCGCAAAGTGAGTGCACACACTCGATGGCCAAGCTTTTGACAGGAGTTCCCCTTTTGTATGTCGGCTGAACATGTCCAAGAAATCTGTCCTGAGTCCCGCTATTTCTGCAGCGAGTCAGTGCCGAACCACGACTTCCCTTGACTCGCCGTCTGTTTTGTGTTTTTTTCAGGTGGGACGAACAGACGTACTACTCCCTGGCCGAGTCTTCGGAAAAGTCGCACCGGAAACTGTCTAAGCTGGTGTCCCAGTACGACGAGGTGCTGGAAGTGTCGGTATCGGAGGTGCTCCACCGCACTCTCATCGCCGGCATCGGGGAGAGGCAGGAAGGCAACAACCCGAACCCCATGGCCCCTTGCACCGAGATTCCGACGCTTGGATCGATGTTCTCCGTCGTCAAGAAGGTACGGCGAGGACGAGTTTAGTCTGTGAGGTTGGTTTTGCTGTGGGCACTTTATGGCACGAGCGCACTAGTTCGTTGTGCCACAAACGCTGGAGCCCCTCTCACCTACGTCGTTCCTTCTTTTTTGTTTTTCGTGCTTGCTGTTCTATGTGACGCAGGTGGACACCGCGGTCGATTTCCTCGATGATGACAAAGAAGAAGAACGGAGCGATTTGGACGGCTCGCTGAAGCAGCAGCAGGAGCAGCGGCCTGAGGGCGGCGTCGACGGGAAAACGCATCCCGCTCCTGCGAAACCCTCCAAGCCGAAACGGCTCACCTCCAAGACCACGCCGGCCGCCGGGAACTCCCTCGAGCTTCTCGACGCGTGCCTGCCGGTGGCACCGCCAAATCATACCGCCTCCATGCCTGGACTCGCTGCTGGGGACACGGGGGAGACTCCTGTTTGGTTGAAGGAGGCTCTATTCTCGACCGGCAGCTCCGACGCCACCGCCGAAACTGGTGTCGTTTCGAGTACGGCTGCGGCGGGACCACCGTTGGTGGCTCGTCTGGCACCACTAGCGCAGCGCATGCGGTCGTTGCTGCTGCGGGGTGTTTACGCCCGTGGGCGTACTGGTTCGGGTTGGGGGTGGGCGGATGGTGGTCGGCCTGCCGGATTTGTCGGCGCGGGTCTGGCGGAGGAGCTGTGCCTGGCGGTGTTTGCCCGGATCCAGGGCTTGAGGGCGAAAGGCGTTGGGAAGCAGGTGTGTGTGTGGGCTGGCACACGCAAGCAGTGGTTCGAAGGTCCCCGCTCGTGCTGCTTCCTCGTATTCGCAGTCAGGCTCTTTTCTCAAGAGGTGGTAGGGTCGGATTTGGCAATGCTCCTCTGCGGAGCGCTACGCGTAACTCCTCGGTGATGAAAGCCATCAGGGGACACAAACCGGCCCTGCGGCCGCCAACCCATTTCTGCCTCTTGCGTCGAAACACAACTGTTACACTTCATATTTTCTTCGAAGTAGTGATCTATGTATCTCAGTCACCCACACCCTCGTCATTCCGCACACAATGTTGATGACAACGGTACAGGTCAAGAAGCGTGCGGTGCTTGATCTCCTGGGAGGCATGCGAAAGCAGGGGCTCTCCCACGCCAAGTCCAACACTCCTCCCCAGACTTCCGACATGCTCCACGTCATGGCGCTAGCGCAGCCCTTTTGCGAAGATGGCCTCGCCGGCTTCGACGTCGCCTGGCTTTTCTCCGGAGAAGGCGGAACCCGCAAGGCTGAGGTTAACGGCACCGATGAGGTCGCTGCTGATTTATTGAGGAGGAGTGAGCGGTACTACCTTCGTGGCGTGAGCGAGGTGTCGAGGCTGCGCTTGGAGGCGGGAGCACCCGTGTCGAGCGACATGACACGCAGGGAAGCGGAGGTAGGATATCGTTCTCGTGCTTGTGGTTGTGGTGGTTGGATGTCGGCGTTGGCTTTCGTCGGTGACACGCTACACTAGGAGCGGGTTCGAACGTACAGAGCGGATTGTAGGTAAATCGTGTGGTTGTTTGGGGCGTGTCGAAATCGAATGACTTGTTAATGCGATGCGATGATTTTTTAACACGTCGCATGAAGGAACAACCGTTGTTTTGTGTCTGGTTCCGCTAGCCTTGTCTTTTTTTCCTCTTTTTTTTCAGTGAAGATTGTGGCGTAATGTAGTATTTTAGATGTCACCAAGATGTGCACTATTAATCTCTCGTCTCGACTTGATTTGACCCCCACGTCGGATGAGTTTCATGCCAGTGCGAGATTAAAGCCAAGGCCCTCTGTAGTGGAGGGCTCGGTACGACTCACTTTGTCCCCCAGTCACGGCCTACAGCCGTTAGGAGGACCATTAAGTCGCACCATATTTTGGGAGTTGCTGTCGTTTTAATTTTTATTATACAGGTTGGCGAAAGTGATTTGCACTTGACTTGACGTACTGCAGTGGACGATGTGTCCCAACATTTGGTGGATCGTTGTGGCCTGGATACTCGGTACGGCGCGTCTGCCTTTTTGTGTTTGGTCAAATTGATTTTTTTTTTTTTTGAACCTGGTTGCCCAAAATCACCAAGCGGTGAAGGTACGGGTACAACTCAAGGGCAATGCACGCAAGACTGTGTTGACCACGACCACAAGGGCTGCCGTTTTCTGACGTCACGCTGTGTGTCCGCTTTACGAACGTGTTTCACACAGGTGATGCGCGGTCTGGCCGAAAACCTCGGGTTGCTGGTGTTGCAGCAAAGGGGCGCCGCCACCGCCCTCGAATCGGACCTCCTTTCGTTTCTGCAGGAGGTCAGGGCGATCCAGTCCCTGACCACGGACTACGGTATTTCCGCGGCGAGCGCTGCGGAAGCATCTCCCCGGACTACTGCTGGCGAACCGTCAGCTATCCCACCGCAGTCCACCCTTCGGCTGGCGTTGGAGACTCAGCGTCGGGGGCTTCTGAGAGGCCTCGAGGCTGTGCGCGAAGTGCAACTGTTGCACACGGCGATGGCAGGCGCTGACCCTCCGGTTGCCTCGACATCATCTCCGGAGTCTCGGCTGAGGACAGCCAGAGGCGGGGAGGGGTGGGGCGAGGCGGCCACCGATGCCGCAACATATGCCGAGGTCAAAACCGCCATTGATTCCCTCGAGCGATCCCTCTCGGGGATGCTCTGCGCCGTCCAGCGATACCCCCCCCCGTCTACCATCCACGGTGCAGCTTTGGAGGTCGGCGATGATGCTGAACAGGCGGCGACGCCGCTGCTAGCCGCGCGGGCGGCCCGCCTTGTGGTAGAAAACCGAGAGGCATTGCGAGCTCGCTCGGCAGACGCAAGGGAGATATCCGACCGTTTCGCCGGCGTTCTGCCCCGCGCGATGCTCGTGAGGGTGGCCACCCACCTGTGCGATGTGGACGTGAGCGTCGGGTCCGCGCTTGATGGGAACTCGGCCATGCGCTCGTGGCTTCTGGCCGATGCAGTTGCGGTTGCCGATGACAGCACCGCCGCCGATGGCTGCTGCAAGGAGACTGAAGGTTATGGTGACTCGCGGGAAGCGGCAGCCAAGCACGCCACCGAGGTCGGAGAGCGGTTGACGGCTGCCGTAAAGGCAATGCTGCTTTCGGTCCAGTCTCTCTGCCCGCGGGCGGAAAAAGGACCGGCGGATGGTACGGGTTCGCCGTCACCAGTGGCTGCGACGGACGGCGGTAATGCTGACGGTCAAGACGAGGAGGAGGAAGATGCCTGGTCTACCGGGACCACTCTCTTCGAAGCGCACGCCTCTGCGTTCGAGCAGGCCAGGGGGCTGAAGCTGTGGAGGTGTGCATCGGCGATGGCGTCTGCACGGCTTGCCCTCAGGGATTTTGCGGAGGATGAGGCGGTTCTAGGCGCTTCGGCCCGGGACGCCGCGGCTGCGCTTGTTGCGCTCTGCCGCGAGGTGCTGGTGCTGGCCGAGCAGGTGTTGTCCGCCGGGAAGGCTGTGCTGATCGGCATGGTCGCACTCAACAAGGTGGGGTAGCTAAGTTTCTTTCCAACACGAGTACACCCTGTACGCGTTTCCCTTGATGTGTTGTCTATCGTTTAGGTCGAATACATGGGGCTGTTTGTTATTGGTGATGTGCGTTTGGCCCCAAGGTTGCGGTTGCGTGCGCAGAACCGGTCCCCATTGGAGGCGAGTCGACGATTGACCCAAGGGCTCGCCCCCAAGTTGAGACACGGAAGATAAACATAACATCGCTGAAACTTAATTGCCGGGGCCTTTACAACGCATCAATCTATCTGGTAGTGCCCTCTAGCACCAGCGGGATATTTCATGAGTTTACGAATTGCAGCTGTATGGAGTTGTGTTTGTCGTCCGCCAATACTTCACTCTTGCTGAACGCCTTAGCGGTGTCGGTACGTCGGTACAGGACTGAATTGACCAAGAAATGTTTTCAAATCGATTAATCGGTCGCACACCTTTGCCTCGCCCGCATGTTATTATTGTACACACCCCCTTGCTGTGCCAGGCACTTCGCTTTCCTGTTTCGCTTGTTTTTGCAACATTGTTTGATATGCCATGGTGTTTGTCTTGCGCGGCAGGGAACGGCAAAGCTGCATTACGTGACGGTTCGGGTGTTCCGCACGTTACTCTCCAAGGGACTATGCTCGGACGAGAGTGAAAAGGGAGAGGGGGAGGGAGACGGGGACATTGATGGAATGAAGGTAACACGCGTTACCTTTGGTACATACACGCTTTGATGTGTCGCACATGGCGTCTAGTTCACGCGTGGAGTGGGTAAGAACGCATCACTCATCATGGCACATGGCTTGCATAACTGCGATTTGAGCAAGCTGGCTCACGAACCAGTCCTCGGGGTAGTTGTTGCGCTCTCGGCCCGTCCAACCCGTTGAATGATTTTCTCTATGGGATGTTTACATGTATGTGGCACTTCCACGAACAGAGCCCCACCTGTATCGCAAGACCAAACCTAACTTGTTGCTTTTTCTTCCTAGTTGAGTTGAGCACTTCACTTGTCTACTTTGGTGGTGATATGTTCCATCGTGCAATCGTTGTCATTGGTTGGCCGTAGTTCGACGACGATGTTGAGGGTACGGGCATGGGCGAAGGCGAGGGCAAGAAAGACGTTACGGACCAGATCGAAGACGAGGAGCAGCTTCTTGGCCTCAAGGGAGACGAAGAGCCGGATAAAGACCAGGCTCAAGAGGCCAAGGAGCTAGGTGTGTGTGCTGCTGTCACGCGCACTGTGGTGTAGTAGATTCCTCTTGTTTCATGAGGTTGTCGAGGACGTTTCCTATTTCGTCCCAACTTTGTTGTTTGGTTGTTGTTATCAGCAAGAGTTTCCAGTTGGGTTCTCAACTGCATCTCATGCGTCCCACGCAGCGGCATGAGCGTGTTGGTGTTGGCGATTCTGTGGCTTCTGCACGACTTGAATGTTGATTTCGCCGGTCGGTCTTATGTGTGATACTGTTGCAGGTGAAGACGACCAGGACAAGGGAATGGAAATGGAGAATGACTTCGAGGGGGAGATGTTCGACGTGCCGAAGGGAGACGAGAAAGACCAAGATGACAAGGTGTGTGGCAATGGCAGTGGCGACGGGTGTTATGCGTCAAGAACGACCCGTTATGTGTGCCGGGAGACGCGTTTGTATGTTCCGGTCGCGCGCTCGGCGCTCGAAGATATTTTTTGCTGAACTCGGTTCGTAGAGTCAATCTGAAACACGTTCCGTTATGTTCTCTTGTGAGCAAATTGTACGCATGGTCTGAAATATTTAGTACGATACCCTTGTGGTTGCTCCCTAGGGTTATGCTCCGGACGCTAAACGGTCTGAGGCCCCTTGCCTTTATCTTTTTCAGGCCGAAGTCCCTCATGCTTCCGAAAACCAGAGCTAATTTGAGTCTCTATGTGATGTAGTTAGCTTAGGTCAGCTCTTAGTGCCCAAGGTCCTTCTCTGCGTGGCGAATTATGTAGATAATCACTGCTTGTTTTTGTCCGTGGTGTGATGCTCGAATGGCCCCCAGCCGGGACCCAGGCGTCTCCGGACTATGCCTGGTGATCCCACTATACTCGAGCTAAATTAACTGCGACCTTTACGGTTGCTGCGATTCCTCTCAATCCCGCGCTTGAAAGCCGGTTCCGTTTTTGGATGCTGGCCACTTTCGCCGCGGGTCGTTGGCCTCGCACATTTGCCTACATAGCCTTTGCTCCGTTTTGACCGCCACAAAACTCTTGTGGTTGCTTGAGGACAAGGTGGCACCGGTGTGTTTTTTTATTAGAATGCGCGTGAGACATCATTGTCCTAGGCTGCCCTTGTTGGCGAATGACCATTCCGATGTGCTTGAAAAGAAAAGCATGATTGCTGACGATTACTACCTTTTTTTTGTGCTTGTTCAGGCGGACGACGGGGATGAAAAGGAGGAACTCGACCGCGAAATGGGAGACCTCGGAGACGATGCCGATGTTGTGGACGAGAAGCTGTGGGACGAGGATGACGAAGACGAAGATCAGGAGGAAGGGAACGACCAGGGGGAGGAGAAGTTCGAAGCTGGGTGAGAGCCTCTGCATGAGTCACTGTAGTCTCTTCTTGATACCCTTTAGGTTGGAAGACGCAGAAGACCTGATTTGCGTGGCCATTTGTCCGCCGCTTCATGAATCATTGTTGTATGGTCGTATAGAAGCGCACTTCGTTTTTTTCCAGCTCGTGGCCAGTTCAAACCCCCACGTCTTGCGAGCTTCATACTTGCGCCACAAGAAACCAAGGCCCTTTTTCCAGTTTCTGGGTGAAAAGGCTGTGCGACTAGCGTTGTCCTCACGAGCGATTCCTTGGCCTGTCGAGGACTTATGTGTCGCCCCACATGCACTAGAAGTATGCCTCTCCAGAGCGCTCTACCGTGTGAAAATGTGTTCATCTCGCTTTGTAGCGCACTTGTTTGACGATATTTCTTAGTAGGCTTTGCCGAAATACTGGGCGGATTTCAGTAGCGAATTCGAAGGACGTTCTTGCGAGTAAACGCAGTATGTAGCCAATGTCGTGGCCTAATGCCACTGGTACAGTAGCGGGTGTGTTTCCCCGTCAAGGTATGTTTGAATAAATGTTGACGATCGTTCTGGCCTCCCGATTGTTACCATTGCTGTTTTTTTTATCCTGTGGTACATGCAGGTCTCGTCTGGACGGAGAAAAACCCGAAGAAGACGAGATTCGCACCAAAGAGGATGGCCAAGACGATGGTGACAAGGTATTATTTACTAATCCACCCCATCTTCTGTTGGCACGGGGATGTGATGTGCTTTCGACCATACCCGTCGGTGTTGACAATGTCAACAATGGAGCGCGTTTGATGTGCATGGCCACTTGCACCCTCCCTCTTCCCTCGCTCAGGGGTTTAGTGCTTGTTTGTGTGTGGAGTGTTATGCCTTGGACGGCAATCCCGCAGGTCTATCTGCCACAGAGTTCCGCCAAACCATTGGCGTGTTCGTCTGCCATGACCTGCGCAGAGCACAGCTTGTCAGTATTATGATAGGAACCGTGGGGTACAGGGGCGGTGGTCACATCGTCTGCATACTACCCGCACGGGCTGAACGCTGGCAACATTCTTGAATCACGACCTTGTCTTCAATTTAGTAGTTATTTCCAAATTGCTTGGTGTTGCTTACGGAGACAGACGTAGAGAGAGAATGCGTGCTTCCTTCTCGGCGTAGCAAAACAGCGAAATCTGTGATTGGAACTAGGATCATCACCAGCGGGGAGCATGCTGGGAGGCAGCGGGGGTTATTTATGTGTCCCATGTGTGTTGTTGCTGGTGCGTCAGTGGTGTAAAAAGCAAGATGAGAAGATCAACTTTGCGCTCCTAGTAGCTTGGCTTGTTGTTATGTCAACGTTTTCGTTCCAGTATTCCAACTGCTTTATTGCTTGGACGATTGGAGCTGTTGGGTCGTGCTGATTTTTTATACCTACGCTTTAAAGCTTCTGGATTTGATGCCCACTCAAATATGTTTCCATTTTTTGTGTGTGACTGCCGTCAGGGAGATGGCAAGGAGGATGACGAGGGCAAGGGAGATGACACCAAAGAAGACAAGAAGGGTAAGGAGGGCGAGGATGGTGATGGTGCGGACGGTCAAGATGGGAAGGAAGGCGAGGATGGCGACGAAGGGGAGGGAGAAGCAGAAGGAGAAGGCCCAGTCAACGATGATCTAGAGGATAACTACGAGGACAAACCTATGGGTGTCGAGGTGAGCAAGAGCTTCTTTCCTCTCCTATGCTATTGCATCCTTATGTGGTGTGCTTGCCATATGAAACATGTGGAAGTGCGCTCGGTAGCTCACAACATGTCGTATCATGAGAGTTTCTTTCCGAACAAATGGTTGGCGAAGCCAAATTTGGGTACTCGTGTTAAGAAGGCGCTTGGAGACGAGGTCATTCAAAATTCCCGCAGGTCTATCTGCCACAGAGTTCCGCCAAACCATTGGCGTGTTCGTCTGCCATGACCTGCGCAGAGCACAGCTTGTCAGTATTATGATAGGAACCGTGGGGTACAGGGGCGGTGGTCACATCGTCTGCACACTACCCGCACGGGCTGAACGCTGGCAACACTTGATTTAAGTATCAAGCCGAACGATCTTTGCTGTTTTTTTGGGAGGGCGGGGGGGGGGCGTACTCATTTGTTGCTTGCCATAGTCATTTGACCGTAGAGGGGGGGGGGGTGCTTACATAATTGTTGTTCTAACCGTGTGTATGAAGTCGAGGCCGGTCGCGAAGGAGTGTACAGCCCCGTCAAATCAGGAATGACGTCTTTTGCCGTGTAGACTAAATACTGCAAAACTCATCCTGTAATCACTCTATCCTGACGGTGTCGTGGGCGTGTGGCCGTTGGAACGTGATGGTGGCCAGGTGCGTGGCGAAGACGAGGCGATGGAAGTAGACGAGGAGGGTAGGGATGTCGAGGAAAAGGAAGAGAAGGACGGCAATGGCAAAGGGGACGAAGAAGGAGACGAAGACATTCCAGACGACCTTAACTTGGACAATGCTCAAGAGGTAGGCATACAAGATGTTGACGAGCTTTCCTCATGAGATCTCTGTTGGTCGGACCCAAATATTTACATGCATATTTAAGCGCTGGGCGATAATTTGTTCGGCTTCACTGAGTCCCGTCCACGTCAGGTAGGTCATTTTCACCGATGAAGTAGCGAGCACCGGCATGCCTCTTTCCCTCGTTTTCTTCGTTTGCATCACAGACGTCATCTGTCCTCGACCGGTTATTTTGAATTGTTTTTTTTTCTACTTGCGGATAAAGCCCCGGGGTAGCGCTTGCGTAGCACAACCGGTCCCCATTGGAGGCGAGTCGACGATTGACCCAAGGGCTCGCCCCCAAGTTGAGACACGGGAGATGAACATCGCTGAAACTTAATTGCCGGGGCCTTTACAACGCATCAATCGATCTGGTAGTGCCCTCTAGCACCAGCGGGAAATTTGGTTATGACTATTGAACAAGTTCAAGCCTACGAAAGGAGTGTCAGCCGTGTTTCTTTGGCACACACACGTGGCTGTCGAGACGGCTAAGTCGTATTGCATCATTTCTTTCCAGCAGGAACAGTGGCAAGCAAGGCGATTTTTTTCTATTTGGTTGTTTTGAGGCTCGACTTTACCATGTGTCGACTCCGCAGTCAGGCCGAGGATTACCTGAGTAGGAGTAGGAAGGAGCGAGTGTGTCGAGAAAGTGTCTTGCCTTGCGTTGCGTTGCCTTGCTTTGCTCTGCTCTGCTCTGCTTTTCATAAGTTGCATTCTTGTCGATTCATTGACGGTGCGGTGCGGTGGGCGATGTGTTCGGGCAGGATGGTGGCGACGAGGAGGGCAAGGAGGGAGAGGGGGATGATGATGACAAGGGGGGAGATGGAGAGGACGAAGACGAAGAGGGCAAGGAGAAAGAGGGCTTCGAGTCCTTGGCCCCTGAAAAGGACGGGGAGGAGGAGGAGGGGGAAGACTTGATGGAAGACGAACAACAACCTCAGGTACGCACAGCTTTCGGCGACTAACCCTACTGCTGTTGTACTGACCGTTTGTTGGAACGCATGGTAGGGCAGCTTTAAAGGGTAGGTTCCGGCTTGTCTAACTCTAATGTTCACCGTACTGAACCCCCAAGGCTCTTATTCTATACACCAGATGGCTTCACAGTCTACCCACGGCTGTAATAATAGTACTGACAACCGTTTTTCGCGTACATGTGTTGGTGGTGAATGTTTCAGGGTTCGGGTAACCCTGGTCCCGCCGACGTTGAGGCAATGGAAGAAGAGAAGAGGGAAGAAGAAGGCGACGATGAGAAAAAAGAAGATGGTGGAGACGAGGAGGAGGATGCTGCCGTGGAGGAAGAGACGAAGAGGGCCGAGGGAGCGGAAGAGCCCCCGGCGTTTGGCGTGGAGGGGGAAGGTGGCGATAGCTCTGTGCTCGAAGCAGCCAAGGAAGAGGTAAGACGGGGGACATGTTCATGTGTATCATACGCCGTGTCTCGTGTCAACATGTCGAGAGGGGTGTCAAGGTGTGTTGGTTCAGTCTGCTCTGGCGCTAGGCTCTTCGGCGTAGTCTTACGTACAGTATGAGTGTAGGTGTTGATGATTTGAATCACCGACTAGGCATCTAGGCCTTCCATTGGTGACACCTTGCTGACTCTTGAGGTGTAACTGTCATTGGTAGCCCTGACTGCTTTTTGCTTTTGAGCCTTCCCTGTATCAACGCCGCGTCATGTATGGTGCATACGCTAGTCCTCTCACCATGCCAGAGTGCCAGCATGTTGGTTTTCTACATTCTGATGACAAGCACTCGTGCATTTGGTCCTGCCTTATGTCGTCTTCGATTCTCTTGCAGGGAGACGGAAGGCCTACGGAGGACGAGAAAGGAGAAGATGAAGAGCAAGACAAAGAGGAGGGGCAGGTGAGCTTATGCCTTCCCTTTTTCTTTTTTTTTTGTTCTTCCTCTTTGGGGTGTCTCGCGCTTGACACCCCAAGTTGCTTTCTATTCTCGACACTTTCGTATCTTATTTTGCTTATCGGGCTGTGCATGCAATATACAACATTTTCGAAGACCTAGTCATGGACGTGAATGTTCCAGGAAATTTATAGGTGGTATCTATTTCCCGCAGGTCTATCTGCCACAGAGTTCCGCCAAACCATTGGTGAGTTCGTCTGCCATGACCTGCGCAGAGCAAAGCTTGTCAGTATTATGATAGGAACCGTGGGGTACAGGGGCGGTGGTCACATCGTCTGCACACTACCCGCACGGGCTGGACGCTGGCAACATGGCACACCGTGTTCAGCATCAGCTGTACGCTGTGCTTTGGTTGTTTGAAATAGTGGTTCTGACGCATTAATTCCTTTGGCTACCCATGGTCTTTCCCCAAGGGTGCAATGTTGAAACGATTGTTGGTTGTTGGTTTTGGCGTGTGAAAACACTGGGCAGAGACCGCAGCTTTTTTGTAACGTAGAGCCAACCAACAGTAAAAATTAATGCAGCGGACGTTGGGTCGTGTATTTGCTTGGTCGGACTTACGGAGTACGGTATGTAACGGCAACCCACACCGGTTGGGTTTTAGGTCCTTCTCCTCCTTGTGCGATTTAGGACAGCAGGTCAGTCACACTTGTTACCCAGATGATATGAACCGAGGGTGTACGACCCGGTGTTGAGGTATCGCAGGGTTGTCTCTGTAGAAGAAAGACCTCGGCCCGGACGAATCGTGGATTGCGTGTTAGACGAGATGGTTTTATATCTCTGAATCTACCATTCGTCGGGTACCCGGGCCGGTACTGCTAAGCGGCTTACCTGTAGGTTGTGTAACAGCCAGGTGCGGCGGTCCTACACAAATGAACAAACTGTTTGTGGTTTAGACCCACTTGTCGTTAATCTTTCAACGCCAAATCCCACGTTCAAGCTCACACACGGGTTTGTTTGCCCGATGCTTAAGGTTAGTCCTGATCGTTCTCTGTGCTTTCAAAGGCGCCATCTCAGTACACACCGTGTGTGTTTGTTTGTGACTGCTGTGGGACTGCAGGATGGTGGAGGGAGTGCTCCCGATGGGCGAGATGATGGAGGCGGTGGTGGTCAGGGGGAAGAGGGAGAGGGAGGAGAGTGGCGACCCGACATGTCAGGCGGAGAAGGGAAGGGAGAAGGTCAAGGCAACGATAAGAGAAGGAGACCGGATGCCCCCAATCCGTTCAGGTGACACACATGCCACGACCTACTTCTTTTTATTTCTGTGTTTTTTTCGGAATTAGTTTGGTGCCTGCGTTTGACGTGATTTGATTTTATCGCAACAAAATGGAGTGTTGGGATATCATGGTTCCGGAACACGGGTAAGGGTTGCTTGTCCTCCGAACACCGCAGGTCTATCTGCCACAGAGTTCCGCCAAACCATTGGCGTGTTCGTCTGCCATGACCTGCGCAGAGCAAAGCTTGTCAGTATTATGATAGGAACCGTGGGGTACAGGGGCGGTGGTCACATCGTCTGCATACTACCCGCACGGGCTGAACGCTGTCAACATTTGATTATGCACCTGCGCTGGTTGAGACGTGCTGTCGTCCCAGGCGTCGGGTACTGTTTGAAGCTACTCGAGTTTGTTTGTCCTTCGTCAAAACTATTGCCCCTATGGCATCCTTGCTGTCAAGCAGAATCGCTCTACATCACCCGTGTCCAATCACAATATTTTTTTCATTGCCCTAGGGTCTACCGTATTTTTGATCTTCTCTGCAAGTATAGGCGCGGAATTAGGTTGGATATGAAGGCCTTAACCGCCGTTTTTCTAAATTGCAAGATGTTCAATGTCCCGGTGTTCCTAACCTGGCACAGAGATCCTGGGGATGCCATGCGGCATTGGCACCGTCGTCTGGACATGCTGCAGGATAAGGGCAAGGAAGAGGCCGCCCAGGGTGAGAGCGGGAACACCCTTGTTTTCGTCTCTATCACCTACGCGGGCACAAAGAATGGCTGTTTTGCCTCTGCTGGCTGGGGTCTCCGATGTGTGAAGCAAGCTTGATATGCGACGTGCACGACGGCAGTTGGTTCACTGCCGGCAGGCCTTTTGAAACCATATCAAATCAGCATGCTGTAGCTTAGCCTTTTTTTGAATTGGGTGTATGCTCATATCCCCTGTTCCCCGTTATATCTTCCTCCTTCTGTTGGCGGTGCAGAGGGGGAGGGGGAGGGGGAGAAGGACCTCGGCGATGACACTGGTGATGGTGAAAAGGAAGATGGTGATGGTGGAGAGGGCAAGTTCGAGTACGTTACTTCCACCGAGAGAGGTTCCAGCCAGGTATGGTGCTGCTGTAGCGCTTGTCACGCGTGTGCCATAAGAGTAGCTTGGGGGTCGCGGGTCTGTAGGTGCCATGAGACTGCAAGAACCAAGTCCCACACGACTGTGGTTTGCTGCTCTCATGATGTACCTGCCGTATCGACATGCTTGTGTGACGTCCTTGGCTTGGTGTGTGCATTTGGTGTTTTTGGCTAGCCCGCTCTCTGGGTGATGATGCTGATTTTGCTCGGAAGTTCTTTACTTGCTGACCTGACTTGGCCTGACACACGACGAGCGTAAGATTGCGAGAGAGAAGTGTACGATTGCTGCTGTGGGGCCCAATGATGACGTGAATTTGGTGCTGTTTTGTGTTGATTTGTTGCAGGTGCTCGGAGGCGTTTCCGAAGAACAAGCCGCTGAAGCTGCCCACGAGGAACAGAGGAAGGCCCAAGACGAGCGGGATGGGGATGATGACGAGGAGGGCAACGTTGTCGAACATCCGGATGGGGATGGTGATAACGCTGATGCGAATGATGGAGTCGAGGCCATGGACCAAGACCATGAACAAGAGGTGACAAGAGTGTTGGACGTGGGCCGCAGAATGTCGGCCTGTCTGATTTTTGTTGTTGTCAGATACTAGTGTAGGTAAAAAATGGGGGTTCACGGATATGCCCTGTAGCCTCCCCTCTTTGTAGTGCTTTGTTGGGCAGTGTTTGCTTGTTGCTGGCACCGTGCAACTCATGGTGGCGAGTCGGCGACGAAGAGCAAGAGAATAGTAGGATCATACAAGAGTCACTTGCCGCTGTCGTTGCCTAGCGTTGCATGAGCCTCGGATCATTGAATCTTTTTATTTTTGCTGTGCTCTGGGTTTCTATCTATGGCGAGCAGGTGCCCAGAGCTGATGGTGATGATGAAGGTCTTGACAAAGATGGTTCGGAGGTGGTTGATTCTTCCAGAAAGAGCGGCAAGCGGAGGGACAAGGACGGCCATCGGGAAGGTGATTGTTTTTTTTCCACGCGAAGCTGCTCTGTAGTTGTTGTTGGTCGTTTGTTGTGTCCATCAAAGTCTGTTGGCGTTCGTCCTGTGAGCTTCAAATTTAATTAAACTCTGAGCCTCGGCGCTGCAGAAAGAATGTCGAAAATCAGTGAGGACGATGTCATCTACGGACTTGTAAGCAGGAGAAACAACAGCAATCCTTCCAGCAACTTGCGCAGGACAGCAGTGTTCGTGGCCTGATTAATATTACTCGTTGTAGGTGACATGTTCTTAATGAGGGGTGCAAACGGAGACGGAGTGCGTTTTATTTTGGTTTTAGGTCAACGTTGCATTTAGTGTGACGTGCAAATAATGTTTCTGAGGTCTTTCAACGTTCCCGCAGGTCTATCTGCCACAGAGTTCCGCCAAACCGTTGGCGTGTTCGTCTGCCATGACCTGCGCAGAGCAAAGCTTGTCAGTATTATGATAGGAACCGTGGGGTACCGGGGCGGTGGTCACATCGTCTGCACACTACCCGCACGGGCTGAACGCTGGCAACATGCACACTTTGTTTTTATACATCGCGAAGTATCAGGTTGGGTCAGAATGGTTTATTTCGATTCTAGGAAAGGAATCGATTTGCCGTTGAGCTTGCCAAGTCAAGCACGTTCCGTAGAAAGAGTGTTTACTTCGAAGAAGTAGTGGAGTAGTGGAGTGAACACTTGAGGATCGTGCTTTGTGACGACAGCGTCAAGTCGTCTCTTTGCCTCGTCGATGCCAACAGCACACACGGATGTCGATTTTTGTCGCGAAAATGAATGCAAACGAACACAAATCGCTAGAAGCATGGCATGCCATGCCTTTTCTCTCCTCCGTTTAGTCACCATTGTGCCGTGCCGTCCGATGGTTTTCATGCGTATCTTACGGTATGGCATTTTTGTTGTGACAGATGTGGAAGACGGGACGGACCCACAGCAGGAAGACGGGAACGAAGACGAAGAACCCCCTGTCCCCGACACCGAAAACGCCTCCCTCGACCTCAATTCCTTGGAGGAGCCACCCCCGGGTGCCGGAGACAACGCCAACGGTGCCATCGTCACAAATCCTCTTGCCTCTCGTGGACACCAAGAAGAAGAAGAAAATGGGCGACAATCTTCCCGGGGCCGTGAGACCAGGCTCAGGGAGGAGCTCCACGCGCTGGCGGAGGAGTTGCAACGGGTGAAGCGTGACCGTGACGGGCAGGAAGGCCGTGAGGTCTCGCGGGAGCTCTGGGGTAGGCTAAGGAGCGTCACCGGCGCGCTGTCCCAACGACTGTGCGAGCAGCTTCGTCTCGTGTTGGAGCCTATGGTGGCGACGAAGTTGCAGGGGGACTACCGGTCGGGGAAGAGGATCAACATGCGGAGGGTTATCCCGTACATCGCGTCGGGGTTCAGGAAGGACAAGATCTGGCTGAGGAGGACCAAGCCCGCTAAGAGGGACTACCAGGTGAGAGTGAGAGTGAGAACGAGAATGGGACGAGAACGTGCGCGCTTTGTCCGACCTGTTAGGTGGAGATGTGCCCGACTTTGCTGCTGTACTGTAGGATACTTGTACCCAGTAGGCGTTGCTGCTTGAGGCCGAGGTGAAATCGCTTGCCGCAGACGGAATATTCAAGTTGTCTCATAGTGTGAAAAACATGGCCCGTTGCCCCTTTCAGGCCGGTGTTTTGCCGTGGCACGTGGCGTCCTTAAACAGGGACCTCGACTGCTGTGCCGTGTTCTGGTTGTCGTTTCTTTTGGAGAACCAGCTGGTCATTCGCAGTGTGGTTCGGAGTTGTTTGCCTGATGCATACTTCGCGTTAGGTACTGTCTGGGTACCAGGTACTGTCTGCTATCATAGTCTACCCTGTGTGTCTCGTGCTGGTACTGGCGTCCCGGAGTTTTGTCTGGCTTTCCGGCCGGCGTGGGAGTGCGGTGGGTTTGATTCGGCCGATGATGACAAACATGACCACTCCAGGGGCTTTGACAGGCGGGGTGCGCCTGTCTTGGGGTTCTCGCGCCACTGCAGCCCCCCGCTGCCTGGAACAAGCAACATGCCAAACATTGTCAAGAGGCCCTCCCATCCATTGCTGTTCCCGCGCACACACAGAGAGAGCAGTCGTGCGGCGGTGCCCGATACTGTTGCGCCGTCGTGTGCATACTGTTGTCGTTGTTGCTGCGCGGCATGACTGCTGTTTTTGGCGAAGCTTGCTCATGATGATGACGCCATTCACCACTACGGTAGCTTCTAGTTTCCGCGTGTATCTACACCATTGGCAGTTTTCCCGTCGCCGTCTCCAGTAGGCGTACATGCAAGCTGTTTTCACCTCTCTTTCGGATCGTTTGTCCCTTGACCCTGACGTCTTGGGCCTAACGCCGTTCACCCGCTGTTACTCTCGCTCTTGTCTCTTTGTGTGTCTTGATAGATTCTGATGGCCATCGACGATTCTGAGTCTATGGCGGACTGTGGAGCCGGGGCCCTTGCCCTGGCGGCGATGACGATGGTGGCTTCTGGACTCACTCAGCTCGAGGCCGGACAACTCGCGGTTGCACGGTAAGATAACATAACATTTAACCGATCCGGCGCCTCTTGTAGGTTTAGCTCTTCGTGTCGAGATGCTGTTGTTTTGTGTGTGGCGGGTGTCCATGTCCTGCCATCATACAACTGCGCATCTGACGCTCGTCGGTACACACGAAAATTCGATGGCACCGCTGTCTTGGCGCGTGTTAAAACACCGTAGCGTTGTTGAGTCTTGAAGGTGTGGACACACGTGTGCTGAAGATGAGAAGGTGAACTTTTGAGGGTGACTTGGGTCTATCGGGAGTTAAAAATTTGGACAGATAACCCTGACTGTCGGGCATTTGTATGTCCGACGTCATCACCCGGTGACGGCCTGAATTTTTTTTATTCATCCCTTGCCAAAAAACGCACGAGGTGTACGCGGTAAGCGGGCCTGCTGAGAATGGATCTGCTTGATGAGTACGTGGCAAAGGGTCATATTGCATATGTGTACGTAGCTGGACATGTGCAAACAGAACCAGGCGTTTAACTACTCCGCAGTGCCGTGCATCTCTTTTGTGAGATACACAGTGGCGCACGCGGCGCTAAAACCTCGCCGATATCAGACTTCGGGCGGCAACACAGGGCAGGTCCGCAGGGATTCCGCTGCGGGCTCGCCTCTAACGCGTCCAACACTTTTTTTTTGCTTTGGGCATATTTCTGATTGTGGGTACATGGTAGCTGGTCTAGTGGATTGCATAGCAATTGACAGCGTTTTATTTTTTTGTTTTATTCAGCCCGTGGAATGTCCAAATTCGCAGCGCTGCGTCGTATCGTTTCGTTTCGTTGGTGTCTTGCTCGTATTGACCTTTGTGGGCCAAACGTGTTGATTTGTTGTTTTTGATCGCACCTCATCATCCTATTGTTGATGTGTTCTGTGCTGTTTAAAACAAGGCATTACGGTAAATTTCCGTCTCTTTCCCCTTTCGGCCTCGAACTGCTCCCTCCGACAATATGTGTGTGGTCGAAAAGGTTTGGAGAAGACCTCGACCTGCTTCACGGTTTCGGCGACCCTTTCACGGAGGAGGCTGGTGCCAAGATTGTTGATGGCTTTACCTTCGATCAAAAGCGCACCAACACCGCTCACACCCTCGAAGGCCTGGTGTCTCTGTTGGAGGTGAGCATCGCCCCCGCCACATGGTGTCGACGCAGCACGTGCTTTTAGCGGAGATCGTTGTCGTTTGGAACTCCGTAAGATAGGCACAGGGGCAGGTGCAAACGGCTCTGCAATCTTGATTATTTTTTGGTCTGGTTCATGTAGTTGATGAAGGCATTTGTACACCTGTTGCATCATGTTGCTGCCGCGCTAAAAAGACCTGGATAAAACTTTGTTACTTTCGACCACCTCCCACCCCCAACTCTCTTGGCCACTCCAATCCTCATGCTAACATGCCTGCACTCCCTGTTGGCTGTCTGGTGCCATGACACATGACACGTCACGTCTTGTCAGGAGGCCCGAAGCGGGTTCTCGATGTCTTCAGGAGGCGTCGGCAGCAAGGGCACCCCTCGCCAGCTGGTGCTGCTATTGTCCGACGGCCGATTCGATCGAGAGAACAAAGATCGCTTGCGAAAGCTGGTTCGAGAGATGAATGAGAGGGGACAGCTGCTGGTGCTCATTGGTACGTTCGTTCAACGTAGCCTTCGGTGTTCATTGTCTCCGCGTGTGCTTGATGACTTCCCCACGATGTGCAATGATGGGATTGTTTTTCCTTGGCCCCGATTCATTCCGTTGTTTTTTATGGGGATTACATATCCGAACTGCTCGTTTGATTTGAAATAGCGTTGTGTAACACTGGGTTGCAGAGTGCAAACAAAGTTGTGTTGTTTTTGCTCGAGGGTCTAGCTGGGATGCAGGGGTTTACAACATTGCCTGTACCTCCCAAATTCCTCGAGCTAGATGAAACGTGGGGGGCCAGGACTAAGCACCCTAGCCCCTTCGACTCCTTTCGCTATCCCGCTCCAAACGCGATCAAAATGACGCTCTCCCATTCTGGTGTTGGGACGTAGGAGTTCGGACATTGCTTGCTGCTGACTTCGCATCATGCGTTGGGCTGAAACCACCGCCGAAAGGCGAAGAAACATTTCGTACAGCACAAGTGGCCCCGATTAGCGACATGTAGGGGCAAGAGCGAAATATGCCCCTAGTCGATATATCAGGTTCATGTACATTTTGATATTGTGACCAGAGATTTTGATGCCACTATCGTGGTATTTCACCAAATATGCAAGGTGCCACTACATCGGGACCACTACTGATATACACTAATGCTCACGGTGTCGTATGTATACCGGTAGATGCTTGGGTGTTTTTTGCCGTGCTTGCCAGGAGCCTCCTGCTGGGCGCGTTGTGTTGTTTGGTTGACAGTTATTGGACTGACGCTCTAAATGACGGCCGTTATTTCGAGGTCGATGTGCATGTGCTGTACCTGCGGTCGAACCACGCGCGACAATCCGTGGCATTTTGAATACTTGTCTGGTCGGTATCAATGGTATCTGGCATGGTTCCACGTCTAGTCGTGTACCCAGCTGCGTGGCGCACCTATATTTCGTACATTGATCAGCAAGCGCTTCCGCTATCGACGTTGCTGCCGTTGTTGGCGTGCAGTCCTGGACAAGGAAGGGGACACGTCCATCCTCAAGACGAGAGAGGCTACGTACGTCAACGGCAAGCTGGTGCTCACCAGCTACCTCGACAAGTACCCTTTCCCCCTCTACATGTTGCTCAACCACATCGAGGCTCTACCAGAGACTCTTGCGGATGCCTTGAGGCAGTGGTTCGAGTTGCTGCAGCGTCAGACGTCTCGCTAGGCTTGGTTGCTGGGGGTGTTGGTTGTTGGGAGTCTTTGGCAGGGCGGTGGTTTGCACGAGGTTCGAGGCTGTGCTTGTGTGATGCTGTCATGAACGTTCGTGTCGAAGTCGAAATTTTATTTTTGGATGCCGGATATATCGGTTGTTTTGGGCATTGATGCCGCGTTCGTTCGTTATAGGCGGAACGTGACGCATCGTTTGTCCAGTTTGGTTTTTAACTTAACAATATATGTATGCCTCCTTTGCGCTGTTTTTCCTGTGTATCTGCCTGTAATGTAGAAAGGTCGGCTTTTGTCTCTCGGTGTTACGGCCCTTCCCTTGGGATGAGGCCAGGCTGCGACTGCTACTGCTGTACCGCGGCGTTTGGTTGGAGAGTACTTGTTTTACCCAAGTGGAGTGTGTTTGTGCAGAGTATGATCATATGCGGAACGTCGTAGTGTGTGGTGGGTGTGAGTAATGTCTTGTACGGGTTGGGTTTTGGTGATGCGTGACATGACTGAGTGTGCATGCTTGCATTGCGAGACGACGAAAGGGTGAAAAAAGACGGAGTTCGAAGGTGAAATCATCCTTGAACGAAAGACATGAGACTTGTACATGTTTTATGTACTGTGCAAGTGAGGCTCCCACGTCTGAACAAACAAACATGCGCGAGATCTCATTGGTTTGCTTTCTAGTTCCCGGCACAATCGTTTGTGCAGGTGAGCGTTGGGCTTGAGACAGATCTTGTTACATGGGCCTCCAGCACCACTGCCTCTTAAGACTTGGGCTGTTCCTCGAGAGATAATTCTCGGGACGCTGTCGACAGCAAATTGGCTGTGTACACAAGTGATGCAGTGTCTTGCGGGCCGTTTAGTTTCCCGCACGGTGTGCTGGTCTCGCGCTCGGAATTTGACTGCGTGGACAAGACCAGAGGAGAGCCACGAAACAAATAAACAAGCCCATCGATCGTCCTGAAGGAACCATCTCCTCGCGGATAACTACTGTACGTAGGTCCTAAAATGTCAACAAATCCGACCCATTTTTGGGCAAGAAGAGCATATTCTTCGAAGTACATGATGAGTGCTTCAACACGTGTCTTCGTAATCGTACATACATACCTTCCACACCACACAACACTCTGGCTAGCGCGGCATACAGCGAGCTATCGCCATACCCCGTTGTAGCAGACAGGGCAGACATTGAGCCTACACAAAGGACTGAATGCTGGAAGTCGCACCCATCTACAAGTACGATGTCCGGTCAACAAATTTCAAATTTCCCTAACTTAAAACTCATGTTGCAAACAAGCAGACAGACCGTCTGTCCAAAAGTCTCACAGAAAATATATGTACCAGAACAACGAAACACGAGAAACAAACAAGTAGTCTAGTCGACAACCAACCCCGGTAGCCTCAGTGATTTCCCCGTACAATAAAAACATAAAAACAAACAACACAATAAAGTTGAGGCATCGTTGACACCGTCAATCCATCGTCTTCCACACATAAGACATACAAGACACCGCCGCTCGCTGCGGTCGCAACCTCCCGCCCAAGCATCAATACCACCAGTAATCTCATCGCCGTCCCCATCACGAACAAAAACAACCAAAACTGGTAAAATTAATTGTAGTAAAATTATCGAAGCCATTCTGTGTGGCCAAAAACATCCGCAGGTCCCTAAGAAGGAACTATCCGCAGAGAAATGACAGTCACATCGCCGAAGTTGTGCCAGCGAAAACTACCCGAGGCGGCCCACCTCCACCGCCAACTCATTCGAGACTAATTTTCGCATACATACGTACGTACGATCGCGACTTCCTCATCAATCAATCAATGTGTTCAATTCAAGCCTGTACCTGTGGATGAGAATTGACATATATATATATATATGTGCCCTCCTATATATATATCTGCCCTCCTATTATACTCCCGCACCCCCAGGGGACAATACGCGTGGCTGCGGCCAGGCCCTTTGTTCTCGATCCCAGCGTAGTAATCAAGCTGCTGGGCCCAAGGCGCCGTTCGTTCCTGGTTGGAAGCACGCCACGAACTTGAGAGCGTACGTAGGGTCCACTACCAACTAAAGCGCCTATTTGAAGAAGAGCGCTCCCTCAGGATGCGCTGGAGGTCATGGCGTCATGATACGAACAGGCTACTGCCCCCGGCGCCGCACGTTCTGCCCCTTGCTCTGCAGCCCGCCTGTAGCGCTGGACATTCAGGCTCTGTCAACCACAATGTGACGAATGGATTCAAACACAAGCACCATCGATAGCAGCGGCATCATCAGCATCATCCACGCGAGCAGGAAAATGGGGCATCGGCAGACCATATGCAACTATCCGCACTGACTGCAGCCGGTGCTAGTGCCCGACAATCGCGCCACAAATGTACTCGACATGTTGACGATCAGGAGATTATTACGTCCAAAGTACCCCCCCCCCCACTACCCGACTATCTGGCATCTACCTTACGCTGCCATGCTCCACCACACTCATTGCTAACGGGCAGACCCAAGCAAGACGGACGAGTCAACCACAAAAATAACAGTGAGTGACGACCAGGGTTAAAAAACAAACAAACGTGCTTGTTTGCTACAAAAGGCGAAAAATCTATTATTATAGTGACTGTACATACGTGGATACTCGGAAGCCCGAAACAACGAAAACCGCCGTCTGGATGAATAGATAGGTCACACCAGCTTCCAAAAGGCCCGATTTTCTTCACACAGAAGAAAAATGTGCAACAACATTGATTGGTAATGGTGGCTACGGCTACATACGGAAGGGCCTTCAGGCTTCTCATCCAGGTTTTCTGTGCTTCCGCGAAAGACAACCGTCCCACACTTGTAAATCCGCATTGTACACTGGACACGGTCTTACCGCTGTAACGCATCAAGCCTGATCATCAATGGATGGGGGACGGTCCCATAAAGCTGCAGCCGCCGATCTTGCATTGTTGTGACCAGTCATCCACCCCGTGGGAAGCTAGACCCCGCCCTGTCGGGGGAGGCTTGTATTGGGGAGTCTCATGCTGAGATTGTAATCCCTCGCGGTAATAATCTTGGCCGTTGTGGTGCGAATGACCCCTCTGCTGCCCGTGCCGGCTTCCCATGTCAAAGCCGTGGTTGCCGTCTCGACTGTTGAAGTACGTGTTCGAATCGTTGTTAGTGTTGTTGTGGTTGGCGTGAAGGTGATCCGGATGACGGCGGTAGTCACGCCCGTCACCGGCGAAAAACGTACCGGTGGAACGACCGCGAGCATGGTACCCATCAATGGATTCCGTAGCAACAGCCATCGCCACAGGAACAGACTCGCTCGCCCTTCCGAACGCACCTCGTGCGGGCGCGTCCTCAAGCCCTTCTTTCATCGACCAGCCGGTGCCAATGCCATCCCAGTTCCTGCCGGGACCACAGGTGAACGGCTCCTCGCGCACCCGGAAAGGGCGTCGTTCCACGAACCGTTCTTCTGTGCCGAACGGTTGTTGGTGGCAGTGTTTCTTGCGTAACGGTTCTTCACAGAACGATCTACTATGGTCAGGACCTTGGCGGTAGAAGTGTCCCTCGGACCCGTACGACGTGGTTGGAGTAGGAGGAAGATCAGAAGAAGCAAGAGGACCATCAGAAGGAGCAAGAGGACGAGAAGAGTAACGTGTTCTTCGATCGTTTTCTTCGGCTGCGGTCGCGTGCTGCAGGCTGTCGCAACTCGTAGAGGTGACCGTCGGATCCCCCCGCAATATATCTCTTGTCGCGATCCCTCTCTGCTCATGCCTGCTTTGCACACCTCCCATACGGACTTGAGGCATGGCGGGCTCTCTCTTTCCTATTCCCTGAGACATGTCACGGCCATATTCACCGGGGGTACGAGAGCTTCGAACACGAAAGCCGCGAAGAATTGGTCTTGGCTCTGCTTCTTCTATCGGGTTATTCGCCCCGGCTCGACAGTGCCTTGGACTACCGATCACCGCCATGCCGGTGTCGGGTCCAGAAGGGGCGATAACTGTCCAACGTTGCTGATGGCACTGCTGCTGGTCTTGGTGCTGCTGCTGCTGCTGCTGCCGCTGTTGTTGTTGTTGTTGCTGCTGCTGCTGCTGCTGCTGCTGGTGCGGGTACCGGTACGTCTCATCGTTAACCGCTGGGGCTGCCCGCACCGCGTATTTTTCCCCCCTGCTGCCAACCTGGTTTCGGCGGAAACGATGGGGGTATCCCTCTCCTTGCGTGAACGTCGAGGACGGGGACGATGGTCGCGGTCCACAACCACCGTGGGGAAAACAATTACCATACCCGCGATCGATCCCACCGCCGCCGCCGCCGCCGCCATTCGATGCAACCCTATCCTCGTGCTTTATAACGGGTGAATAAGGTTGGGGGCCCAACACATTGCCAGACGGGCCCAGATGTTGCCTAGTCGCAGCCCTGTAAGCGATGCTGGAACGATGAGTTTCGTGAAGCCTCTCGCGGCTAGTTCCCGCTCGCGTCGGAGAGGAATTGTTCGCGGTGGTGTCGGGGTTGATGTTGACGGGGTTGTCGCCAAGCATGTGCCGAGAAGGTCTTTCCCTGTGAGTAGCTGGATGCCATCAATCCACGATACCGCACAGAGGGTGGGATGGGCGGGTTACGATGACAGGGACAGGTTTGTGCGCAATATGACACGAGGAAATTTTCTGGAAACAGTCAGTTCTCTATTGTTACGACTGTATGAGCCTACAGACAGCAAATAAGTTTTCTCACGGGACTCGAAAGATCCATGCTTTCCTTTGGGGCCAAGGCTCAGCCCACTCGAGGGAGCAAATAGATGGGGGTTGGCCGCAATCATGGACATGATTCCCCTGTTGGTTTACTTCTCACCGATGTCGTGTGGTTCCGATGTTTTGGTGTACGTGTTCCTTGCCAATATTTTTTTAGGTTGTAGAACGTTCAGAGTCTACTATATACCGATCTCTATTTTTATCTCGTTGGGCTTGATTTCCTCGAGCAGGTTTATGTGTGAGGAACAAATTGACGTGCTTTCAGAGAGACAACACTTGACGGTAGATAACCTAGAACTGGGGGCGAGAAGGTCCGACCAATAGGACGGCAAGCAAGCTCCAAAAACAAGTACTCGGCAAACTCGGCCCCTTTCGCTGCAAATGGTGTTCAGCGGAAAGATGTGCCTGCCGCGGTTTCTTTTCGCCGAGAACAGCACACCCACAACAACATTCCGTATTGGTTTGTATACATCTTTGCTGAAGGGCTTTGAGTGTGCCTTTTAGGCCGGTACTGGATGGTTCGTGCCCAGTTGTCAGCTCTGTGCTTCTCGACCAACACTGGGATCCATGAGCTCTTGCGTTTTTTTTTTTGCGCAACCCGTGTCTACTCCTCCTGTACACAGGCACGCGTCGTTCAGGACACTTCTGTAGTGCAGAGCGGTCGGGGTCGCGGGGGTTCGGACGTTGTGTCTTGCTGGCAAAGGGCAACACGTGCCCAGTTGACATGGAAGTATTTGTGCTGGAGAACGCAAGGGTGCAGTAGAGCTTGTTAAGATTTTAGTTTGCATCACCGTTCGTTGTTCCGTGAAGGCAAGCAATGGCATGACACACACACACAGACGATGTGCACCGCAAATGCTCTACCGGTTGGCGTACGTACAGGGTCGAGATCTGAGAGTCCACCTCAAAGGAAGTCAAGCATGCATTGCTTAGAAATCGCCAATCGGAGTACCCTCATTCGTCTTCGTTCCTGGTCTTTTCCTTTGCCATAAACGCGTGCACCAGCCGTGATTGCTTCTTCTGCTGAAGAAAAAACTGCCGTTCCACATGAATCTTACCCGAACCTTCCACGGAAGAGTTGAGCACGCTCAGTTTGTTCTCTATCGCCGCTCGGTCTTGCACCAGTGCTCCTAGCTCGAGCTCTAGTAGCTCTCGGCTGATGATGCCCTTGCATGGCGCATCCTTTTGCAGTTCAACGGCAATCTTGGCTCCTAGCCTGGGAGCAGGAACGCGGGCAAGATGTGGCGGGAGGGCGGAGTATCTTTGTGTCTTGTGGACTCTCCTGGTCGTGTCTCAGCCTCTTTTCCTGGTATGCGCATGTGTGCACACCTTCCTCGGCCAATCTTGCTACGTCCACCCCTGCCATGATCGATCATTTATCTCTCTCTCTCTCTGTCTCTCTCTCTCTCTCTCTCTCTCTCTCTCTCTCTCTCTCTCTCTCTCTCTCTCTCTCTCTCTCTATCCCCCTCCGATTCGGTGAGTCAGAGTGGACGGATTCAATGCCACCCGTCATGTCACACGATCTTACCCCAAACCAAGCGACTGCTGTCGTCGTGCCACCATACCTTTGCAGCTCGGAGAGCCTTCGAAGCAGCTTCTCCTCTCCCAGAGAGACAGTTTCTCTCCTCGAGGTTCCCTCAAAATATCTTTCTTCGCTATCCATCGTGTGCATTGGGTGTGTGCAGTATTCGGTGGACATGGGGAAACACGACATGACCCGGTAACTACAAGGCACGGGCGAAAAAAATGCGGCACAATTTTTATTATTCCTTAATTTTTTGACGCCGCATCGCGCATCGCGCATCGCGCCACCAAGCGGGAAGCGGTACAATAGGTGCCGGCTCGACGTTCCACCGCCCGCTGGTTGTCGCATGGTGGAACGTGTAGTGGAAAGGTGCGCTGTGCATGTTTGTGCCTAGTACAGGCTAGGGCGTACTAGGTTAACGTGAGACCAGGCTATGACGGGACAGCACATCATCTCGTAGATACCCCACACCACCCTCAGGGAAAGGTAAGTAGATACCACGTCATGACGTCAGAGGAATTTTGGGATTGAGCGGGTTGCCAACCACTCCCTCCACAGCAGCCGTAGCAGCAGGTAAGTTTACATGATCGGCCAACAAGGGCATGGCCCGCTTCTCCACGCTTAGTCTTTCCCATGTCATCCATGCACAATACATCAGAGAAATATGTATAACCGGGACTCTTCCCATTTGGTATCGTTCCTGCAGACTTTCGCAAGTAAAAGGGACGTGATCGATCGTGTACAAGCAAAGGCTTGCCCTTGTTCGCCATCAACGCCACACGCCAGCGCTCTTTATTGCTGTACTGCTGCAACACCTCTGTGCTACAAGTCAGCTACTGACTATGTAAATAGTAGCACAGAGATACGGTGCGCTCTTGACAACAATCTGTGTGGTGGGCCCGTTGCGTAGCAACCGGGTGCAATGTTACGTGCGGCAGCACTGGAACCAGTACAGTCTAACCATTTGGTTGATGACGCAGAGTCTCCGCCCGTGCAAACACACTCTGCAGACTACTGTACTACTGTAGGATCTGCGAGCGCCATCCCGCCTGTTGAGAACCCGGTGACTCCGTTTTTGCCTACCCCTAGGTGGTGGTGGGTACTGCCGGCGGCGAGCTTCCCCCAAGGAGAATTCCACCAGAGGCGATGCAAGCGACAGAAACGGGCCCGGAAATCGCCCAGCAGCATCAGCGCCCACTACACGTACCCTCCAATGATGGACGGGGCGGCACAGTCGAAGGGAATCCTTCCCATGGAAGCCAAAAATGCTGCTAAACCTGGTCCTTGTGCACCTCAGGGGGCTCCCATCGAGCCTACCAACAGTGTGGGGGAGGTCGGAGCCACCAGTGGTAGTTCAACCGCAGGTGGTTGCGCTGCTGCTGATGATGTCGTGGGAGCAAACGCTGGGCAACTAACAGGTGGCGCTGAGGGCACTGCTCGTGTGGCCGCAAACAAGGATACTACGGGTGTGGCAGGGGAAAATGGTGATGGGGTAGGTCGAGATGGAAAAGCCGTGTGTTTTGTCAAGCTTAACCCGGGAGCCGAAAACAACTCCGGACACATCGGCGAAGAGCACAGCAGCAGCGATTGTCAAAAGGATGCTGAAGGTGCCGCTGTTGATGCGGCTTTGAATACGCGGCCAAACACTGATGGGCTTGGCAAATCGAGTGGGCACGTAGTTGACCGATCGAACGAAGCCCAGGTAAGGATGACAAGTTTCACATAAGGGTGACCACCGACACTACAGAGATACGGCAGTTAGTACTGGAGTCTACGTGTAGTCTATTTGGAGGACTCTTGACTAGTCAACACAATAAATACTGGTCGAGCCTAAGAGGCGCAATGTAAGGCACCGGTACATCAATAGCATATTGGGGACGCTTAAGCGTGCGTGAAAGGCAACGGCAGTGGTATTCCTCTCAGTTCACAGATATCAAGGACATGCAAGCAGGTCGGACACGTTTGAAAATGTATTCTACACCTGAGCCAAGAAGTTGCTGCGCTACCGCTATCTTTGTTAGGACGCGGTGGCTGTCAAGGCTGGGGTATCTCAGCTGCCCGTGAGATCAGAAAACATGGGCTCACAAGTTTCTAAGGCGGCACCTGCGGCAGGAGGAACGCGTAAGGGTCAATGGACGTTCAAGAACCAGGTGCGCCAGAAACGCACGTTGCTATCATGGATGCTTTCGGCGTTCCCTTCTTTCGATCGAGCCTCCCGTTTATGCACACACTTATGTATTCGCAGCAACCCCATTCTTGTTTCTGGGAGCTCCATATGCTAAGCCATATGCCTTTACATACAATACACACACACACACATCCGCAGCCACCACCACCTACTCGTGCTTTCCGGGCACGACCGTTGTCTAGAATTTGACAGATGCTGCTTGGAGGTGCTGGAACAACGTCAACGACGTTTGGGAATCTCTTTCCGTTGTCGAAACAGCGTTTGCGGTGTCAGAATGGAAATGCCACCCGTTCCTCGCCTCTCTTCACCGCCGCCACAATGCCATCTTGGGCAACTACTCGCAATCTGAACGATACTGCTCAGATGCTCGTTCAGGTTCCGAAACTAAAACACTATGTAGAAACACTATGTAGGCGCTTCAACATTTATATTTCGTCTCAACAGTTAAAAGCTCAGTGTAGAGACCAGCTCAAAGCGTCGGTCACCGATCGTTCCACTACTCTGCACTTGTCTACAGAGGCATGCATCCAACCAACATATAAATGCCTCCATTTGTTCTCCTATGCTTCCCTCTGATATGCCTGGAACAGACGAAATGTAGGTTCTGCGGGGGAAGGCTTTGCCTCAGGTGCTCGGAGCAATGCGCGCTGAGATGCAAGGGAGCCGCAGTAAGTCAGCACATGTCGTAAGTAGCCCTTTAGAAATTTTCAAAGCTATATTGGACGGTAGAATAGTGTGCGAAACAGTGTTACACAGTGAATGATTAGGGCTAGGCTCTTCGTGCTGGCGTTGGGGTGCGCGCACTTCACCCGTCGCCTAGGCCAATAATATACGTTTGCACGGGAAAAGGTTTCAAACCCTGCAGGGACAACACGAAAATTCCATGAGCGAAGTTTTTGAAATAGCACAGGCCCTCAAATCGGTGTCGCTGAGACAAACTGCCATTGGTCGTAAGAGATTGAAGCGACTCTCAAGGAAACAAAACATTTCTGTGAAATAGTATCGATATCATTGCCTTCTAAGGTCCTGATGTACGTGTGCATAAGCGAAGATGCTATCCAATGTGGGCATCTGATGCGGTAGACTGAACTATTCGGCAAATCCTATCTCTTGGCTTGTAAGGTCAATGGGCTGCATTCTCACTGGATATCCGACTCCATCATTGGCATGCAGAGGCCCAGCAGCCGCCTGATTAAGACGTACGACATTGTCGGCCAGTTCAAGCGGTAAGAGAAGCCCTCAAGGAGGGCAATCAGGCTTGGTGGTGCCGAAGAACGTACCTAACCGGGCAGTGTCGCGCATCGTATTACCACGTACGGCAGACCAAGGGTATCTACTTTCTTTCCTCGGTATCGTTTTGGGAAGGTTTTGCGGGCGTGACCAAGGGTCGCTAAGCTCGACGGCCTTTGTCATGGACACGCGAATGATCGAACACTCGCACAGTTACAGTTTCGAGAAAAAGGGATCCCGAAGTCGTATCGGCTCCTGAGAGGCTCTCCCTGGTGTCGCTGCTCGAACACCTCTTTGGGAGTTCATGTATCGTTCCTTGGAGATCGGACTACTTGAACAGATTTGTCACCCTGCACTCTTCCCAGCCCGTGAAGGTTAAATTCAAAGACCGACAAAGGTCTACAGTCTCGAAATTCCTAGGGAGAAGCCCTGGTTGCGGCGATGGTTGGACTTTGCAGTCGAAAAAATATACAAGAGGGAACTTCGTATGGGTGAAGTTGATTGCACTATGTATTGGTTTGTGTCATTGCCATGGCTCTGGTGTTCGCGGTGTGACATTGATAGCTGCATCCGCAAGAATTTACTTGCCCCACCTTCTTGTGTCTCTTGGGGTTAGGGTTCCGATACGGATTTGCCATGTAGAGATCAATCGCAGCGCTTGCTTTCAAGCCATCTCGAGCAACGTTGTGAGCGTTTTCTGCGCCTTTTGTTGTCAGGAAGGGGGTGACGGCCATTTTTAATCTCACAGAGCCGGGGGAACATCCTCATTGTGGAGACGGGCTGGAAAAGGCCAGTGGCTTTCCGTACCTGCCCGAAACCTTCATGCGAGAAGGCAGTGAGTGCTGCATGCAGCAGTAGGGACAGATTGCTGTACGTTGGTAGGCAGCCATGCAAACGTCAGTCGGTACACTATAAACGAGAAGGAACATGAGGCGAATACTGTACCTGAGAAAACATCTAGGGAACGATAAGCCTGTCTTCCTTCTGCTGTCCTTTGACTGATAAATAACAACAATTTATTGAGTTTTCCATGATTTCATCGGGTTGTACACTGAAAGCTTCTTTCTCCCCCTCCGTTCCGCGAAAGGAATATTGATCTGAAGGTTTCATCCCTCGCTCGGTATCTCGATATCTCTATGATACACGTTCTTGAACGTACTTGTTCAGTTGAGGAATGATGATGTCCTCAACGATTCTCCTTTCCCGCTTGCCTGAACTGCTGTTTTGTTCAACACAACGCCCACCAAGTCTCTGTGTACAACTTTTCTTGGGAGGACATGACGACGCCATCGATGGCACTTCTTTCGGACATCATCAGAGTAGCACTGTCCTGCCTTCGGACAGGGGGCAAGGTGAACGCTCGCTCAACCACGCCAAACTGCTCATGGTAGGACTCTGCAATGTTGCGAAGGGTATGTTGCTGGTCCACAGTAGTATTCTGAATCAAGGGTGTAGCACAGACGTCGGGAAGCGTGAGATAGTGTTGGTCTGAAGTGATGCTCTTCGGTTAGCTCCGATTGTACGTTTTCCACTCCTTCAAATCGCACCGCACGTTGCATGTCAATTCCACATTTTTATTGCTCAGATCGCCGTACATTGCCACGCTGGCTACGGCCGAACGGGCCTCGTGATCGCAAGTATCTTGGTGATGATGAACAATCTCCCCCCCCAGCAAGCCGTGGCTCTCGTCAGGGAGAAGAGGCCTACTTCTTTGCAGACGAACGCCCAGGCAAGAGAACATTCGGATAAGGTTGTGGTTTTGTTGTTTGCCGAGGGCACGTCGAACTTGTATGAACGAACGTGGGAATCGAACCACTGCCCAACAACAAGTACCCGTCACACCACAGCAGTAGCTCAATGATCCAGGAGGGCTAGCGTTAGATGAAGGACTTGCCGGAGCGCATGGTGACGCCCCTCTCCACTCGCGTGCTCAACAGGTCTCGATGGTGGGAGAATTCGCCAACTTTGTGCGCGGTGTTCGGGTGGTGTATCACTTCACGGACCATGCCAGGGTCACGCTCGGGCAGCATCTTGCACAGCAGGTGGGGTGCCGTCTGGCAACGTTCAGAGCCCACCCATGCCACGTCTTTCGACTCTTGAAATTGATTAATTTGAGTGACCTTCGCGTTCTGATTCCTCTCTGCTCTGATCGCAAGCAGCGACCATTCACGCTTGGGCGGTGGCGACGACTCGACTACGTCTACTGTAGAAAGCAACATAAGCCATCTACAAGAACAGCAACATTGTGTGCTGCGAGGAGTCGGCTCCACGAGCATACGGTTACAACGGAATCGGTCAACACGAGAACAACACTTGTTGGGCGTTGTAGCATGTTCAACATATCGAAGGGTAAAGACCTGCCCCATTCATCAAACACCGCACCTCAGGCATTCCTGCTGCATGGACAGGAGAGCGTAAACCTCCGCTGGCTGCCTAAAGCTGTTGCCTTGGCCACCAGAATGCTCGTGATTCTTGGTGAGGGGAAGATTCTGAGCAAGTTGCGTCGCCGTCATTGCTGTGTGCTTTCATCGCAATGTACCATAGCGCTACTGCTGGTACGTGTAACTGCGACGGTCCACCCATTCAGATATGCACCCGTCATTGTTCCATGAAGATAGCATTCTCGGCTCTGTTCAACTCTTCCACACCGAAAATGGCGCCACTCGAACGCAGTTCATCCTTCCGAAAACCCAAACAGCGACCAGTGCAAGCTGGTATCGATTCAACACAAACACCCTTATATTCTCTCTCTCTCTCTCTCTCTCTCTCTCTCTCTCTCTCTCTCTCTCTCTCTCTCTCTCTCTCTCTCCCACGCCCCCCCTCGCATGTCACCACTACTGTACGGCGTTAATACCCGAACGTGGCCACCCGGAGTTTTTTCGAGGTTTCCGATATTAGATCACCGTGCCGAAACAATCACCACGAAGAGAGAACATTCCACCACCAAAGCATCCTTACCGCTACAGTCGGGTACTGTGTTCCTGAAGCAAGTTGCCGAGACTCGCTTGTTCAAATATTTGCCACTTTGTTTGAGAACAAAGGTGTATGTAGTGTATTGTGTCCCGCAAGAGCCGCACCCTAGATGTTTCATACTGTTGTGACGAACGACGACCGGCTGCCTGGAAGAAGGCACAAAAAACGCGGAACTCGCGCGAATGCGAGTCCCAAGTGGGCAACGTCTCTTTTGTTCTGTGTCGTTTCCCGTGCCGTTGATGTGCTGCTTTGAGAATCACTCTTCATAATCTATCGACCTGGTATGGAGCCAATCTCTCTCATGTTGTGCTCAATACTGCAATACTTCAATACAACAGCCAGCGAAAGGCCCGAGGATGTGGCTCAAGCTCTTGCGGGCGTGGACCACAGCAGTGAAGCTCACAAGTGAGAGACAAGCTGGTTCATTTTGATCTATTCAGTATAACTACCGTAGTACTTTGATTTCGATCCCGGTATTGTGCGCTTCACTCAACCGATTAGAAGCCACACTACCACCATATTATCTGAAAGAATATCAAAATGAAAACAACACATATCTCTCCAATAGCAACACAATCGAAACGACTCATTCGGACCAATATGTAAACCATTTTAGGAGCAGCAGTGCCTGGGGGATGGCCGAGGAGCAGAGTCTCAAGGCCATGCAATACTCTAGCAACGCCAACGACTGGGAGCCGTGGGAGCAGCTGGTAGAGCAATGTGAAGCGACACCCGCATCTGTCGACCCCAGGTATACTCGTGGCCAATGAGTCGTTTCTCTATGTACCGATGGAGACATCTCTGTGCCGAGGAAACGTCTACCCTGGTGCACCTTGTGTAAGGCGGAATCCTGACAATTCGTGAGAAACACGTGTGTGTTAAAAACAAATCGCGTCCCTACCCCGAGCAGCTTTCAAATCAATTGCGCATGCATATGCTATACTTATGTGGACGCGAAACGGATATGAACCTCCTCCCAATCCTCCCCCCGCCGTACCTGTACCTACCCGTGGACGGAGGGAGAAGAATCCCAGCCCAACTATTGTACGATTGGCTAGCGCAGCTGGCCGTTCCCCCAATAACGGTGACCGAGCTGAGGAGAGCGTTGCCGCAAAGCACCGTATCGGTGGCTCTGGAGGACGATGGGCAAGAAGCCACCGTCAAGGCCACGAGTGCATTCGAAACCTCTTCGGAAGGTACATTGGGGGGGAAGACGATGACCACACGCTTTGGACTAGGCAAGCATGGTTTGCTTGTGCTCGTTTGCACCCCTCATGCATGTTTTCATGAAGAGGAAGACCGGGAGGATGTGCCACACTGGAGGGAAACTTGGAACCATTTCTAGCACTATTCCACCCCTTGAAGGGATTGTACCACCAAGCCTCGTGACACCTACAATCTCGCAGATTTTCAAAGGGAAACGGTCGGTAGTCCTGTCTGTATTCGTTTCAGCACCTTCCAGTCCATCACAATCACGTCCACGTTTACCATCGTCTAGCCCCTAAACACTTCGCCCCCGAGCCAAAACTGAAACCAGTCGAAGACGATGTGCCGATGTTTGTTGGGTTTACCCTTGAATTTGTTTGACCTCACCAGCAAGATGGTAAGTATTAATGTTACATCTATGTGATTAAGAAAATTCTTGCCAGACAGCCAAGATCATGTTGTAGATTAGCCGCACGGACGTCGCTGGATTTTTTATCCAACGGTTCACCAGGTATCTTACTACCAGAAGAGAATAGATATTCCTGATAGAAGATATTTTTGCATTTTCAACCGTCTCTGTCTTCCAAATGGTAGCTCATCACACATTTTGCAAATGACCGTGTCACCGCTCGCTGTTTCATTTCTTCGTCAGTCATTGTCGCCAGTCTCGTCGTGTGGTTCCATCTCAACTCGCCTCTTCTGTTGATGCGCATGCCATGCTACAAATACCGGATCGGTATCTAGATCGCACGCCGTCTGATTTGTGTTCAGGAAAACGACGTTGAACACACGGAGCAGAAACACGAGAAAATGAGAAAACGAGAAATTGCGTCAATGTCACTTTCGCCCTCCCGCCCATGCGATCGATGCTGGTGCTGGAAACAAAAAGCGGCCCCTCAAACCTATGTTCCACGCGTTTCCCGAACTTTTTTTTTGCGTCTGGTTGTTAGGGCAGTTTCATCGTCTGAACCTGCTTCCCGTGGGCCAGGTTCGACTGTTGCAGTGCCTTACGGATTGCGTGAGGAACGTCCGAGATTCTCTAGCAGCGGCCGGCACACCCCAAGGAAGGGCGTACCAGAAGGTAACTAGAGCAACCCCGTGCTACACTTCTGCTACAGAAAGCTGTATGATATCATGTCAGAGTAGAATGCCGCTTTGTGACGCATGCTGGAACCGGAGAACGTCCCCGAAGAGGATGGGGAAAAAACGAAAGGTACACTGCACGCAACGTAGACTTGACGGTGAAATACCACGCCGGACAACGATTCTACGGTCACACACCCCGACAGCAACTGCTGCAAACGTGAGGGGCAAGTGCAGTGTGCGGTGGCGCCTTCTAGGACGCTGGTGGTGTATACGGCAATGTACGATATCGCGAAACCAGAGTGATTGTTCTGCTGAGGGGCTGCTGCACTACGACGTTGAAGTGTTTTGCACGGGATTCATCGCGTTCGATTGTCGTTGACCGTTCTGGCGTGCTTTCCTGGTTTATTTACAGGGGTGCTTGCGCGTGGCCATCGCAATGGTCCATCTCCATTCAGCACACGAAGGACTTCTGGTTGGAAGAAACATCGCACAGGATGTGTTCCAGGTGCACTATGTTACAATAGAGTATAGTGGCTCTGAAAAACTGCCACATCTCCACGGTGCCTCTTCCTTAGAAATTATTTGAAACCTCTGCAGGATGCTGAGTACTCGGCAATAGGTTCGCTTTGCGAACACGGCTTGGCTTGGAATATTCTTGGCAACGGAAATTATGCGGATGTGTTCGTCGTAAGGGGTGAACGCACCTCAAACTCACGTGTCTTGGAGCTAGCCATGAAGACACCGCTACTTCGCACAAGTGTGGAACCCTGTACCCTACTCACTACTTGGGACACAACGGGAATAAACCCATTTACGCCATGACCAGGCGACACGTTTCGAGCACCCTTGTGTCGCCCCCTACATAGACACAATACCTCGGTACAATATGGCCCCGCGTTGCTCACTCATGCTTTTCGTGGTGAGGGTCAACTGCCATACACCCCCTGGAGATATTCCGCTAAAAATACCATACAAACCTCCCCAAACCTTCTCGCCGAACGACCCGAGACCCCTTCTCGTCACTCGCCCTTTGAGCGGAACGATTCAGACCTAAATCAATGTCCCACCCGCGCCCCCCTTCTTCTCGGTACCCGAGAAATTGGATTCGTAGGATACGTGATCCGTCTAAGAAGAGACGCGTGATCAATGGTGAAGTGCGGCAAGCAATAATCGAGCACCCCTCCACCATCCCGTCCCTCTCACACGCTCATTTTCGTTGCTTGACTCAGGCGGCTGCGTCGCTTTCTACCCCTACGTCGACAAGCAAGCACCGGCAACCTTTGGGAGCGCCCCATAGGCTAGGGAGCGGCTCTTTGGCGGGGGACCTCATGTTTTGTTCCAAAGCGATGGAGGTGAGATGCTCTCATCCTTGTAGCCAGGTTTCAGCGTCTAGGAGGCGTTTTTGGATACCACGCTCTGGCCATCGGTATGTATCAACGCTAGGACAATCTGCAAAAGCGTTGAGGCGCCAAGTAAATCTCTATTGGTACGAACACCACATCACATCATGACCAACAGGTGCTTGTCGACTGCTGGAGAGCTCCGTTGCGATGCCGGCCGTACAGCAAGCTCGAGGCCCTCGACAACCAGCCAGAAATACACGGAGGCAACGAAGAGTACTGGCACCAGAAGCGACGGAGCGTGGTTCCACCAAAGGTATACACAGCTGTTTTATGAAGTGTTCCCCTATCGTCGTCGCTGTCTAACGTTTTCTCTGGATGATGCGGTACTGACTGACTGGCCCATGTTTGGGATGGGAACCAAGGTAGCACACGTGCTTGCGTCGATTTCATCAATTCATCGATCTGTCGAAGTTTCGATTTTTCACCCCATCTCTCCTTTGACAACGATGCCGCCGACACGTGGGTAAACGTTTTGTGTACCTCTGACATGGCAAACATCCACGGGAGATTTGGTTCTAATTGATCCATTTTTCGACATTCTTGGCGCCGTGATCGATACTTCCTGCCCTCAAGGATCTGATCAACAGGAGCCAGACTGAGTATGCGAAAAGACAGGGCCACGAGTGCACAACCACCATGACGCAGCACACCACGGGCTACACCGTGTCCATCAACACACTCAATTCCGCCGACACCTTTACGAGCTGGGGCGCACATGATGACACCGACATTCTCCGAGCCTCACCGGTATGAGCTTCTATGCGCCGTACATGAGCGCTTTTCGCTCTCTTGCAATGGACATAACGAAATCGCGCTACAGAATCCCGAAGCATGATCAACCATGGAATTGCCACCAAAACGTGTCCGTGACTACTCTCCAGATATAATCGATGCCCCCAGGGTGGTTTGCTCACCTTGTAAGCAAGAGACCATCGCGTCGGCCGCCGTGTGTAGCACAATAATACCGACCTGCTGCCTAACTACAAACAACACAACACTTGGCCCTGTACATGGGTGCCCGTGGCTTGATCCATATTTGCTTGCAAGACCGTCACGCCTCAACAATACGGAGGTGTTTATCGATGGTTCTTATCATCTAGATTCATTAGCCCCAGTGTAACAACGGAGAGTCCAGGTATTACTTGGGCGTCACTATTGGTGGTATGATTGTACTAAAAGGCGCGGATTTTCCATGAACGCACACGGTACGTACGAATGTTCTTGTTTTTTTGCGTTTGACGTACACCAAGACGAAACTCGTGGGTTTATGGGACTCGAACGGGGGGCATACAGAGAGGAGTTCGAGGCAGAGATTGAGAAGATGATACGTACGGCGACTCCTGCAGGGGCCGTGAACAACGAGATGCTAGTTTAAAGCTCACCACAATCGAAAACGATTATCGGATAGGAGAGTTGGGTCTGTTGTAGACGATCCTTCGCTCCCTATTTTCCCTGACTGACAAGCATTGTTTCTGTCTGCTGTTCCGGATCAAATGTGTAATGCACCTGTTTCTTACCTCGGGTCAACACAGTACCGACAACAACATCACGACGCCGCACCACTAGGAGCAGAACAGCGAACGCCTCTGAGACGGCGATCCGCGAGTTCCGGCAACGTCAAGCAGGGCCTAGAAAATGTTGCCCCGTTTGACGTCATCAAGCCGCTCGAGGACGAGAAAGACGACCCGGGAGTACAAAGCAGTGCTACCGGTGCTCACGATTTGTAGAGAGATCGCGGGTGGATGATGAAAAAAATGAACAGCGAAGCCTCAGGTGTCGTTATCTTGATTGTCTTGATTGCCTTTTCTGACGGCGGCTGGATCGTGGTTACGCGATTGGTTCTTGATCATGTTGCTCTCTTTGTGTAAATAGCAGGCAATAGAAACATACAGTAGTATACAATGTTTACAAGAGTGCTTCAGAACACCTCTGTAGACTCCTAATTGTTCTACACAATTAATTGCAACCCCCCACCCGCCGGTTGGCAACTCCAGTTGTGCCGCCTGCGGGACTTGGTGGTACACCGTACGGGGGAGTAGCACGACACGTCAGGTCAGTAGCTCTGTGCGTTTGGCGCCCTTGCGAGACTATTGTGTTCGGGAATAATCATCCTTGGAAGAGCACTCGGTACCCAATACCGTCATGCTTGGCCGTAGAGCTATCAGGCTTGGGGGGGGGGAGGGGCATCCGGTTGGCACCCGATAATATTCCTAGAGGCGGAGGGTCGGAATTGTATGTGACAACATTGGCAGAAGACGCGAAGAAGGGCCAACGAGAGGTCTCAAGATGGAAAATGAACAAATTGATCAGGGTCAAGCTGCAATAACCCAAGCAAGTGCGTTGTAGATCCTGACCAGAAGATAGCGGGAGCGTCCAAACGAAGATCCACATGATTGAAAGATTGAAAGTTGGTTTCCGGTCCAAGATGAAGAAGAGTGATTTGCGATGGTCGGGGAAGAATGGAGTGGTAAGCATATAAATAAGTCATATTTCTCGAATATGAATGGCCTGCTGATGACCTCCTGGTATAAGAAGAAGAGGTGGCCGGTCGATTGCTGTGCGCGTCCGTGTCTAAATGGGAATGGATGCATGATGAATGAAGGTGTGGAGACAGCCCTTGAGGCAGCCTCCAGATAATATCCTTCTCTCCGTGCCCTCCTCTCTTGTTGCTACAAATGTAGCCCTTGCCGTTGTTACCACATCCCCACCATATTGTAGGGTGCATGCTCGACGCTGTGCCTACGTGGTACTACTTGTACTGCTGTAGTGCTTTGGCGCGCGGTTGACGAATCAAGGGCTTTTCATGTGTCTTGCCCCGCCGGGGCAAGAGTCTGAAAACCTGCAGGTTAGGATGAGGGAGAGCATATATCTTTACGTCTTGTGCTTGGTATTGGTGCTGTAGACTCATGACATAAGATATCGCGTGTGCCCCGAAGGTAAGCTATCTACATCAGTATCACAGCAATACGTATACAGCAGTATCAGTTCGTGCCGAGGTTTTCATATCACATGGTAGAGTTATTTAAAACTCGATTCATGGACCGGCAGGACTTTTCTGGGCCTTTCGCTGCTTTGTACCAGTAAGTAGTCTGTCCCGGAATATAGTGCACTTTTGGAAAAACCGGAATATAGTGCACGTTTTAGTTAAGCATGACCAACACGATTTTGGCTTCTTCTGAAACTCGGCAGCAATACTCCCACAGCCTGTTAAAGATAGAAAACTGTAAAACCCCTATCTAAAATGCGGGGATGGATCGTCATCATCCCCCCCCCGGTTTCCCAGGATTTTTCTTGTAAGGAAAACCAACGTTTTTTCAACACGCTAATACGACTTTAAAAAATCGTTTTTTTTTGTCCATTTTTTTTTGGTTGTACGTTAACCCCCTAATCTCCTGTGCCGATCCTGCCTGCTTTAATTCAACACATACAACAGCTCCAACCGGTGAAAATAAAAGAGACGTAATTAAAGTTGCCACTTCGGCCGCAAAAAAAAAATTGAAAAAAAATACGAAAAAAAAAAAAGTGTTCAATATGTTGGCAAAAGAAATGACGCTTCCGGGGCTCGAACCCGCGTCTCAAAAGATGATGGTGGCGAGGAGAGATTTTTTTTATCTCCAAAAGTGCACTATATTCCGGGACAGTCTGGTACATTTTTGCTGAAAAACTCCCGTGATATAAAACTCGAGAATAGATCTTCACAGGATAAAAACACAGGACTGTTAGCCTGCGCCAATACATCCTCGGACAAAGGGTGGTGGGCAAGTGGGCTGCCGTTGTGGTGCAGCCAAATACTTGATCAACCGGAAACAAGCAGCATGCGAAATTAGAGTGCCTTTTTTCAAGGTGATACGAACACGCACACCCTAACGTAATAAACGAATAGCGGACAAGGTGCGTTCGTCTCTGCCAAGAACGCCCCCAACCCACGCTAGCTGATACTCTGTATGTTGGCACGCGGGCACGTTGATGATGACAAACCGTTGGTCCTTCTTGTCTTTTTTTTTGTGCCAAAGAGAAGAAGAATAGAGAGGGGTTAGAAAAGACAGGCAGACAGTTGAAAAAAACAGGCAGACAGGCATATACGCACACCCTGTGCATCAACGGCAACAACCTCCAGCCTCCCCGCCATGCCGACTAGGAAGGGCCGCCCTCCCCCCCAAAAAATAACGGGGCAGCCTATAAGCTATGCGGCGAGCCTTGTGGATTGCGTCTGTTCGTTAGTTCGTCTGTGCTTGCGTGCGATGGCGGCACCAGAGAAAAAAAAGAGAGAAAGAAAAAGGAGCACGACGAGAGAGGAGGGCAGAGGGGAAAAGAGAGGGTGTAGCAGCATGCAGCAACCTCACGTACGCGTTGATACGCACGTAGCACAACAAAAAAATCGTTCGGGCAGTGCCCGGAAGCTTGGTTGGGGGCTGGCGGTGGTGGCAGCGTTGTTATGACTGTGTGCTGTGTCTTTGCTGTTGTGACGGCGGTGATGTTTGCTGCAAAAGCGAGGAGAGCGAGGAGAGAGGAGAGGGAGAGAGGGAGATAGAGAGAGCAGTCTGTTCGTCTCGGAACACAACTACCGTATATGACACAAGATAACACACCCCCTGGGGCCGATTTTCAAAGCTCGATTTCTCAACAGCAGGAAGAGTCACAGCGCCGAAAACGGCGGCGTTGGAACCGTCTCGTCGAGAGGTTTTCGAAAATGTATTGTTTCGTTTATGCATCCTCTTCGTCGTGGAGTAATCGAGCTTTGAAAATCGGTCCACGGGGTGTGTTATCTTGTGTCATATACGGTATATACTTGGAGCTCTGGAGCCCCAAACATATTTTCCCACGATTCATGCATTTTTGCCCAAAAGTCCACTCTGGTATAAAACTCGATTCATCCACTTTTCGGGCTCTTCCACTGGTTTCATACATTTTTTTGAGTTTTAAATAACTCTGGTGAATTGGCCAATCATATGCCATAGACAACCATAGACAGAGAGAGGTTACGCAGAATCATTTGCCTACATTTTAGCCTGTGTGCCCCCTCCGCCGTAACTTGCTCGATTGCTGAACCTTCTGTCTCTAGTGTCTACAGCAGCAGTCTCTCCGTTGTGTGTGTGCCTCGCCGCCTCACCCCCTGCCTTGCCTGGGATTGGAAGCGCTTGTGTTGCTGTTGAACTCGGACCATAATTGACACGTGTGGGGAACAGCTCCCTCCGCATCTCGTGGTACATGAGACGCCGGAACGCGGATATGCCGCCCTCTTCGCCTCGAAGGAAGAGGGTGGACCAACGGCGCGAGGGATGGGGCGCGTTGATTCGAGTGACCGCCTGTTGCGTCCTCATCTCTGTCGCTGTGGGGACAGTAGTGCCCCGGTTGGCAGGCGGCCTGGGTGGGGGTGTGGAAACAGTGGGGCCGTCTGTGGGGTTCGTTGACGTAAGGGTGCCGGCCGAGACGGTGCCTGTGAACCTCGGGAGACCCATCGGATCGGTCGCAGGGGGCACGCTGGACGCTCAGGTATGTCGATCGCGACCAGCGGCGACTATGAGCTTGTGCTAGAATTCGTCGTGTGTGCCTCTATGTTGCACCCTGTCTGTCTTTCGCTGTTCGGGAGCAGATAGAGAAACGTTGGGACGGACAGCCGGCAGCAGTTGGTCGGAAACCGGAAATAGCCCGAAGAAAGGGAGACACACACGTTGCTATTGCTACATATGGATAGATACCATGCGGTACGGCACACGCCGGTAGATGAAAGAGCTCCAATCCTGACGCTCTCGCTGCGCAGGGCTCCCTACAGGCATCGTTTTGCTGAGTTTCGTATTCTTTCGCTAACCAAGTGCCCTTCAACCCTGGTGTACAGCAGTCCGTGCGCTGCAAGTAGGCTACACCTGGTTATCTGCTATCGGAAGAGAGTAAAGAGTCTCTCCGCATCGGCTCTCTCGCCCGGAGTATTTGTAGAGACTTGGAGTGTGTGAGAACCACTAAATAATTAAGGAATAATAAAAACACACACAGAAAGACTTTTTGTACCCATTCGAGATATACCCACACAGCAGTCGAACGGGATATAAAATATAAATTAGCACATGTTCCTTGCTGTTCCACTGCTTGATTACATCGTGGACGACTTTTCAAACCAGGAGGGCTACATAATAGAGAGGTCTTGGGCTCCCAACAGGGCCTGGAGGTACCATCATGTATATACCCTAGTGCCTAGAGGGGAAAGTGTACCACAGGCTTGAGGCTTCATCTGGTTGAGCATGTGCTCCCGTAGTTACTTGTTGACATTGAAGATACGTAAAGTCCCTTGGCCATATTTCAGTCGACCCCGCTTTGAAGACACACTCCGTTTTATCCCTGCTGCAAATTGCGCGTCTCTTGACGTACGTATGGTACATACACCTCCGATGGATAGTGTGTTATCATCCCCGGAGTCTTAAAGACACTTCCCCTCGTTAAAGACACTTCAAAGCGCTTTGAAGACACACTCTGTCTGAGATACTAAACATCATGAACAAACCTGACGATCTGACGATCACAACGTGGTGGTGGTTGAAAGTCGCACGTTCTTATATGTTTTCGGCGTGGTTCGCTCTCTTTGAACTTTCACATTGTAGTACTCCACCCCCCACCTTATTGTATTTATTGTTCGAAAAGTGGGTATATGTAGTGCAGGCAGCACTGGAATTTAATAACAATTCACCAAGCCAAGCATAGATTCACGAAAACGGACCAAAGACGAACACATAAACAACGATTGTACTAAAAACTATCATACGTCCTCAGAATTTTTCCGTACCCATACAGTACGCAGTAGTGGAAGTAGCAGCAAATCGCTTGCCTTGTCTGTTGTGCCGTGCAGTTGGAAAGGTGTCCTCCCGCCTCCCGCACAGCATCATTTTGGGGGTATCGAACGCTGAAAACAGTACCCCCCCTATTTTGTTCATTAGCGGGGCACCCTGCTTCGGAGATTTTTTTGTGTCTTTCAAGTAGGGAGTTGACTCAAGGTGTGTGTCTTTAAAGCAGGGACGACTGCTGTACTGTATCTTCTGAGAGCATACATGCGGTCGGCTGGAAAAAAAAACACCAACGACGAAAACAAAGTAGTAATAGTTGTGGTGTGGTAAGTTATCAATGACATCTGCAAGTGCCTACTGCTGTGTGTGCGTGTGATACCCTTGCTTGCGTTTTCACTTACCCGATACCTTTACAAGGCTTCCCCTTGGGTGTTGGGTCCTGCCGTAACCGCCGCACAAGGTACCCTGTGTGTTGTGTGTTGTGTGTTGTGTGTTGTGTGTTTCTCTTTGCAAGCTATATATTATTGAAAATCCTATGGGTTTGGGGAATACTTCAAAGTATTAGTATTTATGTTGTTTCACAGATCAACAGCACTTTTGAATGATGCTGATACCCGCTAATTTACTCGGTGGGTTGGTGTGTTCTTTGGCCTTCTTCCCGATACTCCTGACGTGCTATGCTTAACACCCTCGGACAATTCTCGAATTCTCGTGGAAACAAAAAAGCATACATAATGTATCAGAGGACAAAGTGGTGCTCCAGAAATCGCGCTTCAGCGTGAGAGTACTCCTACAACATATGTGTTGCACGTGTACAGGAGGCTGGTGGAGAATTTGTCGATCGAGTCGACTTGTGTAGACGCAGGGTTCATGTATTCAACAGAGCAACAGAGGATGCAGCAGCAAGCTGGATGTGCTGCTCGAAACGCCTATTTCTGTCTCTGCCTGGCTATTTGCAATTTCTATAATCTAGTTGGTATCCCCTTCTAGTGGTCAGGGTCAAGGGTTCGAATCCCGGCGTAAGCGAGCTTTTCTTCCAAGGTGAGTTTTCCTCTCGCTGCCGTTCCTGGCCTGGGTGGAAAGCGCTAGTTCGTGTGTACACAGAGGGAAGAGAGTGCTGTACTCGCATTAAAAATCGAAGGCAAAGTATTAGTGTACCCCGCCCCAACAATTGAGCTGAACTTTGCGTTTCGTGTTCTCTGTACACGTGGTGTATCTTCAGGTGTTCATGTGCAGCTTGGACCGGGATACATACTTCCACCAGCCGTACAAGTATCCCATGTTCAAGGTGAGTGAATGTGGTATCGTGTTACCCGTGCTGCCGTCGCAGCAGTGTACATCTCCTACTGATACATGCATGGACGTGCTGTACTCCTGCGCATTGCTAATGTAGACTAGTGCTGTAGGTGTTGGTTCGATTTTTCACTGCCCACGAACATCAACAGTGGTGTGGTGTGGTGTGGTGTGGTGTGGTGTGGTGTGGTGTGGTGTAGTGAAGCCGCGTTCACCGAAAGGGTTCATCTTTTCACCCACCAACAATAGTAATATTGATGTGCACGATAGAGAGAATCCCGTGTTGTACGAGGTGCTGTATCGGCTTTCCATCGTAATGGGGTTTTGAATCAACTGTCGGAGGTGCAGGATGTGGTTGCTATTTATACATTCTCCGCACCTCTCTATCTCACCGTGCCACCGTGCTGTTAATGCATGTACTCTCGCAGGACCTGGTGAGGCTGTCCGGTGGGTGTCAAGGAGCACAATCTACAACTACTAGCATCTCCAAGCTGCAAGTAAGTGCACGGTTTCTTTTCGTACTGTAGTCCTCCTACTTTTACGACCGCAGATGCCGCTAGGACACTCGAGAGATATTTCGTTCGGGTGATAAAGGTTACAAATGTGTGGTGCCAAAGCACATGGTTCCGAGCGTGCCGGAGTATCGATCGCATGTGCTTTCAATCAACTGGGTTCAAACAATGTCCCGTTGTGATAGAGACGATGTTTAAGGTTGGGCATTGCATTGCATCTCTGACGTCCGATCCGATCAATCTATATGTAGGTCAGGGGTGGTGGCACTGTCTATGTGCGGGCTGTTGACTCTCTCTTCTCTTCCGTCTCTTCTCTTTTGCCCTCCCCGAATTTGTTGGTACTCTACTGGACAATCATCGTCATCATCAACAACAGGAGGAGATCGACGCTAACCCTGACGGCTACCTGGAGCCAACGGGGTTCGTGTTCCACATGTCGCGGTGTGGCTCTACCCTCACGGCGAACCTCATGGGGTCCTCCCCCCACAATATCGTCTACTCGGAGTCCAAGCCGCCAGTCGCTGTTATGTCGCTTTGCGATCAAGTGCGCTGCACGGAGGAACAGAGGGTGAGAAGTGACAATCATGGTGATCACGAAAATCAGCCCCTCGACGGCATATGTAGCACCGTGGTTTTTTTTGTACGGATACTGCGTTTTTTTCGTTGGTCGTGGTCAGGTCAGAGCGTGCCATCCCTTGGAGCACAACGAAATACGGCAGTTGAGGAAGCAATTCCATATGTAGGTGCTGATAAGTGCTTGTATTGGCTGCGTTAGGTAGGGCTAGTTGGCGTGGGCAGCGGTTGGTTATTGGTCTTGGCGACGAAGGAATGAGCGGAGGAGTCAAAGGCGGGCCTCGAGGGGGGGTGTTCGCCGTCGACGTTCGTGGAGCATGCTGTTGCGCTAGTTGTGCTTTTCCCCGTCCAATGTGAAAGTATGACAAACTCCGCGTGTTGATTGGTCTCAAATCACAATTGTTTTTTTGGTCGTGGTGTGTGTTGACGACAGGTGGCAGCGCTTCGCACGGTTATTCTGGCCATGGGCAAGACATCCTTCCACAAGCACATGTTCTTCAAGTTCCAGTCTAGCCAGACCCGGTTCATCCACTACTACCGGAAGGTTTGTTACTTTCTTGCGTTTGCTTTATGGTCCGTAGCAGGCGGTATCGTGCATGTGCAGGTGACTGACTTGCATCCTGGTGTGGCCGATGGCGTGGAGAATGTTTTTGAGACGATGGTGACAGAAACTTGCGCCGTAGCTTGGAGTCGGCAGTTAGGCCCCCCTTTTCCTGCTGGACGTTGTAAGCAATGGGTTCGTTCCGACGCGTGCCTTCAGATGAGGCCAGCATCCTCATGAGCAAGGGGACCTGGCGACGCCGCCTGTCCGTGGCATGTGTACAGTACGCACGAGGTACTATGACAGCAGTGCCATGGTAAGGTTTCTATATTGGCGAAATGGACATGATGACAACGTTGGCCCTCGAACCGACATTCGCTTTCGTACTCGTCTACTGTACCTTGTTGCGCTTTGTTGGGGATGATGCAGGCCTTCCCCAACACACCATGGGTCTTCGTGTACCGCGACCCTGTGCCGGTGATGATGTCGTTGCTGGGCTTCAAGGCTGGAATGGTGAGTGACCCTTGACCTTCAGCCGCCACGCTGTTAGGGTGTTCGGGTGTTGATATCGAGAGTTGGCATACAGGAAATGACGTGAAGATTTTTTTATACGTCAGACGACAGCAGTAATTGCTGTGTCGTGATCGGGATACACCATGTACCATGTGCTTCGTTACGTGTAGTCCACCCCGAAATTGTTGTTTCCCTGCCACTGCCACCCCGCCCTCTCTGTGCACACGCCTGCCTTGTCTTCATTCTTCAGCGCCAACGTCCGAGCCGAAGTACGCCGTGCCTGCGCTCCATGGGTGCGCCCCCCGATGAGACCGCGAAGCTGTTGGGGATGTCGACCTCGGAGGCTAAGAACGCTCCCGACGAGCGCTATTGCGCCGCACACTTGGTGAGAGTCTGAACCAAGTCTGAGATGGCGTCGAGCATTGGAGTGGATGCTTCCTTGCGTTTTCTTTCCCTCGGTCTCTCTAGAAGATGCATACCTGTACGCTTGCAACTTCATGACGCGTCCACTACGCCAGAGTCTAGTCTCTCTCTCTCTCGCACCTTGTATTGCTGGGGTCATTCTGAGGGCTTCTTCCTGAGGCCCTCCATGCTGTTGCGATTAAATCTCGGCCCCCGGCCTTTGGTGTTGAACGTCGCGTCGGCAGGCGAAGACGTGCGCCGCGTTCAAGCTTTGAATGGCTGCTGCTGTTGGTGGTTGCCTTGACTTGTAGCAACGGTATGGGGTGGCTGCGCTGGAATCGATGACAAGACAATGTTCAAGGTTCTCACCCTAGAACCGCGATCGGTGTCTGTGCGTTGTCGCTTCCCTGCGTGTAGGCGACGCTGGTGGAGTCGGCGTTGGGATCCGTGGATGACGCCGCGGCAAGCGGGGGGGCTGAAGGGCATGCGGTGGACTACGAAACCCTTCCTAACGCCATCGTTCCCGTGATGTCGGAGCTGTTCAAGGCGCCACTCACGCCGGAAGAGGAGTACTACGCGCTCGAGGTGCGGCGGGTCTTTGGCGTCGTTTCATTTTTGGTGTCGTTTCGTTTGGTGTCGTTTCGTTTGGCGTCGTTCCGTTTTTGGTGTCGTTCGGTTGGTGTCATCCGCTGGGGTTGTTGTGGGTGGCTACATGTAAGCGGGGTTGATGAGGTGCTCTGGGGGTGTGATGCTCTAGGATTTTGATTATGCTCTATTTTTGTATTTTTGTTGTTGCCCCCCTCCTTGGACTTGAAAACATTGAAAGTAGCTGAGTGTGTGCGACTGTCACCACCATGAAGGTATTCTCTCTCTCTCTTTCCTTCTGTCAAACGTGCTTGGTAACGTTTATTCTTTGAATGAAGCACGTGGAACCAACACCTGGTGTGAGGGTTGTACATGGGTTGGGTTGATATATCGTGCACCCCTACACTGGCCTTGGGTGACGTGGCACAATCTCACTGTGGCCCGTGTTGCGTTGCCTCCCTTGCCCATTATTTTGGGCGTGGTGTCATATACTATGGATATGACAGATATCGAGCTGGTACGCCAAGTCTCGTGGGGAGGCGTACAATTTCTCCCCCGACACCAAGGCGAAAGAGGACCATGCATCCCCCGAAGGTATGTACTGTAGTACCAGGCTACGGGGGTATGTCGTACTGCCGACGGCAGTCGTGCTTCCTCTTTTGTTATTTGACTCCCAGATTGCCTGACCGGTGTCGTTCGACAACGTCCAATTGTTGCAATAGGGTTGATGTTGCAATGTTGTTGTTGTTGTTGTTGTTGTTGTCTTCACATAAAAAACCGTTCCGGTCTCCGCTCAGTACCTTCTTATGTCCGTGCTGGTCCAATTGACGATGATGATGTGATGTAGGGGGTCATGGAGACCACTTTTGGAGCGGTTTTATGCGTATGTCGTCTTTTGAGGGACAGAGGACTAGGGTCAACGGACGAGGGACGATTTGTGTTGTCAGGGTTACATACCACAGCAGCAGCCTGGGCGTGACCCACGTCAGGACACGATTGATGAGGCGTGGTGTGATGTGATGAGATGGTGGTGGTAGTTTTTTGGGCGACGTCTTCAATCGGTTGACCTTCGGTCAAGGTGCAGCTGTGCACGGCAAGTTGTAAGATCTGATTCAAGAATCATGGCACGGCGAGATCGGTCTTCTCTTGACGATAGTATTAGGTTGGAGTTGGAAGGGTGGTATCGGTCTTATCTAACACTTAACACCGTATCAGATTGAGGTTTGAGGGAGAGTGGACCCGTCCACAACGCCTCTTCGAGCCTCCTCCTCAACATGGGCATTTGCGGTTGCCATTGGATACGACAGCCCGATAAGTCTGCGCGACAGCCATTCGCGCGTGTAATACTGCAGGGAGCATGGACAAGCTATCTGGAGCGATCCGTTCCACCGGCGACGGCAGCGTCCTTAACAATATATCTGATATGAAACGTTTTGCCTTCCTACGTTTCAGCGTTATTACGGAGAGATGGCTCATCATGGTTTGTGTCTGACTCGTCCTTCCGTCTCCTTTCTGTGTCGTTATCTCTCTGTCCTGTCCTGTTGCATTTTCGTGCACGTGTTCGGCGAGTCAGTCGAGCAAGCGGCGAGCAGCATTCTCGAGCCCTTCTACCCCCGCTTACACGAGGCTGGAGTTGCTGCCTCATCAATCCCCAAAGAACTAGCGGTGGGGTATTCCCCAGGCGACAAGCGCAGTGCACAGGGGGAGGTGCGATAGCTTATCGATAGAAAATCCGATCGTTTTTTTTGTCGAGTTCTGCTGCTATGTAGCGTGCGTGTGGCATCCACGGGACATTGGTACCCCATCACGTAAATGGGCAACGTGAGCAACCGCTATTTTTTCTGAGAAGAAGTACTTGTGCTCTCGTAAGCTGTGAGTTTGTACGTAACGTCCATCGATCAGTTAAAAAATATATTTATTTATTTACTTGTAGGACATGATGTGGAAGCATCGGTGACACGCTGCCATGTCTTGCGTCGGTTGTGTTAGCCCCCCAACATGGCTTGACGTGCCGCTCATTGTCCCCAGGAGATCGGACACGACAAATATTGGTCAGCCCAATTCTCGGGGGTGCCCACATCGTATCCCTGCCTCGTGAGCCACCGCAAATGCTCCAGAAGAACAGACCAGGGGCTCGGGGGTCAGGAAGATGAATTCTGTGTGTCTACCCCCTGTTTAATTGCTCCTTCACTGCTGTCAACCAATTGTCTGAGCTACAACCGACACCTGCCCCACGTGTACGCTTGCCATGCCACGTGTGCTCTGAAGGTACCTTCGATTCCGCAGATTAGTGACGAGGATTTTTACGCGACGCCGGAGCACATGCGGGGACTGGACAGGGTGGTGGACCCTCTCGCTCCGGATTTCATGGCTTCTAGGTCAGTCTGCTTTAGTCACACAGCTGTCTGTCTGTCTGTCTGTCTGTCTGTCTGTCTGAGTAGCGAACGCCCTTTGGGCTTCGGTTGCATCGTTTTTCTCACCACGCCAGGCATGTCCCCAACCCGGTCCCAAGCCCTACTGTATTTCTCCAACCGTGAACCTGTGTGTCTTTTTTGCGATGCGATTTCATTGCAGGACTTGTTTGGTTGTGGTCTATTCTATTCTATTTTAGCTGCTTCTTGTTATAGCACTCGTCCGTACTTGCTGCAAGTTGGCACACGTGTGCATGTATCCCTTGGCCCTCCTATTTTTGTTGGCAATTGCTTGGATCGGTCGCTCTCGATGGGATGCCAAGACGAATGCTCCATTCGATGTAGGCGCTTGGTATTACTATTAAAGTCTCCAATGCCGACCCGTACTCTCAAAGCTGGCTCCCCACGTGCGCTGTTTCCGGGTCTTCGACCTGGTACACCGATGTTTGATTGGTTGGTCGCTGGGTAGCTTTTGCCTCGTCTTCGCGGCAACACAGCTCGCTGTCCTCTACCCCTGTCGGCGTCGTCGTTTTTGCACTCTCAGCAAGTTCAAGAGTATGCCAATGGAGGCCTTCGAGTGTCCCGACACGCCACCGGCCGACTACCCCAAGGGCTACCCTGCCATGGACGTCATCAACCACTGGAACCCGGACGATGCCGACCAAGTTCCGCCGCTTCACTATCTCTCTACATGCAGGTGACTGCTGTCATGCATGCCTCTAGGAGCAGAGTGGTTGGGTTCGGAAGCAGCAGGAAGACCTGGTGACATCGCGGTCAGCGACCACAGCTAGCTAAGTCGACCAATACCCACCGGTGGTTGGGAGTCCTCTACTTTGCATGCGATTGACGTTGCGTGCGATTGACGTTGGTGCCATTTCTGAAGTTTGCTGCGCGATTGCCGGGTAATGGCATGTTCTGATGTGCGAATCGACAGTACGAATTTTTTGCCCTCGATGGGTGTCTTGGCTGTATCGATGAAGGGGTGTTCGCATGTTGCTCATTCCAACCTCAGGTTCGACTACCAGCGAGAGCTGGCCAAGGCGGAGAGGTACAGCTCCGCGGAAAAGGCGAGCTATTATTTGCGTTGTAGGCAAACATATGCAGGTGGCACCTATCCTCGAAAGAGGATGGTGGTGATACTGTGATGCTGGAAGAGATTTTGGTTGGTAGGTGACGTTATCAGCTGGCCTGGACCAGATCGACCAGACGAGATCCCCTGCTTGTATCGTGTGCCCTCTGCTGCTTTTTTTTAGATGGTGCTACGGGCCACTCTCTGCTCGGCTTCCAGATTTTGAGTTGTCTTGTTGATTCCGGTGCGCTCCACATTCCCTACAGCACAATACTAGGAAACGTGCGGGAGCTCGCAGCTGTCCTTTTTCCATTCCGTCTCCTAATTCTCACCAGTGTTAGTCACCAGTGATAGTGTTGTACCCTCTAGGTGCTAGCAACCAATGACTTTTCGTCTCTGTTTCGTGACGGTGCAGCCATTCATCTTGTACAACATTCCTTCGGTGGATGCTGCGTCTGGGCGATGGAGTGACCCGGCTTACATGGAGAAGATTTTCGGGGCCACAAGGAAGTATGCCACGGAGCACTCCACGGACAATCACTTCATGTACTTCAACCACAAACTGGTGCGCGTTACGTTGTTGTTGTTGTTGCCGGCACGAGTATGCAATATCCATGTACATGTAGCATCATGATGTAGAGAGAAGCATTGAACTTGAACCCGAACTAAGTGATTTCCTGCCTTCCTGCATTTCTTTGCCTTACACTTTGACATGGCAACAGGCAAAACAGGCAAAGCATGCCCAGCACTCGGAACTCAACCTGACTGATTGGAAGCCACCGACTGATTCGGTAAACTTGAGCTACCGCCAGTGGCTGGACCTAGCCTTGAAGCACGGGAAGGGGGACGGAGAGCACTGGTATTTCAGGGTCGGGGATGCCAACAACAAGGTGGAGAGCCGCAGCCTATTCAATTGGCGTGAACCGAAATAGCAACATCCATTGTTTCGCTGGACTCGTTTCGCTGGGTTGTCTGAGAGCTGAAAATGTGGTGCTTTTTGGTTGGCGCTGTGAGTGAACCGTTGCACTCAGCCCTTCTCTACGAAAACTGTTGAAGTTGTTGTTGCAGCTGCTGTGCTACGAGAGTAGCCCACTTACGTGTCCGGCAGCAGACTGGACACGGGAATAAGAACAGTGGCGGTTGAGGTTGGCTGGCCCTTGCATCATATTTGTGGGAAATGGCAACTATCGAAAGATCGTAAAGGATATCGTGTCCACATTGGCCATGTGGATCGTGTTTTTTATGATCCCAATAATTAGTCAGAGACTCATCGACGGCGTTTTAAGGCGTGTAGTTTCCTTTGCCGCTGTTTCTTGGCGCGCCCTGGGGGCTTTTAACCCCTTTGGGTCTAGGCTGGACTGTCAGATTTCTTTTCGCCACATCGAACAAAAATGAGAGCGAGAGCGAGCGGGAAAGAGACAAGTGCAGAGAAAGACACCAGTGTACTTGTACACACGCAACAGCTATCTCCACCTGTAGGCCATGAGGGAAGCCGGCGACAGGGTGGTGGCCACAGACAGGGTCGTAGAAGGGTTGATGGGTGGTCGCGCTGCGGTCAGTAGGGCAGGTTAGCTGTGTAGACTTTTAAATGATCAGTCGTCTAGCTGCCTCAACTAGTCTATTTTCGGCATATTGTAAATGATCAGTCCAGAGAGGTGAAATCATCAGTGAAGACCCATAGCTGGTATTTGTACTTCTGTACTTCTCGGGTTCTCTGTGCCCCCCCGAAATGTGCCCTGCCAGCTCTCTAGAGCTCCTGTGTTTTTCAACCAACAAGCACACCCACCAGCACACCCCTGTACCTCGTGGTTTCTAGATCCGGGGCGAGGGGATGTGTGGCGCTACGAGTGTGGATGTGTTGCTGATTTGTTTTGCTCGTCTACAGCAGTGTTAGTGTTGTTGTAGCGTTGTAGCTGCTGACACGATGACTGCTGGATCTTGGGAACGATTTTCAAATTGTTGGGAGATGCAGCACACCACACGATATCCTCGATATCTGGGCTTCCGCAGAGCTTGCAATACCCCTCCCTTTTGTTGCCCTCTGCTCTTTGCAGCAGTGGCTTTCTACGTTCGGGCGAGGATGGGTATGTGTGGTGCTACGAAATAACACATATGTATGTATTTATGTATGCACACACACGTACATGTATAGACATATGAGAGATTCATGATTTGGCATTGATTGGCCCCACCCGAGATCTTGATTTTACCCGCTGTCACTGACGTCTTTTCATTCGTCAGCCGGTTAGCGCGGGTGCCAATAATCTAGACACACCTATCTATGGACTTGCCAATACCCGGCGCGAAGGGCGGCAGGGCGGCAACTCCACGACTTGCCACTACACCAGCATTTGCAAATGATCGATCAATGATCAGTCAAAACGCCTGAAGACTCAAAAGGGTTAACATGGGGGTTTCGTTGTTTTTGCTGCTCTTTGTTTTCCTCTGTAGTGGTACCCCTCTTCTGTTGTCGCCTAGCGTTGGCTATAGTGGTTTTTTGAAAGGGTGTCCGAAAGCGGTGGGAGCACCGATGAAACGCATGTACCCAAGGATATGTGACTGTTAAGAAACCTGCCGGTTCACTAACCAACCCTATTGTAACAACAACCCCATCCCAGCATCCCCCGCCCCCCGCCTTCGACAAACGACATGCAACTGTTTTCACACACCCTTAACCCTCCCTGTGGGTGGAACCGTGCCCTTGGTGTTTCTTATCTTCCTCCTCCAGGTTGTGCTGAACGAGATGGAGATTTTCCAGAAGCCGGAGAATGGGAAAGGGAACATTTTCCTGGTAGACCCGCGTGGGCAAAGGGGGATCCACTGCAGATTCGGCATGCCTGGGGTGAGATGAAAGTTTCGCAAGTTGTCGAGTAGTCTTTTGTGTTCGGCTGTGCTGTACATCTCTCGTCTGTTTTTTGTCGAGCCGAACGACCTAACGGGGCTTGTTGTTTTGTGCAACCGGGCTCGATGTGGTACAGTGCTCAATCGTGCCGCACGGTGTGTTTTGCATGCATCCTAGCTTTTCACCCAGCTGCTCCGTGTTTTGAGTTTATTCTTCTGGCGCCATGGTGGGGTGTTGTTCTGTTTTGAGGTCTGAGTGGGTGTACTTGCTGCACCTTGCGGTAGTGACCTGATTCGTTCGGGTTGACGGTGGTCGTTAACACCTGCTGTCGACGTTGATTTTGTGTACATGTACTGTGAAGATGCACTTGACCAGCCTCTTTCATAAATACCGTCCCTGAGAATGGCACATGCATCGCATCGCATCCTGTGTCCCCTGTTCTTTTCGCACGGGCCAAAGGTAATCGCTGAAGCGCATTTCGACGGCAGCCGCAACATGGTGGCCATGGTTTCGGGGGTCAGGCGATGGATCATGGCTCACCCGAACCAGTGTGAAAGCATGTATCTCCTTCCGAAAGCGCACCCGTCGGGCAGGCACAGCGATGTCGACTGGAGTAACCCGGACTTGGACAAGTTCCCCGATTTCCCGAAGGCGAGCGAGGGTTTGGGGGCGCTTCTTGCAGAGCCTCCGATACGTTCGAAAAGCGGAAAAACTCTGACACATCCGGGGTTTGTTGGTGGCTAGGGCTTGGTAGACGATGGTTTTCCATGTAGGAACGTCGTGTCACGTGTTACGGTACCCCGGTTTTTACTCGGAAATTTTCCGTGGTGCGGTGAGGATACCCGTGGGAATCGGTACTGTAGTCTCATGAGGTTGTTGATGAGGCCTTGCACAGCAGTGGGTTGGTTTGAAAACGTCACGTGCTTACAGCAAGATTGCCCTTCCACACCAACACATGCTTGGGTGGACTATTTGTATGCCCACGTGTAGCGACGAGGGATCTCAGTTGCCCGTTCGTGTTGACGCGCTGGATACAACGGTAGCGTTGCAGAACTCGGGATGGCTGCTCAACAATGTGCCCGATGAACGCCCCGGTGTTTACTTCTCCCTCTTTGGACAGACGCTAATATCCGAGGTGCTGCTTAAGGCTGGAGAAGTCCTGTACGTCCCTACTCAATGGTTCCACTACATCTCCAACATCGGCATCAACGCACAATGCAACAGGTAAGCCAAGAGCATGATTAAGATTCATGACTGCGACCGACCATGCTAGCAGCAAGCGGTATATATACCGTTGGCTGAACCATGTGCGAACGGAGGCTAATGTTTTTGCCCGCAGTCCATACCGAACTGTTCGAATACTGTACCCCATCAATGGTGAACCAGGGCGTCGAGATCCCACCTGAGAATCTGGCTCGGTCAAGTTTTCGCTTGACGGCCTCATATCCTCAAGTCACTCTCAGCGTAGCCTTGTCAGGGTACAGCGTGGTCGTAGCTTCGGTTTGGATACAGTATAGCCGAGGGACCTTGTTTTGAACGTTGGTTTTCATGTCAGGGATCTGAGACGGCAGTGGGTCCGCTCATTGCTCATTGTCCCCCGACTATTTGCCCGTGTTTTTGGTTAAGGGCCCACCTTTGTGACAATACCAGCATCATCGTAAGAATGTTATCCCCCCCCCCTCCCTCCGACTTTGGACGTTTGGCTTATTCTCGTCTGTGCAGTCGATCAGGCATTGCCATGGACTACGACGGTGATCTGGACAAGTGCGGCTTCGGCTCACATTCCAGTCGGCAAAGATCGAGAAGGCCCGTCAAGAAGAGCGTTTATAACTGACACCTCTTGGACGCGGGCGACGAGTAGAAAGAAAGGTTTCATGCGGTCAGTATGCCATCCATCTTATCCATGTCGGCTCCAGGCTGTATCCTGTTCGATGGTCTTCGATCATGTGCCTGTGTGGTTGGACTGTGATTGAATGGCCGGGGTGGCCTGATTTATGGCACGAAGAACATCGGTGTCGAGGAGTGAGCAGCTCCAGCAAATAGGAAACAGCAAACAGCACGGCTGTGCCATGTAGCTCATGCGCAGGACAGACAAACTTGCGACTCCGGCGAGAAATCGGATAGAATTGTGAAACTACCCTCGCTGAACGGAAAGGCCGGTTGTGGGTTGGAGCATACGACTCTTCCTCGCGGTGATGTTCGCTCTGGACTAGACTACAGCACTAAATAGTATATTGAATTGCTTGACTACTACTGCTGTTGCGTCTCGAAGTTTTTTTCTGCAAGCGGTGGGATCTCTGTTTGTGTGTGCGATGTTTGTTTTTTTTCCGTGTTTGCATTGGATCGGCGTATGCACCTCCGAGTGCCAGTGTGTATGAAGCTCGGCTGGGCACAGCAGTTGGAGCCACTCTCTTGATCATGCGCCCTCGAGGTTAAGGCACCCAACTGCTGCATGTGCCTCCCTCCTGGTATGTGTATAGACTGCTTTATGTGGTTGAGTTTGGTATCATCGGTGGTTGCCTAGGTGGGTTCTACATTGTAGTAGGTTTCGTTCAGGCGACGTGTTATTCGCCGATCTTGAATCGCCAGACGTCCCGCCCGCGCTAAGGCGTGGTATTTCCATTTCGCCATGGGCGCAGGCTGGAGGCATTGGCACGTGTTGGCTGATGTAGTTTGTATACGTGGAACACGGGCGGGCGTTGTTTAGAACAAAATATGTTTGTGTTCCCCAGCAAGTGGTTTCTTGGACGGCGGGTGAGCTCGTCACATTGCTGTATGTGGGACATGCGACCTATGTATAATACCTAACTACAGTATATAATCGTTTGAGTCTCCATTGCGTTTTTCGCGACGCGTTGTTCTGGTGATATGCTTTGTTTCTTTTACGATGAAGAGACGACGCTCTGGAAATAAATACCATTGGTGGACACGACTCAATCGTGAACTTGAACTGAAGCAGCATCGTTCGAGGTGTTTGCATGCATAGAGAGGTCTATATTCAGCAACGGGATGCCGCACGGATTGGACAGAATACACCTGATTTGGACACAGCACACCCACCCTTCTATGTCCTGACCAAAATCAACAACAACGTAGCGATCGCTCAAATCAATTTGCTGCAACATATAGACTGGGAATGCTACAGAAAACCAGTCCTCTTTATTCTTGTTGCCATGAAAATGTGTGCGACTTTGTTTGACATGCACATCTAACTATTGCACGGAGGGATGGTCCGGAATACGTCGCAGGAGCGAACGAAACTGGCAATGCGTGCTGGCTACACGTCACAGCAAGAAGTGTTACAGTGAAATAGTGTTTCGTGTAGACTTGAGAATAACACAGAAAAGGTACAATGAAACCCGTTCGTCCGCAAAGCAAGGTGTACCGTTTTTCGGACCATTTTTAAAAGGTTCGAAAGAGCCATACACCGCAGGCAGCACCGGAGAGATACGTTTGTCACTAGGGGAGGGGCTCACATTAACGGCTACCGGCAGAGGCATGAAGAAAGGGACAACACGGATGTTGCCCCCGCTTCTGCTCTCCAAGATCTTGGTTATTGCAGCTTTCTCTGGTGAGTGGATGGACGTTTGTCCGCTGAAACCTGGCATGTTGCTGGAACAGCACCAGCAGCGTAGGTCGTGCGCTGGACTGCTTTGCAAATGAAATCCCAGCAGGTAACTACATGTAGTCCTACCGTCCCCCCTTTGCCGACCTCTATTCGAGTAGCACGTAATCCAACCGTCCTCCCTTTTCCGACCTCTGTTTCATTAACACTTGTACGGTGTGGATTCGTTGTTGGTGTACAGGTTGCCTGGCAAACGAACGAATGGCGAACGACCCAACCGATCACCTGTACATGTAGGCCTTGTTGAACCAGAGACCCTACCGACGTCCCTGAAATCGCAGCCGGCGAAGACTCGGTATGCGGCACACCATTACGTCGCAGAGCACAGCAGAGGAAACGGCGTGTATGTCTGGCAGGGTAATAGGTATTTCTCTTCCGCCCATGCTCAAAAGGGGTCGACACGCTTGAGTGGTGATGCCTTCCAGCAGCCCGGATAAGCGGGTAAGTTTTGCACTGAACCGCCCGACGCCACCCCGCGAATGCCGTGCCCTCTCTGTCTCCGTCTCTGCCTGCCTGTTTCTCTCTCTTTGCGTGCTCTCGTGTGCAGTACTCCCTAGCTATGGCTCGCACCAGCTGTCAAATGTAGAGAAAAGGCATCATGAGGTGAGGGCAGCACCCAAGTCGCCGGCAAGTAATTGCGCCGAATATTGTTGTAGTTGCCGTATGCATGTATACTTCATGTGTACGGCGGTGCATGGGTGCATGTAGAGCCGGTGCTCGACTACTGCTGTACCCAATCACGGGACAGCAGTACAGAACTTCTAGCTTGCGATTGTCGCTGCCCCCAAAACTGCGAGGGTCATGCCGCGTCCTTGGCGATCACATACTTATGCAAGTGTACTTTGTTCTGTATCCCTCCACGATGGAGATGGGAGGGAAAATGTGCGACATGGCGACCACGAACCATGACGTGACATTCCGACGCGAGTGAGAGTGCGTTGTGGATGCACTGTGCATCAAATCGTACCCCTACAGTGACGGGTACGGTCTAAGAGTTTACGAGAGGGTCGTGACAAGCCAGAAAATCTCTCTTACATCGTAAAACCGGTTTCCTCTTAAACCGTACAGTGAAATTGATGTATTTCTCATGGTCGTGACAAGCCAGTTTGACTCTCTTTAATCGGTATAGTTTCTCTTCAATTGTAATACAGCAGTAGTCTCTCTTAAACCGTAGCCGCCACTGGTGTACATGTAATTGATTACTTGTCAATTTTTGTCGCGCGGGGGGTGGCCGGGGGGGGAGGGGGGGGGAGGTACTCATAGTCGTGCATGCCGTAGTCGTTAGACCATTGACCTCGCATCCCTCCAAAGCCGGGACGGAGCACGCCGGGTCATTGTATGGTATAATTGAAGTAGGATATATTATTAGTATTGTTGTAACTAAAGCCTTTTCAATACAGAGTATTATATGGGTGTTGCAATGCGTCAACAAAGCCTGTACAATGAAGAGTATATTGGTTATACGATGGACACTTAATCCTCTACGGTAGACTGCTGCAAGTGAGCCGTGCAATGTGTGTATGTAGTCGTATCTTGCGTGTCATTCTTGGCCCGGGGTGGGGGGGTTCCACGGTTTCCACATATCCTTGATCAAATCCAAAGGTGTGACGCCGCATGTATCATTTCCCCCCCCCGATGAGAATATTTTTCACCCCGGTTCCTCTAAGCCTTTGGACGGTTAGGAAGGGACAGAATGCATGTCAGTCACATGATCTTTCCAAAACCTATCGTTTGCGTAGATTACTTTGGGTATGCATATGCGAGGTTGTAGCGATTCATTGTGTTGCTTGGCGACGAGAAGGGAGCCCGGCAACCGTCCCCCCCCTCTGTCACAACCCCGTCAGAGCACACGGAGAGACGGTCCGATCAATTGATTGTTGTTACCCCTCACCCTCGGGGTGTTTTGATGAGACGACGCGTATTTACATGAGCCAGGAAACCACCGGCTTCCGTGGGAGTCATGACTGAAATACGCCAACACAGACAGCGTCAGACAAGCCGGCATCTCGAAGCTTAAAACCTACGCAGGGGGCGCCGTGCCTTGCCGACATGGGGTACTTCGTCCCCTTTCACCCCGTACATTGTACATGTCTGGCCCCTTTGGACTTGGCGATGACGATAGATACCGGAAAACTCAAGTGTCTAGATTTAGGTCCATGTGCCTGTTCGGCGTTTCCAATGTTGCTCTTCGTTGTGGTCCGGTGCACTACATGTATTAGTTTTGGTATGTTTGTAGCTGGATGGTCTAGATCTGTCCTTAACGCGCTTCGCGTGGTTTGCTTCCCTCGTGGTGTTCCTGCTGTTTTGCTCCTTTGTTGTTGTTTTGTTGTTTTCTCCTTTGTTGTTTTGCACTCAGCTCGGGGCCCAGCGCAATGACCTTTTCCGCGAGATGCAGGAGCTACTCAAGCAACAGCAGGACGAAGTAGCGGAATGTCGGGCGGCTCTTGCCCGAAGTCAATCCGGTGCGCCGCAAGTTGGCGGAGGAGAAGGAGACCCAGACACAGCCTCTCTAGGTACGTGACGAGAATGGCACCCATCGCGTTGGAACGTTTGTTGGCAAGAGTTGAGAAGTTGCCACCACCCTGCCACAACGAAACCACTCTCGCGAAACACCCCCTCGAGCAACGCAGGTTGGCTCAATATGCACCAGATTGACCAACTCCGATGGGATAGCTTAGCGGAATACTTGAAAGGACTGACTGCTGTGTGTAGTGACGCGGCCTCGTCTCGGGGTAGGAGAAGAGGAGCGCAGTGGGGCAGACAAAGGCCACTGCAGGAGGAAGATTGGGGGCGTTTCTGTCTGTGCGTCGTTAAGACGGGTGCTCCTATTATTAGCACCGCTCTCCTCGGAATAGGGACTTTTGGCTAGAGCAGTGTGTGTGTTCGCCCTCGGATCAATAGCATGTGCACGCAACACGAAACCTCGCATCGGCCAGGGTACCCTATGGTTCTTGGATCCCAGCCTTGGTGAGTTTTCTGGCAAGGACAGCAGTACAGTACAGTGAACTACAATACGGACGAGCTCTTCTCCGTGGGTCGTGATAAAGACGGCATGCGCAGCCATGTACAACACGTTTTTTTCTCGAACGTGTTTTCTGAGCACATAGCCGATCCCTACGTGGCGCTGTGAACGCAACAGCATGCGCAGCTCCACCACTGTCAGCATCGGCGCAAGCATCTGCACCCGCGGCATCACAACGGCGGGACACCATTGCCACTATTGCCGGAGCAGAGCGTGCTGCCGGGCGAGCCGTAGACGGCACAGCGTTCGGGGAGGGCGGGGCGGAAGGAGAGGATTCGCTCCCTATGGATGAGATAGAGTCGGCGGATTTCGCCAACTACTTCTACTCTTACGCCGAGCTGGAGCACCAGAAGCAGATGCTGGAAGATGACAGGTGAACCGATGAGCCTCGCTCAATTTTCGAGCTCCATGTCGGTGGTCGTGACATTGGTGCATTTTCGGTACCAATGAATCAGCAGCTAGCAGTTTCAGCCAAGTTTTTGGTTGGCTTCGTGTATATGATCTGTCGGCGGCCGTGTACCATGTTACGGTCATGTTCTGCCCTACCCGGCCTTGAAACCGAGCATTTTTTTTGTCGTGTACGGGGCTAGTAACGTCACTGCTGCCGGCAACTTTTCCCCTCTGTTGTAGGATCCATTTGTGCAGGAGAATTGTTCTCGCGTGATGCCTATACTGCGACTGTTGTGCTTCTGACTTGTTTAACTACGCTACGAACGGCTGCGTGCGTGCATGTCTTGTATTGGAGCAATGAAGTCGTGATATCTGCCTTAAATCTCGTCTGTTTCCCACTGGTATGCATGTGGACTTCTGCATGCCTGTCCTTCTTGTCCTCTTGTCCTCCTGCTTCCAGGAGAATGGAAGCATATCGCAACTCCATGCTGCTGAATAGGGATGCGTTTGAGGGGAAAACGGTGAGCTCTTGACGGAGGTTGAACTTTACTTCTCCACACAACCCGCACTGTCCCAGTATTGATGCCAGCTTCCCCGTACTTCAGAGATCCGAGCGTGTTTGAGCACATTCTTCCTAGTCGATCCTAACTCTCCCTTCTTTTCTCTAGTACTTACATCTTTAGCTGGCCCACGGCTTTTGTATGTCCGCTTCGCCCGCAAAATGAGGTGTTGCCTGATTATTCCCGTCGTTCCTGTTGCCTCGCGTCTTCTGTTTGTCTTTGCCTGGCTGTGTTTTCCTCTCTCAGGTGCTGGACGTTGGTTCGGGGTCGGGGGTACTCGCGATATTCGCCGCGCAAGCAGGCGCCAAGAAGGTGAGGAAAGTGAAGTCGATTTCTTTGTATCGT